GAGGGATCAGATGGCCTCGGCGCTGGCTCGCTGTCTCCAATCGCGGCCTGCGCGTAATGAACACCAAGATCATCATCATCCGCGGTCCCTTCTGGCAGGAGCTACTCTCCTACATCTCATTCCTGTTCCCATTCTCCGCCCCGTTCTTACCCTCTCCCAATGGGAACTACCATTTCGTGGAGCAGAGCCCCTCCGATAAACGCGCTGGTGGTAGTCGGCAGCACTATCAACAGTACTACAACGGTGCTGACACCGAGTCCGGCCTAGTAGAAGAAGACCTCAGCCCGGGAGGCGACTACATCCGTCTCCTCCTGCTACCCAAGTCCTTCTCCCCGGAATTCCGCGAAAACTGGGACGATTACCGCACAGATTTCTGGGAAAAAGAAAACGAGCGTCGCGCCCAGCTCCGCCTGAAACTACGCGAGCGCGAGCACCACCTCGCCCAAACAGAAAGAGGCTGGCTCAACCGACTCGGGTTCGGCTGGCGCGCCTCACAGCGCCGCCGCCTTGTCGCAGGAACCCTGCACCGCCCAATCGAGCCCGAATTCAAACACCGTCTAGGCCACGGCCACCACCCCTCCATCACGAAACTCAACCAGGAGCAACGCGGCCCATCCTCCCGCCGCAATACCCGCTCCGAGTCCCATTCCCGCACCTCATCCCGCAGCACCACTCCCGTCGACACAGGCTTCGAAGATCGTCCCCCTTCTCGCTCTTCCACTTCCAGTCGGCCCCGTCGCGGAAGCACCGCCTCTGGACAGGACGCGAGCCCGCAGCAGCGGAAACGGAAGGGCTCGACGCTTCGGAGGGGTCTGTCGCCTCTCACTCAGGCGCAGATTCGGGAGGGTGTACGTACGCCGTCCTTCTCGTCTGATGACTCTGTGTTGCCTATGGGTATGATTGAGAAAGATAAGGAGGAGGCCATACCGAATTCTGTTCCGGAATTGTAGTTAATAGCACCTTAGTACGAAATGTTGTTCATGCTTATGCTGTTCATATCTCTATACCCTGTTTTTTTGGTTTTTTTTTGGTCTCTTGTCATGTTTGCCAGACAATTGTTGCTCGGAGTGCTGTCTTAGGAAACTTACATTAGCTATGTATACATATCCCTTAGAGCGCGGTGTCGTGAGTTCTATAGATAAGCACTAATGCCTCGCCTATATATGATGGTGTGTTAGATTTGATTCCTTTGGAAACTCCTATTTTACTGCATCATCAGTGTCAAAATAAACGAATCACTGCTAATCTGATCACATCACATGGCATGGCATTACGATTGCAGGTGAGCTAAGCGTAGGACTACCATTCAGGTCTTGGTGGAAGTCAAGGATCGAGTATTCATTCATATTTCTCGTATTGAGTTCACTAATATTCCCCCACAAACCCACTCCATACGCCAAACACACAAAAAAAAAACATGCAATGATATCAATCCCAATGCAATGACAAGAAAGCATGCTCGTAAAACTGGACGCATACAAATCCAGTATTCTCCCCTCCACACGAGGAGAAAAGTATTAACAGTGCCGCATAACCCAGATAAATTAGACCCGGTACACATCCTCCTCGTCCTCGAGGTACATCAGGATATTATCGTCGTTCATGACCCGCAAGGCCTGGATAGCCTCGGGGCGGGAGAAGACGTGTGAAGCGCCAAGTTTGGACGATTCCCGGATAGCAGTATTAACAGCATTGATCAGGTCGTCAATCTTGCATGTATCGCTGTCCTTGAACACAGTCTTGCCCATGAGCGGGCCCAGAGTCTGTCGGAAGACTGCCATGCGGGCAGGGGTGATCGGGGCATCTGTGGAAGTGGACTGCGAGTCTGTCTGAGATTCAATGAGCTGCGAGGCTGGCTGTGAGGATGCCATTGACATCTGAGAGTCTGTTTGTGTTTGAGCGCGGGCTGTCTGGCTCGAACGCAGGCGTTGAGCGCGAGGGCTGGCTGTGTATAGGCTGTCTGGGTCTTCGTCCTCGTCGAGAACTGGAACACTGGACTGCGTTGCAGTGCCGCGGGTGCGTGCTGTGCCTGTACGTCTACCCGGTGTGGCGGTTGATGTGTTGCGGGCGGTGGTGTCATCATCGGAGTTGTCGTCGAGTTCGGCATCGCTGTCGTCGTCGGAGGAATCGTCAAAGGTGGTCACCTTGCGTCTCTTCCGGCGCTCGTCTTCGACCACTTCCTTGAACATGGCGAAGCGAAGGATAGCCTCGGCATGTTTGGCATCCTTCTCGTCTACTCGGTTAGACAGGCGGGCCTTAGCATGTGCAGTGGACAGACGAATCAGTGTCTCCAGGGTACGTGGGGTAATGGGCGATGTGCGACGCTTATTGCCGGTGAGTTCATCGTTTCGCAGAGCAGAGTATGTGGCGATGACGTGGTCAGCAGCACCCTTGGTCAAGACGGGCATGATTCGCTTCTTGGCGTATTGGATGTACTTCTTGATGAAGGGAATACTGATGATTTCCACATTCTTGCCACGACGGCGGCCAGCATTGGCAGCATCAACCATACCACCGTGGAGCATGACATTAAACTTCTCGAAAACCTCACTTGGCGCGTTGGCATCTTGGCGGTCTTCACCACCCACGCCCAATGTTTGGTTAAGCTGTTCACGAACGGGCGCGCCCTCCTCAGTTCCAGGCTGGCGGTAACGGTGCATGCGTAAAACGTGCTCGGAGATTATTCGGTCGTGTGCGTCCTCAATATCATCAGTCACGACGAATAGCAAATCGAAACGAGAAAGCAAGGAGTCGGGAAGAGCAATGTTCTTGTGCGGGTCCTTGTGGGGATCATATTGGCCATAAACCGGGTTGGCTGCTGCAAGGACACTGCAGCGAGCGTTCAAGCTTGTGTGGATACCGGCTTTTGCGATTGTCACGGTCTGCTGTTCCATGACTTCGTGAATGGCGACACGATCCACATCACTCATCTTGTCGAATTCATCAATACACACCACACCACGGTCACCGAGGACCATAGCACCAGCCTCCAGTCGACGCTCGCCGGTTTCTTTGTCAGATGTAACGGCAGCAGTCAAACCGACACCGGAAGAACCACGACCGGTAGTAGCGATTGCCAGTGGCGCGGTATTCAACACGAAACGCAGAAGCTGGGACTTCGCAGTCGAGGGATCACCAACCATAAGAATGTTGATATCACCACGAAGATGGGTTCCGTTATCCAAGTTCTTCTCCATTCCACCAAGAAGCATCAGAAGAATGGCTTTCTTGATGTAGTCATGTCCGTGGATACTGGGAGCCAGAGACTTGGACAACAAGTCAAATACGTTCCTCTTCTTGGCAATCTGGTTGATGTTTCGAATATCCGTATCCGTAAGCACGGCCTCTGCAATACCTCCGCCGCTTTTCGACGACAACTGGATAATGTTGTTCGCCATGACGACGGTGCGGAAGGTCGACGAGCCACTACCTCCATTACCGAGGGTACGGTAGATACCGACCAGCTGGATTCTGTCGCCAGGCTTGGCGGTGTCGACGAGGTCGTCGTCCAAAATGACATCGACACTTCGAGGCAATTGTCCTGCCGGGGCACGTTCGGGCATCTCTTGGATGGAAATCGACTGGTGGTCGAGATATGTTGAGTAACCGTACTCAGTGATAAGCTAAAAATTATGTCGTTAGTCTCAAATAATCGAGTGAGATTGTCCGAGCTAGACTCACAGGGTTCTTTTCATCGTCCTCTTGAGGGTAAACGTTCAAACTGGTTGCGCCGCTGGCACCCATAGTTTGATCACGATATTTTCTGGCAACAAACCGATCCTTTCTCTCGACGTAGTGAACACTCTGGACGACCTTGGGGCGTACCAAAGAGCATTTTGTCACAATTCCCTCGAGTGAGACCATGTGGTTCAATTGTTCTGAGCCCAATGTGCGCGGGTTGCAGGAGAATTCTCCAAATGCGCCGACATAAGCGCAGTAGTAGTTCTGTCGATATCGTTAGACATTCAATGTCTGCTAAGAATCATCCCAAACCGAATACACACCGCTTCATCTGAGGTTTCTCTAAGTGGTCGACCGGGTAGGGTTTTGACAACCGCCTTCAACGCAGCGTCAAAGGCTTGTGAATAATCGAACGGCGAAGAGAGCAGCCTACAACCATTAGTTGGTGAACCCAATTGCACTTGTTATAGAGGTATGAGTTACCCATCGGCAAGCTCCCGGTTGTGTGCTCTGATTTCATCGATGCTGACCTGTCCAAAATTATCAGCACCAGCTCCTGGCAAGGAATTTCGCAGATCCACGCACTGTCAATCGTCGCGCACCCTTGTTCAGCATAACCACAATGTCTGCTCGATAACTTTTCCAGTCTGTTAGATATATATTGTAGCACATTAATCTTCGAGATCGACGAACCTGCGTGCCCGTGCATCATCTGAAAAAAGAACTTTGTTAGTTTTAAAGGGACCATAACACTTAACACAATGGACTTACTAGGGTCAAGAAATTCAGTTGCGGCACGCACGCGATCCTGCGCGGCCTCATCACGTAGTTGTAAACCGTCCATGATGTGTGATGCAATATAGTGTTGGTGGGAAGGAGGGAGTCGAGGGGGCCGATTGGGATTTCCCGATTTGCTAAAGTGGAACGCGTGAAGTTGCACGCGAGAAGGCGCGTCCCACGGATACCACGGGCCGTGCTGACTCAGCGAATAATTTTTCAAAAGCTATATAAACCCCCATCCCCCCGATCCTTTTCTTCTTCTTCAAGCGACTCTACGTGCGTTCTCCTCCCCCCAAACAGTTGGAAACCTTCCGGGTTTTCCATACTGGACATTGGCATTTTGAACTTTTCAACTGACTTTTCTTCCTCTACAGTTCAAAGAATCACTTTAGAGTAGACGTCCCCTTTCTAAACTCTTTAAAAGAGCCACAGAATCTCCACCCTTGCTGATGACTACATGTCCTCGATGCCCTAAAGTGAAACCTTTTTACTCCCGCCTCGACTGTTACGCGTGCTGTCCGCAGTGTCTGTGTTTCGGTCTAGGGAGTGGTGATGATCTTGACCTGGTCTCGACGTCTGACTTCGGTCGGTCGGTCCTGGTGGGTGTCGAGGAGGTCTGAAAGGTCCTCTTCCATTTCGGTTGACGGTGTGGACCGCTGTGTGTGGGCTGCTAGCTGTTCATTTAATATACTGTTTATCCTCAATGAAAAAAGAAATTTGATTCAAATTCAATACCCGTAAAGATTCTCGTAACTGATGTTCCGTCTATATTACGTACGAACTTACCCTAGGCGTGTAGTTGTGAAACCATTCCTCATGTTAATACAGTGACTGGGCATTAGTTTTTGCACCCCTGGCCCCACACCCCGATGATTATATAATATTCTGCCAGCCAAAAAAAAGCATATATTATAATTATCTTTAATAATAATAGTGTATAATAAAAGCATTCGTTTTAAAGGTCTAGAAATGAAGAATACACCATTTTATTTCCTAAAAATCAGCTTTACGTGCTATTTTATGGTGATCCTATTCATGGATACTACGCGTTTTAGGTAGGCGGTATAGATATATAGTGGCGGTGAGCTATGTGGGGCTATGGGGGGTGCAAAAACTTATGTCCACTGACTGTAGATGTTCGGCCCAATATGGCATTTTGCACTCTACCGTTGCCGGTTCAACGTACCATAGCAACGACGAAATAATACTACATAGATTTAAGAAGACAAGAGAATTTGATTGCTTATGTGGCCTCTATACTAGTAAACATTGCGATATCTCTTTGAATTTATCTTTCCACTCTTGGTTCCATAACTAGAAAACGGAAGAATAAGGAGCCAAACAGTACACAGACTTGCATATATATATATAACCAGTGATACCTCATGAAAGTTGAGAAAATCAATGTATTGTACAAAACTAATGTTAGAAACAAGGATATATATACAAGCTAAAATTACAAAGTCACTGTACATGGAGCACGCTGCTCAACGGTCGTCGCTCGGTTCTTCCCTGGGCGTCGTCCAGGGTCCCTTGTACTTTCTTCGCACGTTGTCTCGTTGTGAGGGTGTTCGTCCAGGTTTCACATGCAGCCCAGAATTGGGTTTGAAGAGAAGGTGGGTTGGAGTATGCAGCTTCCACTTGCGGTTATGCTTGTCGAACAGTTGCCGCTCAGGGGTCGGCTTCTGGAAGTCGGGATGTTGCAACCTTCTCAAACGTCGCTTGTAGGCCTCAGCGGACGGGATATTATTGGACTTGAACGCCTTCTCCATACTCTCCTTGTAATGGCTGGCTTTGAGCTTCCATTGTGTTGTCACATTATATTCCTCGTCAATTGCGGTTTGCAGGTCAACTTGGTCCTGGCGAGGAAGGATGCTTGCCAAATCGCCCAATGAGCTCTGTTCTGGACTGCGGAATAAGCCAGTACGATTCAACTCGTCCGCGGAAGACACGGACAATTGGGTTTTGTTCGATAGGAGAGGCTCCTCAGCCGCTCTCTTAAAGCTGCGTTCTTGTCTGTTGCAACGAGGGCCAAGAGCACCAGTGCGCGAGGAGAACAGGTGGGCCTGGCGTGGAAGCATCTCGCTTCTTGCTGCATGGCCGCGCAGGATTGTACCCTGATGTTTGTCAGGCACATATGGCATCGCGGCGAGGGTATCGACAGTCCGTGGCGCAATTTTGTAGAGATTTGCCAGATGCTGATTCCCCTCCATAATGCTTGTTTGCCGGAGCCTTTGCAGTGTGCCGGCTAGTTGGACCATGGTAGGGTAATGGGGGTGCATGTAATCGGGCTCGATTTTGCGCCAATGTTCTCGGGCCAATTTTCCCATCATTCTCCGAGGTTTAGTGATACCCGAGCGACCTTCGAGATGGAGGATTGTCACGGGGGCATTGAGTGGTCTCACGCCATATCCCTTGAGAAACCATGACCAACCAGGGAAATGAGCGATGAACTTCTCCTCGAAGAGTCGAAATGCCTCCACATTGTCGGGATAATTATCAGATGTCGCAAGCGATCGAACGTAAGCTGACCAGTTGAAACCAGTCAATGCAAAGCCTGCTGTCTGAACTTCGGCCACAACTTGATGCATTCTCTCAAACATGCCTCGGCGAGCCAACGAGTGCAGGTAAATCGAGAGTGGAGAGTCCAGGATGAAACGTTGGGCAGGAATGATTTTGGGCTTATCTGATTGAGTGGTGGGCATTGAAAGCATTGACGGGAGAGGGGACTCAGCTGGTGCTGGCAGGGTTGACATCGGCGACTGTGAAGACAAGATTTTGTCAAGGTCACAGGTACCGGCCGTCTTGCTTACATTTGCCATAATAGTGTGCCAGCACTCTTCTACTTTCTCGTAGTTCTGGGTTCTAAGATAAGCATTCATAACGGCTTTGATGAAGTCAATCGGTAAGGATGCCAATTCATCGCCGTCCGATGATCCCGCAGTTCGTCTGGATTGTATGTAATGGTTGAAGGTTTGGAGTGCCTTTTCAGCGCCACCATGGAGGCCGTATGCGTCGATCAGCCGTTGATAGTGGGTATCACTGAAAGACTCAACAACAAAGCCCTCTAGCGGGCTAGATAATCGACTGTTGGGTGGCGAGGGATTGGTATCGAATCGTGCGATTGATTCAGCAAGTGTCTTTTCTGCGTTCTCGAAGACAATATCTTCAACAGGTGCCTGAAGATCTTTTGCGCTTTCCACGTCTCTCGCAATCTGCATTCTCAGGTTCAACAGGCTCGCCTCCATCCCAACTCGACCGAAGCGTGCTTGCATTTCGCGGGAGATGACATGCACCATATCGCGGTTCCGTTGCTTCACATATCCGAGCAAGAGAATACAAAAATGGTGCTCGGTTGCTTCGAATCCAACTTCATGCATCTTCCTGAGAGTAGTCTGCGCACGATCCACTTGCTTGGAATAGACATAAGCAAGCATAATAGCCGCGTAAGTCATTTTATCCGGTTTCAAGCCTAGCCGTCCCATGCGGTCAAGGACGCGTCGGAAGGAAAACTTGGATACCCTGAATGCATATCGCATTAGAAGAAAATTCCACATTCGCAAGGGAGACCCCCCCACCGCTAAATCCCAGCTGCTTGCGACAAGCTCTTCTGCATGACCCAATTGCCCATTCTTGCAGTACGCCTGAACAGCCGAATCAAGCATCGGCCTCGTGATTCGTACTCGGCTCTTCTGCGCCTCTTTGAGTAATTGACGGATGGCTTCGATGTCGCCTCGCTGGGCGAAAATCCCCATCAGTGTGCCAAACGTGTACGAGTTGGGAGGTACATAGTTTTCTCGCATTTCTGAGAAGGCAGCTATAGCACCTGATAGATCCTTGGCAGTAGTGTGCGCCAGAAGCAGTATATTCCAGCAGACTGTGTTCAGCGGGAGGCCAAATTCTGTAGGAATTCGATCGAATTGTCGCCGTGTTTCGCGCACATCACCTAGCCGCGCGTGAACGACAAGAAGGGGGGTCACCGACCTTTGGGTCTTTGGGCTGCCGTGATCTGCAACGAACCTGTCGAATAAGTGTTGGACGGTTTGCACATCCCCAGTCTTAGAAAAAGCAACCATTGCGTCATTGTATGAGCGGACGCTTGTTTGTTTATCCTTATCAAACTCCGCCTCTTCGTCCAAAAAGTATGGCAAGCTGTCGGTCATCTTGAATTTCAACAAGCTTTGAATGATGGAACGAATCGTTTGTATGGTTGGCCTTGCTAGCTCATGTTGTTTGCGCAATTGGCGATACAAAAGGATGCAATTGACAAATTCCGACCGCTGCTCTGATCTTAGGTAGACATTTATCGAAAGAAAATAGTGAGCGGGGGTCGTAAAACCGATATCTCCGTACTTGAGCAACAGTGAAAGCATAGTTGATATCGGTGTGAGTTTGACCATGTCACGAGACTCGAAAAATCGTTCAAATAGACGGGAGCTAAAGTCTCTGGCCGCAGGGGTAAGATACTTGTTATCGGCTGCCAAGTACTTTCTTAAATCAAGGAGATGCCTGGGTAGGGAATAGCCAGGAAAGTGAAAGCGATCAAGCCGATCTAGCAAAGATTCCAATGGCGGTCGCTCGTTTCCAGGAGTCTCCAATAGGGAGCTCCATAATGAGACAATTCTGGGCCACTCTCTGTTTTCCACCATGTGCATCAGGCCCAGCGAGATGATCTCTTGAGCAAATGGCGTGGAAATGGCTCGCCGGCAGATACCGCCAAGATTCGCGGGTTTTCGATCCGGCAATGATAGAAGCCGTGAGCTTATAATGTTCTTAAAGTCTAACTCAGTGAGATCTTCGGGTGCGATTGCTCTGAAGAGCGTCCATGCTCGCATTTGTTCCTTTTCTCTGGATGATTTACTCATATATGCACAGAGTGCAGAATTGAGTTCCGACGGACATCCGGCTGCGACGTACATCACCCAAGCTTTATCAAATTCGCTGCCATTCTTCTGAAGGAAAGCCCGGAGTGTTGCGCTCGCTTTCCCGTCCTTATCAAGAGATTCTGGATCCTGAGGCTCTTGGGCCCGGTTGGATGCGTCTTCGTGGGTGGATGAAGTCTTTGCGGTAGCTTGTTGAAGACTTGAAATGGAAGCATAAGATCTGGAAAAGCCCAGGTTTGGTCTCCTCCGAAATCCAGTCCTGTTCTGGGAGCGAGGCAGACGCGAAGCTACCAAAGTTTGAGCATGCCCAGGATATAAGAATTCGAGCGATGGCCCTATCCCATCGCTTGGCTCTCCGCTTTCGTGTTGACTGCTAAGAACGGGGGACGATCGTTGGCCTGACGCCTGCAAAAGCGCGATAAACCACTGAGGAGCATCCGCTCCGGCGCCATTGTGCTTCCAGAAATGACCGGACAGGCAGTTTCTTTTTCGGATCACGCCATTGGAATCTTGAAGGAAACGCCGTCCCGCGTTCTCGAGGCAGCCTGTTGCACGTTCGAGCATCACCCTCAGTCGTAGTTTGAAGCCGCAGGATGCCGTTATGATTCCGCGGTTTGTATTGTGTTCGGTTCAGAAGCTCTGTCTAGATAATACTCGAGTCAGAAAACTGTCCTAACAAGCAATTGAGCATGTTGTCCTTGGTGGTGCCATTCGTACCAAGGAAAGAAAACCAGACTCCTCGAATTGTGGACCACAAAGTCGCTCACACACAGATCCCGGACATGAATTGCCAATCAAGGTCCAAGCACCTTGATTTGAACAAAAAGGCAATGATAAATCCAAGGTCCCATAAGCTTGGAGAAAACAACGCAAAAGATTCGGAGGTGCATGAAATTGCCGGGGGTTCACCGCCTTTACTGAGCCCACCACTTCAACCGTGTCCCTCCCATTCTCATCACAAGGACCCCGAATAAAAGAACAAGAAAGGAAAATATCATGGAGGTCACTGATTTTATCTTCAAAGAGCGAGAGGAAGTTCTCCTGGTGGGTGACTACAATGCCTACCGGGCACACACTACCAGAAAACTGCAGAAACTCCGCAAGAAGCTTGGTCAGGCCACAGTCAAAGGTCGCAAGTATACTGCCAAACCAGCTGTGACTGCTGAAAATGTTGGAAGCAATGTGTCGTATGTTGCTTACCCAAATTTCCATTCCCAATTACTGCTTTGACTAGATTTCTAACATACGCTAGATATGTACATCTTTTGCTTCTTAGTTCCGAACGAGCTTGGGCGCAAGCAATGCACATGAAGTCCACACATTCCGCAGATACTTCCGCAAAGGGCATCTCTGGCGCTGCTCGGCGTCACATCATTTCACGACTGAACAAGGCCACTGGGTATGCGCAGCATCTAGTCTCGCTACTTCACGAACAATCACTTTCTGGGACAAGTGACATGGATGTCCTGGAGACTCGGGCTTATTTGGCAATGATTTCCGGTACTCTCTGGCTTGAAAAGCGGAAATGGGAACAGTGTCTCCAAGACTACTCCATCGCAAGAGTGATTTACACGGCTTTGGGTCAAAGGGTCAAGAGAGACGCTTTTCGGGATCTGCTCTCGGGGACTGTTGACCCAAGTCTCCGATACGCCGCCTATCAGATGAAGCTTCCCCGCTCCAAACCTACCTCATCGCTAGCCATTGAATTCTTCCCACTGGATTCAGAGATTCGCGCCGAGGTTGAGAAGATCGACCCCTCTTGTCTCGCCGAAGAAGCAGCCGGTACTCGACGAACTGCAGAGGGAGAGGTGCAGGAATTGCCCCAATCTGTCACTTGGAGATCGCGAACTGTCCCACTGGATGACGCCTCAATTTCTCAATCGCTAGCTGCTGCTTCGGCCGCGGAGGCTCGCCTCACTACTTGGCTGGCAGGCGCAGGAAAGTCGGCCGCTGCTAAGGATAAAGCTGCTGCATATGACAATGTGATTATTGCCAGTCAGGATGCTGTCGATGCTACCAAATCTGCCATTGATGACCTGGCTAGTGAGGGTGTTGATCCTAGCGATAAGAGAATGCAGGCACTGCAGATCACTCGAACTGCAGTTAATTATACTTTGGTTGGTTGGCGAGTCGGCCGTAACCGGGTGTTGTGTGGAGAAAGGGACGGTCTGTCATTTGAGGAACAGCAACCGACGTCGAATGGAAAGGACACTGCGAAGCACACTACAGGCAATGGCAAGAAGTTGAACAAGCTCCGTGAGCGTGTTGTCCTATATGATTCGACACTCCAGAGCTTAGAATTTATTCTCGAGCTTCCTGGTGTTGCCGCCGACTCGGCCTTTGTGCAGGATCTAGAGGCAAAGCGGCACTACTTCCGTGCTCTCAGGTATGGCTTTTCACCACGATCCTCACTGATTTTCGCAACTAATCACTTTTTTTCTCCCCCCTTCTTTAGATGTCTTGCTTTAGGAAGATCCCATGGAGTGCTTTCGAAGTCAAAGGAGGCTCTTGCGCTGTTTTCTCAAGCCCTGAACCTCGTAGCATCCGCTTCTCCCCAGTCGGCAACAAATACTGAAGGTGTCCCCAAGCTCGACGTCTCCCGAGTGCAAGCAAGTATCTTGGAGTCAAGTTTGCGAGAATTGGTTGCTCAGTACCGTGGACTTGTCACTCTGGAGAAAGTGACTGCTGAAGAGGCGGCACAATCGAGCCAGCGGCCAGTAGTAGAACGACTACAACAGTTCGCAGGATCTGGACTGAACCTTAATAATTTGGTGCCGTATCCACCTCAAATGCAGCCCATCCCCGTCAAGCCTTTGTTCCTTGATGTGGCATGGAACTACATTGATTACCCGCGCGAAGGTGGCCAGCGACAGGAGGGTCCAACTCAGGCACAAGCTCAATCCCAAGGTGCCGAAGAAGAAACGAAAGGCCGTCGTGGATGGTTTGGTTTTGGCGGTCGCTGAAACCCCTTACATAGATGCCATGCTACGAATACCCATTGATACATATCGATACCTCTAGTAACTTTGAATGTGTACGACATAGTACGATATGTACGTAGTAACAAGCATGAGCACGTGCATATATGAACCCTTACTTCACGACCAATCAGCGACGATCCAACTCTCGGGAATTCTCTAGCCGGTGTCACGTCGTGCTGAGTAATTGTGATATGGCTTTACGCTGACTTGTTTGTATTCTTGGATATACCTAGTTGTCCTACTTTATACGGAGTATAGACTAAGGCTTTCCAGCATTATTTTGTTATTTTGGAGAACTCCCAGAATAAAATCCCCTTGGAAACCCACATCGATACTCCGTATCCGTATCCGGATCATCATATCATTAATATTTAAGCCCGGCTCGGAGATTAGTGCTGAGAACCCCGAACTATATAGGCTTAAAGCAGAGATTGTCCCAAGAATAACACAAACTAAACACATGTACGAGTACTCGGTACAAAAATTTTTTTTATCTATATGAAAATCAACCTAACAGAATCTATTGAATATTAATTAGGCCAATAATTCAAATCACAATGAACATTATTTATGCATCTGATATGGGCTAATGCTGCTAATGCTGGGCATCCCGGGGCCTCCGTGTAATTGGCGTTCCCGCCCCTGAGGGCCCCAGTCAATTCTTTCTCCCCTCTCTCCACTCACTTTTTTCCCTTTTTGTTCTGGCTTCCTCCCTTCTCATTAGCAATTCCCTTTCTCTTCAATTCTTGCTCGGAAATTTGACCCCGTGGACTCCCCAGCATGGTCAATATGGCCAACCTCACCGGGAGCTTCGTCTCGCCATCGGCGGATGCGACGGTCTCGCCCCAACTTTTCGCGCCGTCCGGTCTCGTTGCCACCATATTGGATGGCTTCACTATCTGGAAGGGCCTGTTGACTCTATTTGTCGCCGCCGTCATCTATGACCAGGGTGAGTGCGAATGCGATATGGGTGGCCTTTCAGATCGCGTCTTGAAACTAACCACGACCCCCTATTTACAGTCAAGTACCACTACCTCAAGGGCGCCATTGTTGGCCCTATGTACAAGATCCCCTTTATGGGCCCATTCCTGGAATCAGTCAACCCCCAATTCACCAAATACAAGGCCAAATGGGACAGTGGAGACCTCAGCTGTGTTTCCGTCTTCCACAAGTGAGAAGTCCCAAATGTACTTATTTCCTGTTGGGTCTGCTCTCTAACAATATTCTACAAAGGTTCGTCGTCATTGCGTCGACTCGTGATATGTCCCGGAAGATTTTCAACTCGCCCACCTATGTCAAACCCTGTGTTGTGGACGCCGCGCACAAGCTTCTCGGCAAGACTAACTGGGTCTTCTTGGATGGCAAGGCCCATGTGGATTACCGTAAGGGTCTGAACGGGTTGTTCACTCGCCAGGCCCTGGCCATGTACCTCCCCCGCGCCGAGGAGGTTTTCAACTCTTACAACCAGCACTTCCTCAAGAAGTCCGCTGCCACCAACTTCACCCCGACCCCCTGGATGTCCGAGTTCCGCGAGCTTATGTGTGCTCTGTCTTGCCGTACCTTTGTCGGTTACTACATCACTGATGAGGGTGTCCAGAAAATTGCCGATGACTACTATCTGATCACTGCCGCCCTCGAGCTGGTTAACTTCCCTATCATCCTTCCCTACACTAAGACCTGGTACGGCAAGAAGGCCGCCGATATGGTGCTCATGGAGTTCACCAAGTGTGCTGCTAAGTCCAAAGCCCGTATGGCTGCCGGCGGCGAGATCTCCTGTATCATGGACGCCTGGGTTAAGGCCCAGCTGGATTCCGCTGCATACCGCGAGAAGATTGAGAAGGGAATCCCGGTTGATTCTTCAGAGAAGCCTAGCCAGGTTCTTCGTGAATTCTCCGACTTCGAAATTGCCCAGACTATCTTCACCTTCCTGTTCGCTTCCCAGGATGCAACCAGTGCCGCCTCCACCTGGTTGTTCCAGCTGATGGCTGACCGCCCCGAGATCCTGGACAAGGTCCGTGAAGAGAACCTTAAGATCCGTAACGGTGATCGTGATCTCCCTGCCACAATGGATATGCTAGACCAGATGCCCTACACCCGCGCCGTCGTTAAGGAGACACTGCGCTACCGCCCTCCTGTCATCATGGTTCCCTACCTGGTCAAGAAGGACTTCCCTATCAGCGAGACCGTCACCGTCTCCAAGGGCTCGATGATCATTCCTTCCGTGTGGCCCGCATGCCACGACGAGGAGGCTTACCCCAACGCCGACTCGTTCGATCCAGACCGATGGATCACCGGTACCGCTGAGCAGCAGACCAAGAACTGGCTGGTCTTCGGCACAGGTCCCCACTACTGTCTGGGTCAGACCTATGCTCAACTTTCCCTGATGTCCATGATTGGAAAGGCCAGTATGGTGATGGACTGGGAGCACACCCCCACCCCCGAGTCAGAGGACATCAAGGTTTTTGCCACTATCTTCCCTCAGGTATGTTCAAATTCATTTTCTTTCATGATCAATTCACTAATATCTATTAGGATGACTGTCTTCTTACCTTCCGCCCCCGCGCTTAAATTCTCCCTTTTTGTACAAAACCCCAAAGCGAAGTTGGAACCCAGCCCCATTTTCTAGACAGAGGGCTTGGTTACCTTGACATGATGCCTTCCTGTCCTGGAGATGGGGTGGTCCGCTGACACTTTTCTTCTTTCTTCGATTTTGATGCACAATGAACGCTCAATACAGGACAAGTCTTTAGCACATGTTTCTCTTAGAGGGACCTTTCATACCCTTGCGCAAAGAACCCCCATTGCGATTATGATTACCTGTTGCCCGTGAGGGGTCGCGGGGGGTTTCTTGTTTCTTTTCTTCAAAGTGACGACTCCTAGGGCCATGCATATTAGAACAATATTAATTATCTTTCTTTCGCTTAAATATTTATGACATGTCAGATATTTGTTGATACACTTGAGTTAACTAAACATCCTATATCTTCTCACACCTTGGGATCACGTTTTTATATACAGCTTGGGTAAATTTTTCAATCACAAGATCTTATTTACTTGGTATACCAACACTCCACTATATATCTGTGCTATCTCGACTCCACACGAAATTAAACAAAATCTATCTTGACTCTCAAACAAAACTTCCCTAGCCATAATTTACCCAATTGATTCATTTCCACCAGTCAAAAATCTCAATATTGCCTTAGTATTGCCTGTATAATACCCCCTCAAAAACCCTAAACCAGTATGAGGTCACGTGCAACAGATACTGACATCACAGTCCCTCATCCCGAGATAATAACTCCCGACTCACCTCCGCGGACAATCAAAATCCAGAATCAAAACGATGGCTTCAACATTATCATCAAAGATCCAGCGATCTGCTATCGTGCTGTCTTCCGCCGCAGTCAGAACCCCGGCGCGCAGTGCGGTATCACCAGCCGCATCCTTGCACCGAGCTATCTCCGCACCAGCAAGAGGACTAGTTACTTCTCCTCAGAGACGTGTTGTCCCTGGTCTCCTGGCACCATCATGCAGTCTCCAAACCAAGCCAAGCCTGAACACCAAGAGTGCGAGTGCGCGCCAAGTGCAGACACGGTGGAATAGCGATGACGCTAGCTCGGTCAAACTCCGGGAATGGGGTTTCGAAGATGTATGTACTCACCAGAGCAGACCGGCTCGGACATTATTCCTCTGCTCAATTAATTCCTTCCTTGAAGCGAATATCCCAATAAGCACAACCATAAAACTGTCGTTACGAAACTAACAAAAAACCAAATCAGATCAATACTGCCCTCCCAACCTCATCCCCCGATTCCCCAACCCACAAGCCCATAATCCTAGTCGACGTGCGCGAGCCCGCCGAACTAAAAGGCACGGGTATAATTCCTACTGCAGTGTGCGTCCCGATGGCATCACAGGGAGACGCATGGTACCTCACGCCAGACGAATTCGAGACCCGGTTTGGATTCGCTAAGCCCGATCCCACGGAGGGCGAGGGCGAGCCTGCGCAGATGGTCTTCTATTGCAAGGCTGGTGTGCGGGCTGTGGCAGCGGCGCAGATGGCTGTGCAGGCTGGATATGATCCTGCTAATATTGGGGTTTATTATGGTAGTTGGTTGGATTGGGAGAGGCACGGAGGGAAGGTTGAGAGGTGGGATGGGGATGATTATTGAGTTAGGTTCATTTCCTATGTGTTTGATAGTGTTTCTGGGGATAAAGGCAGTTTACCGAGTACGTTGGTCTTGGTCTGTGGGCTGAGAAGAGGATTGATTGTACATACTACATAATGCTGAATAGGATATTGAAGGATAGATAGATCATCTTGTCTATTCTAATATTCTCAAGCAACCGCTCGATTTGGTCTGTGTCCTAAAGAAGACCGATCTTAAGTTTCAAAACTGGTTTGCTCCCGCGGGTTAAAGACAGATAAAGATCAACTATGTACTCAAAAGTATATTCTCTAATGCAAATGCTTGAATAGTATAAATTCAAATCACTATAACAGAAACAAAAGATATGGTATCGACCAGGCCTTGCTTTTCCTATATCATGTACATGCGACTTCTCTCGCTGTTCATCCATCAAGTCATGGTCATTCATTGCATGTTCAGATCGTAATCAAAATAGAATAACTTTTCCGCTTTTCGATAGCAATTGTCATAGCCTAGTAGATTTCGATTCGTTTCCTCCAAACTGGGCTATGATGGAACCGAAGGCCAGAGGGCCGACGGAGAACAAAGCTCGCCACTTACTGGCATTTGATCGTCAACTTCGCTCGAGGATAGGTATCGCAAGGCTGGAATGGGTCCGGTGCTGACGATTCTTGATATGAAAACATCGCGCACCGGAAAGAAGCCCTAAGACCGAATTCAAGGAATGTCGAACACGGGCTTGAGCTTCTTGACCAGAGCCCATTCCTCCATAGAGACTTCGGACCGGTAGAACTCCTTGAGGGTGTCGATACTGGCACGCGAGATGTGCGAGATAAGCTGGTCCTTCTCTTCGAGGTGACGACCATACATGGGCTGGTTGGGTCCCTCGACCTTAACAGCAACGGAGGGCTGACCTCTCTTGCAGACAGGGACGGCCTTGTGATCGCGCTCGATGGATGTGCTGTGAAAACGGTTGCGTTAGAAATCAGACAAAAAAAGAAACAAAAAAAAAAAAAAAAAAAGAAAAAAGAAAAAGATGAAGGGGACCAAAACTTACACTCTACCAATATCGACGATCTCCCTTACACCAGCAGAGTTGGTCCTGACCGCAGCCAGAGGGGTGTGGAGACGCAGACTTCCTTCAATGACATCCACACCGATGACAATGGGGTCGGTCTTGTTGAAGACAGCAATGGGCTTGATGACACAGGGGAAGATAGCAAGAAGCTTAGCCTCCTCCTTACGCTGCTCTGTGATCTGAGCCATGTGCTCAGTGAAGTTATCGAACAAGTGGTAAATGATGTCGGCGGTGAAAATCTTGACACCAATTTCGTTGGCATAGGCCGTTGCATCCTTATCGACCTTGACATCGAAGCAGAGCATAACAGCATATTCCTTACTCTTCTCTAGCATGGTACCAGCCATCATGACATCACGCTTGTAAACGGGACCGATGGAAATATTGGCAACAGGAATCTTGGAGACCTTGAGGAACTCCAGGAGAGCCTCAAGCGAACCCAGGGTGGAGGCTTGGACAGTGACACCACGCTGATCAGTCGAGACACGGCTCAGCAGGTTCTCCAGATCACTCATGACCTCCTCCTCAAGATCCTCCTCATCATCGTCAGGGCCGACGACAAGCATGCGAGAACCAGCAATAGCGTGCTCCAAGTCGTTGGCAGCAATCTTCACACCGAGGGCAGCCTTGACCTCCTTGTTGTGAACGTACTGGGACTTCAGACGCAGCTCCTTGAGCGGTGCTGGCGTCAGAAGAGCACGGATATTGGTTGTGATAGGACCGTTGAGACCGCACATTACGATGCGATCACCCTCGCGAAGGATACCGTTGGAAAGGATAACGTCAATAGTGGTACCGAGACCCTCAATGACCTTGACCTCCAGAACCGTACACTCGACTTCGGACAAGTACATCAGCGAGTTGGTCATACGCTCTTGACTCAGGCTGGTCAGGAGCTTCAGCATATCAGGAACACCTTCTCCGGTGTGGGCGGAGGTGGGAACGAGAGAGACGTTGCGAGACAGAGACTTGTTCTCGAAGAACAGCTCGGAGTTGAAACCCTGCTCGGCGAAAGCAAGCTTGGTGGCGTCGAGACGAGTGCGGAACTCGTTTTGAACACCCTTGTTCTGCATAGCCAAACTATCCTCGAAGCCGTTGTTGTCAATCTTCTTCCAGCCGTAGAGACGATCGATCTTGTTCAATGCGACAATGAAAGGAGTCTTGCGGTCACGCAGCAAACGCATAGACTCAAGGGTCTGGGGCTCGAGACCGTGCATGATATCAACAACAAGGATAGCAATGTTGCAAAGGGAGGAACCTCTTGATCGCAAGTTGGAGAAGGACTCGTGACCGGGGGTATCGATAATCAACAGACCGGGGACCTTGAACTCGAACTTGCCATCCTTGTTGACAACTTGGGTCTTTGTGCGTAGAGCGTCGACAGGGAAGTAAGTGGCACCGATCTGCTGGGTAATACCACCAGCTTCGCCCTCCTGCACATTGGTCTGTCGGATCTTGTCGAGCAGCTTGGTCTTACCAGTATCGACGTGACCAAGAATACAGCAGATAGGAGATCGGAGATCATCCTTTGAACGAGCGGCCAGAGCCTCCTCGTGCTTGAGCTTTCTCCGCTCAGCAGCCTCGGCCTTTCTTGCCAGAATGGCCCTTTGGTTGGCGGATCGCTCTTCATCAGATGAGTCTTCATCCGACGAGTCGTCGGAGTCGGAGTCGGATTCTTCTTCTTTCTCCTCCTTTTGGGCGGGTGCCTCCTCAGCGGGCTTCTCTTCCTCATCTGATTCCGCATCCCAGCTGTCCTTGACATCTTCGTCGGCAGCCTGCTCCCAGTCTTCAACGGCGTCCTCTGCCGCAGGGGCGGCAGCAGCAGCAGCGGCCTCAGCCTTGGCTTTCTCCTCGGCCGCCTTCTTTCGGTCTTCAGCTTCGCGCTGAGCCTGGGCTCGAGCGGCAGCAGCTTCGAGGTCCTCTTCCTGCTTCTTGCCAGCCCTCTTCTTCTTGTTCTCATATGTAGGGCGGGTCTTCTTCTCGCCGCCCTCCTGCAAGCCAGCAACCTTGCCACCGGCGGCAATCATCTGCTGCAGGCGCAATTCACTGCGCTCCTTGGCCTCGCGCTGAGCCTTGGTGAGCAGCTTGCCTTCCCTGCGGAGCTGTTCCTTCTTTTCGCGCTCCTTCTCCTTCCTGCGCTCACGAGCCTCGGCACGCTTCTTCTCTTCCTCTTCATCGAGAAGTTTCTGCTTGGCCGCGGCAGCCCGCTCTTCTGCTGCAATGCGCTCCTCCTCCTCACGTTGCTGTCGAAGAAGCTCCTGTTGCTTCTGAAGAGCTGCTAGGTGGGGAGGAAGCTTCTTCTTCTTGCCAGTCTCTGGAGCGGGTGCAGCGGCGGCGGCTTCATCTTTCTTGGAGGCCTCGGCGGTGGCAGCCTTCTTGGTTTCGGCCTTTTCTTGAGCAGGGGTGAGCTTCTTCTTTGTGGCAGCCTATATAGACGAGAAAGACACGTTAGTACATGGGTTCGACACCCGTAACGGTCTTTCAGCATGAAGAAAAATGTAGAAACCTACCTGCTCCTTCTTGCGCTGCTTCTCCTTCTCCTTCTTCTCACGCTCCTTCTCCTTCTTACTCTTTACTCGGAACTCGCCCTCGGGCTGCTCTTCCGCCGCAGGCTTAACCACCTCCTTGATGGGCTTGGTCTTCTTTCCAGCGAAAACATCGTCATCGTCGAAGTTACCCTCCTCGGGCTGCTTGCTAGCCAAATCGTTGGCACCCTGGGTATCGGCACCCTCGACGTCCTCACCCTCGACAAAGTCATTGATCTTGCCCTTCTTAGCCTTCTTGGCCTTATTTTTTCTCAAGGCAGCCATAAGGCCGCCGACTGGAGCAGCCTCCTCGTTGGCATCGTTCTGGGGCTGCTCATCGGCGGGAGCAGTGGCGGGAGCGGACTCGCCGAGATCAGCCTCCCAGTCCTCCTCCTGTCTCTTGTTTCCCTTCTTCTTGGGCGCCATTGCAATAGATTTCCCTTGGGGGGTTTGTTGATGATCCGATTCGAGTGGTGAACGGGAAAATGTAGCGCACAAACGGAGTTAACCGGTTATTTGCGACTCGTAGTAATACGCACACGTATTAAAAGGGAGAGGATGACAGAAGTAAAAAAAAAGGACAATCCCCAGAATGAAAGGCGAGAGATAGGAGCTCTCTGTAAGGTGGGCCTAGAGAGGGGTGTGGGAAGGGAAAAGAATTTCGGGAAGAATCATGGCCGGTGGGGAACAATGGCATCGGACTTCACTTTCTAAGTCGCCACCACGAACTGGCTGGATTTCCCCCCATATCCTGTCAATAGTTTTCTTCCGAATATCTTACATAGAATGTGTACTAATCTACCAGAAAACGAACTCCAAACATTACTACTAACGTTTTAATTTGAGCTGTGGCGTAGATACACTCTTACAAGTCAATTCAAACCTCCAGGGCTATGTACTTCCAAGCTTGGTCCTCCACACTTCTTCGCCCCGGTCAACCCCCCCTGGGGATTAAATCTCAATGTGCAGCAGCTTTCGAAGCCAGCTGAAAAGTGCCTGGGTATGGTTGGCACGAACCCCGAGCACATCCTCAACTGCCCCAAAGAACATGTGCACTGTTTCAGGGGTCAAGTCCTTGAACTGACTCCTGTTGCATGCCATGAGAATCTCATCCAGGTGTTTCGAGTTGCGACTGGCAAGGCGACCCAGAATGTTGCCGTCGATATGCATGTTGTTCTCGACCTGGGAGATTGCATCAAGGTAGCGATGTCTGCGGGACAGGGAGGGACAGATGACCTCATCCCTAAGGCAGATGTTGAGTATAAGTCGAAGGAGGTGCCACTCCTTCGCATCCAGGGGCAAGAGCCTGTAGACCGATCCATTGATGCCAAAACCATAAAAGGTGTTGGTGGTCGTCAGGGAATCTGGAGACTTGATGCCCCGAGTGAGCTTGATCAAGGAGACGGGGAGATCGGCCCTCGGACAAGGCACAAGGTCCCCTGGTTGATCGAGGTTTGTGAAAGCCCGGGTAGCTCCACCTCGGGTACTCACAAAAATGACATCCGGATCAATTCCATACCCGCGCACTAAAGTGTGAGACAAACCATCGCGTGCAACTGGGTCGAAACTATGCATCAGGATGTCTCCGTCCATAATCTTGTAGACTAGTAGGGAATGTCTCGAGGTGGTGACGTAGATCATGCTTCCTTGCACTGTCATCGCGACAGCTGGGGATGGAAGGGTAGCTGTAATATTTCGAACCCATTTTGTTTGAGAGTTTCGTGAAGAAACCGTGAAGAATTTCTTCCCGGAGACAATGATCAAGCTATCGTCGCATGCCGCCATCGCATAAACTGGGTGATCAAACAATTGGGTATGTTTGTCAATGCAAGTGATCTGCTCAGGATAGTTGGCATCCCGAGACGCTTGTATGAGCATCAATCGACCTTTGCGGTTATTGGGTTTGTGAGGCAGGCTGATTGAAGTCCCAATAGCGATAAGATGGTATGCATTGCCCTCCCGTTGTGGCATCCAGTCAAAAATGCATGTGATTTTCTCACCAGGGACTCCACGTGGTCTCCAGGGGAGAAGGCCGCGATGAGCCATGTCCATATCGTTAGGGACCACTGGCGACTGTGTGTCTGGGTCCACAAACTCGACGCATGCCGTGCGGGCAAGATCGAGAGGCCTTTCTTGGTTTCCGATCTGGGCGACAGAATATGTAACGATGAGACTCCGGAGATGATTGGAGTAGGTGAGCTTGCTGGGATTTCCGGGAATGTCGATGCGTCGGGGAACAACCTTTGCTTCTTGTTCCAGAGAGCATACCAGAAGCTGACCATCTGCAAAACAAAACAAGTATGTAGTTGGAACCTCAGACCAATACTCTCTTACTTCGACAATATCGAAGCTGCTAAGTCTGGTAGGGAAGTATGCAGGCTGACATGAATGTTAGGCCATAGCTCAAAAGGACAGAATGTGATATAACTTACGCAGTTCTGATCCGTAATCCAAACACGAGACAGGAAATAGTCAAAGCCATTGCCATCTGGGGCATATGACACACGCCAGAAATCATCCCCACATGTAAACAACGCAAATTTGTCGTAGGATTTGAGGTTGATTGATGTTTGCCCAAGATCGTGTGGCGCTCTTTGTTTCAAACCTGAAGAGAAAGTATGTGGTTAATGAAAGAGACCAATAAATGGAACAAAAGATGACTCACATTTGAAACCGAAGCCAGGGTTACCGTGACTATCAACGACATCTGTATCTATCTCAAACGGAACAAGCGTGCCACTTCGCAGCCCGCAGAAAAGGAATGCGTGAATTTTATCGTCTGAGGAAGTGTGGATAACAGCGAGACTTTCAATCGTTTTTGACATGCCTTCTGGATTGTCGACGATATCGATAAGAGTGTCGGCATGTTGTGTGATTCCACCAGTCTCGTTGCAAACCTCGAATGACAGCACTGTGCCATCACTGGTGCCCAGGAAAATAAACCCAATTCCTCCCCAATTCTGGTAGGACATACAGATGGGCTCTTTTTGGAGCGGGTATGATAGAGCCTCATGATCAGATAGGGAGGGGGGACTTCCTTCAGTCGTGACTATCCGAAGAAGATGGAGAAAAATTCCCTCTTTACTTCTTGTAGTTATGATAACAGTGGAACTTGGGCCATCCACAATAGCTGCCGTGACAAATGCAAGGGGATCATGTTGAACACAGTTGTTGAGAGTGAAATCAGTAGGGACGAAAAAGTGCACGGCTCTTTCTGTAACCCGAACAATGATACCGGAAGGCGTACAGTCCATTGCCAAAGTCTGCTGAATACCCAAGCCTGAATCGTCCTCAAGCGCAGTAATGCCATCTCTCATGTCGGGAGTCGTACGAAGAAGCAGCGACGAAAGCGGGTCGGAGGCGAGCAAATAGATTGAGTCCTTAGCACCGAATGACACAGCCCACATACTACGTATGCTGGACAATTCACCCAATGAGGCTGAGATTCCAACCTGAGCCTCAATGCCGTACCGAAGTTCGGTGATAGCTCCATTGCCTGAAGCAGAAGTTGAGCCGACGAAGAGCCGATCGTAATCATATGGATTTTCTTTGGAGACGGCTGGGGAGTTTGAGGGAATAATAACTGCATCGGGAACTGGTGCCCAGTTGAGGAATCGCTGAACACATCTGGGGTGATCCCGTGCCTCCTGGACAAACAACCCACCATCGCCCTGGCTTCCAGCAGCAATAATGAAATCGCCACCTTCATGGCCCATATCAAGAATATCAAATGCCGTATCAACATCGCAGTGGAGTTGACCCAGAGAAGTCTGGGTTTCGAGTTCCCCATCGTTGCCGAACTCGAGATAATAGATCCAGCCTTTCTCTTGACAGAGGAAGATTCCATCGTACCTCTGACTGTACATCCAGTTCCGCGAAGGTCTGGCCCAGCGAGTCCACAGTCCAGCTTCGGATGATTCTGCATCAGGAATGATCGACGGGTATCGCATCGGACGAGACAAGCAATTTGGTGTGTACATTGCCATGGAATTTGTGGTAATTAGGAGGTAGGACGATTCTTTGGCCAAAGGAATGACCATGCTAGGCAACTGGTCTTGCCGAGGCAGAGGAGTTGAGGTGAGTTTCGGACTCATGCGGTTGAGCATACTGGCTTCATCCCATTCAAACACCATAGATCGTGTTGTGCCAAGGTTATGGACAATAAGCAGTAGAATAGTCCGTTTGTCATGGTTGTCCTTCGGGTAAAGGAATTCCATAAACAGGATATCGCCATCCACTTGTAAGAATGTTTCCTGTTCAAATATGGTTAATATCGGGCACATGATAGATAAAATAATAGTGAGCAAATACACTTTCAAGTGGGCTCAGCTTCCCCTGAGCCATCTGCCTTTGGAGTTCGCTAGGAGATTTCAACCACAAGACACCGAAGAAATTCCGTGACGCGCTAACTGCAACCGCACGCGATCTGGGTCATGGTATAAGCATTCGTGGATCCAATTGAATTGGTGATAGGTGATACTTACTTGGGATCAACAGCTATGTGCTTGCCATACTTGTCGGCTATGTTGACGTCGCGGGGTAGAGGTCGATTGTAGGAAACAAATGGGCCGCCTCCCATCTCCGAGTAATATATGAAAAGGAGCTCATTTGAGTCCGTAGCAAGAAAAAGAATGTGAGGAGGCAAATGATCAGTGTCGTAAGAGTTGTAGGAGTGAGCCAACAAACTTGATGGAGCTTCAGTTCCCCAAGGCAACTGGGTGCTTACATTGATGACCTTTGCCCCAATAAGCGAGCCTTCCAGGTCGGATTTTTCGACAACATCTTGAAGATGACCACTGGGCAGGGCTTCTTTGATTTGAATTCGCCGCTCTCCAATGAAAACCACATCGTTGTGGGTTTTATTGCGAAGACGCGCCGGAAGGATCCAGTTTATGACAGGGCTGGGGATCAATGGCTGGGTAAGCAGTCCAGTCATACGGGTCGAACGCGTGACGGGCTGGTTGCCAGACATTGCGGTAATTGGGTGGGTTTCACAAGAAACCGAAAACAGAGTAGAGCAAACGAGGAAATGATGCTGGAGACAAAGTCGTGAAGCGGGATAGAAAGATGTGAAGAAGCCCGAAGAGAGAGATGAAAGATGAAAATAAAAGGTAGAAGGCGGAGTTATAAGTGAGTGAGTTGGAAGGGAAGTAGGTAATAGGCAATATCAAGAGCCGGTCAGGCAATGGCCTGAGGCGCAAGCCCCAAGATCTGCTTGCACTGCACCACACTTCTTATGACTTTTTGTATTCAAGAAACTGGGGGCATTTGATATTTGCGAGGTCCACTTGTCTTCATACTTCAAAGGGTGGAATATCAAAATGCAATATTTGGCTGTGAATTGATATATGATGCGCAACCCGACCCTAAAGAGAGCACAGAAGGTTGGTTGTCAATGATCCCACAGTCAAGTATGTCCCAGACAAGCCCTGTGATGTCTTTATTAATCATTGTATCCCACACGTGAGGAACAAATCTCAATGTGAGACTTACAGCTTGCCCGGACGCTATACAAGTAGTAACAGTCCTCGAAGATGTGCAAATATCTCCCATAAGCTCCATTAGTTTCTTTCCAGAAAGCCAGTCTTTATCACAAGAGCTAACACTGTCACTGGCAGACGACCTGGAGGGCAAGCCAATTGCGGAGTTATGCAATTACCACCCGTCGGTGAGCTGTCGCAACCCCAGAGACCGAGGACTTCTAAGGGTGCACAACACGGCACACAGCTATATGCGTCCGAGATCTTGCGACGAATACCGCAAATCTATTGAACTGGAGCGTTGTGCCTAAGCCTAGCATAGAGCGAATGTTGTTATCGGCGAAAACATGTCGCGGCTGCCGATCGCTGCCTAAGGCCGGCAAGTGGGACTCCGCCGCCTTTGACCTCAAGTCTTCCACGGCTGGGTCTATGTGCCTAGAGTATCATCAGTTCACGTTCAAAAAAACTTCATTTATTGAAAAAAAAAAGCCATTCTGTCACATATCTGGCATTGAGTCGTTGGTTTGGACACGCCGTTTCGTTATCTGGTGAAAAGGCGTAAGCTCCAATCGATCTATATCCGATCAGTCTCTCGATATTGGGCTAAATTCAGAACACACAACGTGAATTTTGTTCATTCAGGTCGAGAATCACTGAGTAATAACTTCATCTTTTCGTGTTTAGCTGCTTGATCTCGTGGGGAGGTGACATTAGCAGATGAAGGATGGAGGATACCGGAAAAGAACATCATTATCCCAGCTCTGAGGACACGTCTGAATCAGAAGAATTTCCCAGAAACTTGAAAGAGAAGCAAGAAATAAGACAGGTGGCTCGAACAGAAAAGGCGAGAGCCATCCGCAAAGCGTGTGCAACGCGCGATGTGGAAGCTTTAGCTGTGCACGCAACTTCAGCAGGCGGGTTACTTGAAGACAACTTGAGACAGATAGCATGTGAGTTCAATGTTGTTATGATCTATACCAGTGCACATTCATGGAATCACCTAACCGGTGAACAGGGCCTATCTTGCTACGATGCGATGAACGAACGCAGCAATTTGATTCAGTTCCAAGGAATGAACTTTCACGACATGCCGACGAGGAACAGGTAGAACTTGATGTCAACCGGTCGTTTGTCTACTACCCAAAAGGTATGTTATTATATCTCTCCCCGAAAGACGAGTTTGTATGTTAATAAAGTTTAGCTCCCGAGGAGGAAATGTTGAAAAAGAAAAAGCAGCTGTCCAACCTGATCTCTCAAGTACTAAGAGAATACCCCATGCTTTGTTATTTCCAAGGATATCACGATATAGTCCAAGTTCTTCTCTTGGTACTGGGCGAGAAGCAAGCCTTGCCAGCAGTGGCGCAGATATCTCTTTTCCGCATACGTGACTACATGCTACCATCGTTGTCTCCAGCTGTGAAGCATCTCCATCTCATCCCTGCAATCATTGAGACAACAGATCACGAGCTAAGACGACACCTTGGCAACATTGAACCATTCTTCGCTCTCGCAGCTACACTGACTCTATACGCTCATGATATTCAAGAATACAGCAACATTTCACGGCTTTTCGACTTCCTTTTAGCTCGGGAACCCGTGGTTGCAATCTACCTCTTCGCAGCAATGATCCTGTCTAGGAAAAAAGAGTTGCTTGAAATTCCAGCAGATGAGCCTGAGATGCTTCATTTTACGCTTTCCAAGCTACCATGCCCACTTGATCTAGACGGACATATTCTGCATGCGGCTCGGCTCTTTGAGGACCACCCGCCAGAATCATTGCCGCTTGGAGCTTGGAAACACATACCCTGGTGCAGCGTGCTCAAAACCTCAAGAGACCCACATGGGAAGTACACCGCGTCTTCTGCAGTGTACTTGTTTGAAAGGCAATCTCAACAGATTCGGTCCGAGGAGCGCAGGAAACGAGCTCTGGATTTCTTGTGGAGCCACCGTCGGTCCCTGGGTTCTGTGGCGTTTGCTATTTTGGTTGGAGCCGCATCTTTCTACATCCGCAAAAAGGGACTCGACACCTCAATCTGGTCTTATGTTGGCCGAATTCAAAGGGCAATCCAAAACTGGGTTTAATCTTCAAGGCGATGTATCAGGTATCGTGGATGCTTGGTGCTATTGCATGTGTATAATAATGAGAAAAAATAATAATAGAACCAAGCTAAAAAAAAGATCCCTATGTTTGAAGATCATGAGTTAAAAACTCATATATAACAAAAATATAGTCAATTTATACAAAACAATATGCATTTGATACTCGTGTATGATATTGGGTAGTGGTACCCACAATTGTGGCTTGAGCGGTGGCTTTATCTGCGGAAGCTGATGTGTACACTTAACCACTCCCCTTCCAACAGCTTACCTCAAAACCAACCACAATGGCGAACCGAGGCTACGATGTCGTAGTAGATGTGGATGCAGAGGTAAGTGCATTTGAATGAACAATACATAATTTAAACTAACAAATCAGCAGGGCGACCTTGGCCACACTGACCTACAAGAAGACCTCGAATTCCACCCCTCCAGTGAGTTCTCCAAACAAACCGGCCCAGCCCAGCTCTGTCTAACCAAGGAATCCTCACACCCAGACTTTGAAAATGACCAAAGAACCGCCAAAGTCCAAGGCGACTCCGCCCCATTCTTGGGCGGCGGGCCATCGCGCCAGCGTGACCGGTCCCCTGGCGGTACGCCGACCAAGCACAACTGGTGGTCGTTGCACTACTACGAGCAATTTTTCGACGTCGACACGAACGAGGTCCTCCGCCGCTGTGTGGCGACTGTGTACCCGCGCACCAACTTCCTCGATGTGCTAGAAGGTAACGCAGACCTGTACGGACCGATCTGGATCGCAACTACAGTGGTTGTTATCCTGTTTTTGACGGGTACTATCTCGCAATGGCTGTCAAACAATGACGACAAGCACTTTGAGTACGACTTCACGCTGCTATCGGGCGCGGCTGGCCTGGTCTATGGGTACACGGGTATCTTGCCTATTGGCCTGTGGGGTGCGCTGCGTTGGTTCGGCAGCTCCACCGCCGACCTTATTGAATGCTGGGCTCTGTATGGGTACTCCAATTTGGTTTGGATTGCCGTTGCACTGGTTAGCTGGAGTCCGTTGACTGCGCTTAACTGGGCGCTTGTTGGCGTTGGCTTTGCTTGGAGTGTCTTCTTCCTTCTGCGGAACTTGTATCCCGTCTTGAATGCCACTGATGCCAAGGCTAGCAAGATCCTCTTGATCTTGGTTGTTGTGCTACATGCGGCACTGGCTATTGCTATCAAGGTGCTTTTCTTTGCGTAAGTTGTGTCCTTGTCTGACGAACCAATTGACATTTAACTGACATATCTACTAGCCACGGGAGCCCGGTCTCAAAGAAGAACAAGGACAAGGACCAAGACGATAAGAAGACTGACGACAACAAAGGGATGATGTTCCGGGCATAAGCGGGGAAAGGAAAGATCATTGGCTTTCATCTGGAATACTGGCCATTCCGTCGATTCTTGCTCAGGTAGCAGGGCTCGCAGCTCGAGGTTTCTAGTCGTGTTATTGAACGCATGCATGTATTGTACTCTGTATTTATCGCAGATGGAATTTGGAGATGTGAAACAATTCGACTTTTTGAATTTTACACGTTTCATTTCATGGAGTGCAACTTGGTCGTCAAGAGGAGCCAACTAGAAAAAGTATGACTGTGGCTGCATTGATTTTATCATCATATCTAACGCCATTTGTAATCCTCTCCATGTAGCAGTCCAGCCAATCCCCATCTCTGGAATCTGCACCACAGCACGCCGAGCACAAGACCGAGGAGCGAGTCGTCTATTTGAGCTTCTTCTTGGGGCGGAGCTGGTTGGTGTGTCCGCACTTCTTCTTGCGGCAGTTGGTGGCACGGGGAGGGAGACGAGCCTGTAGAAGGTCCGAGTTAGTACATGTGTTGACGTAATTGATGGCCTTGTCACGGAAGGCGGTTTCATGACGATGATCGGGCGCAGGCGGAGAGGCAAGGTAAACGTACGTAGCACTTGCGGCAGATGGCCTTGTCGCAGTTGAACTTGGAGGCAAGGGCCTTGAGGGAAGGCTCAATGATACCACCACGGAGACGCAGGACAAGGTGAAGGGTGGACTCCTATAACGAGTTGATATCGCATGTTAGCGAATGTTCCACCAGGTCGCAGACCGTAGACCATAATGTGAAGCGATGATTCCTCCTCTTGCGTATCCGTGGGCAGAGTCATCTCTGGGCAAAGAACATGTCGGATTGATCCGATCCACCCGAGATACCATAACGCCCCCACTTTTGGTCCAAATCATAAAGGTTGAAGGTCGATCCCTACCTTCTGGATGTTGTAGTCGCTTAGGGTGCGGCCATCCTCGAGCTGCTTTCCGGCGAAGATCAGACGCTGCTGGTCAGGGGGAATGCCCTCCTTGTCCTGGATCTTGGTCTTGACGTTGTCGATGGTGTCGCTCGACTCGACATCGAGGGTAATGGTCTTACCCGTCAGGGTCTTGACGAAACTATATCGCACCGTATTAGTCCATGTTCTTATTCCTCCTTAGGCTTGGGTCGTATCGGCGATGGATCGGGATTGTGGTTCGCGATGACATTCGAGGGGTTCAGAAAGACCTACATCTGCACTGAAACGGCGCGGAAAAAGACGATGTTAGCTCACTGAATCCATAGCGATGCATAGATTCTGTTGCACGGGGTGTATGGGACGTACTGGTTGCGAGTTTTCGTTGTTGTCGGCTGTCGGTCGCTGTGTTCCAGGCGGAGCTGTCGATTGTCAATTTGAGGATTTCGCTCGCTTAGCAAAGGTGGACCGATCGGGGTACCCTAAGCCCTAGTTGTTACCCATTTGCGTTATACATTATGTAAGCAACCCCGGCCGACCCGGCCAATGATAACTTGGCAGTGTATCTACATACGTCAGGTATAGTAGATAGCCCTGGAGATGTTCTACTAAAAATAAATGAGCGTCTTTTCTGCTCTTAAAGGTGTATCCTGATCAAATACAACAAAATTTCGATCATGAGCTTAGCTGGAAATATCAATACGTCAAGAGAAGGCAAGAATAATTCACAGCAAACCTTAGGATATCAAATAATGCAACTAGAGATAGAAAGGTGTACAAAGGTGAACGCCAGATACATGATCCCAAAGCCCCAACGCCATGCATATGATACAACAGAATTTCTCATCAACCCTTAGATGGTCGACCACATCCTTGAATCGGACATGAAATCATCGTCGTCCATATCTTCGGACTCCGCATCGTACATGTCCTCTTCAAAATCAGCAATTCCATACGTCTGGTCCACATCGCTTTCGTCAGTGTCCATTCCTTCTGCCCCCAAACTAGCGAAGTACTCTCTGTTCTGTCGCTCTTCATCTTGCTGTGCGATCCTAAACTCAACAACTGTGACAGCACGGACAAGAGTTTTCAATGGGACTGCAGCAAGCTGTGCTGCTAGCTCGTAAAAAGTCCGTGCTGGGCCACTGAGATGTGATTCCCATCGATACCTGTGATACCACTCGCCGGGACGCCTGTAATCGACCTCTTCGTCGTCAGGGATGACCCTTCTGGTTCTAAGGGTTTGCATGACTGTTTGTAGCAAAAGGTCGAGCTTGTCTCCAGTCTTAGGAGGAGGAGGAGGGGCAGAAGTAGAGGATGATTCCGGGGCAAGGGATGGATCAACTGGAGTAGAAGTAGAAGATGGTTCCGGGGCAGGAGTAGAGATTGGATGGATATCTTGTTCTGTTCGGCTGATGGGAAACATTTCGGCGATGCGATTGGGTTCCTTAGAAGTATCCAGCCAACTGCTTTCGTACCAGTCCATGTAATGGTCAAATTGGGCAGGCGTCATGTTCAACACGTCTTGATCTGTGATCTGAATGGCAGTCCTTTTTCCAATCTTTCCCCCAAACGGCAGATCATGATCGAAATTGCTCTGGGCCTGTGCCCAGAGGGTCCAGTCCATGACCTGCGCAGCGGGCTCTTTAGCTGTAGTGGGGTACCTTTTCAAATCATCGATTGGGAAAAGTAGTTTCGTAGAAATGACGATCAACACTATCAATTGCAGATCGGGAAGAAAAAGTGTTGTTTTTCGGCCATCGTATGAACTTGGCGTCGGATATTGGAATGTGAAGCCTAGTAGATCTTGCAAGATCTTAGTTGCTTCATATATCTCAACTAAGACTTGTTAGCTAAGATAAACTGGACAACCATGTGGCAACTGTTTTCATACTTGGTAAAGCTAATCTCTTGATGAGCCGGAAAAGAACCATGGGCGAATTCAATGGAGGAAAGTCCAATTCAAATCGGCGCTGATAGAATAGCGCTAGTGCCATGATGCCGCGGTGGAAACGATCCGCATTAGGTATTGTCTTTGTCAAAATTAGTCCAAGGCCAACCTAGAAAGTGTTCCAGAGTCAGAGTAGACTCACATTGACTTCAAGGATCGCAGTCAGCTCTGGCGGAAGCCTATCCCTCATTTCCCGAGGGACGGTTGTTAAGACTCGGGCGTAGGGGATCTCCTGTCGCATTATCATACTATAGAATGTGAGTATTGCTCATCCTAGAAGCAAACGACCGGGTTTGCATAGAGGAAACAATACACATACTCGTGAAAATCAATGACACAGACAGGAAGCCGCATCAAAAATGCTGCGAGATAACACAGTGCAACAGAATCAATCAGACGAGGCCATTCAAGATATCTCGAGTTTGGTTTAAATCCATCACGAGATTCATCTTTCCCTTCGGGCTGTGAGCTGAACAGCTCAGATTCGGTATCATCATCATCATCTTCAGTAGCATCAGTGATTCTTGATTCAAAATCTTGCAGACGAAGAGCCCAGAGATCGCGAACAACAACCTAATGTATGATGAGCTTTGATCCTTGAACATATAGAGCAACATGTGGACGTACCTCAAGTTCCTCTGGGAACCCGTGATCATGAACCAAGACATGACATTGTTTCCAAAGGATAAGCTGGTAGGTTTGCAAGAATAATGTGTACGCCGGACGGCCACGAAGTGCTTTTGACAAAAGTCAGCAACGAGAACGATGTTCAAACTGCTGATTACATACTCTTGCTGGCCTTCTCCCTGGTTTCTCTCTTCAGGCGATGGGTTTTGCCTAGGTTACCAAAATTATCGGCATCTTCTGCGACTTGGACACCCTACGCAACCACATCAGCTGTGTACTTCTTGACATTTGATGCAGCCATAGGATAAGGTTAGGAAAGCCGTTGGACGCCATACCTCCTGCAAATGACCGCGCCGACAATACCAAAGTCCATTGTCGAGATAGTATCGGGTCTCACGGCAACCTTCTTGACCGCAGACCCCTCGGGTAACGTAGTCCATCCCCAAGGGATTTGTTCATGCTTGTTTGAAAAAGAAGGGTTGGTATACCGAAATGGCGGGACTTTTTTTCTGCCTCCATCCAGTGACCGCCGATTTTGTCGCTCCACATGTCCCGCAATGCGCGCGCTGTGATTGACCCGTGGACTATCTCAGACGATTAAATATCTCAGAAGATTAAATTGCTAGGTTTTATGTACTTATGTACTTTGAATTATTATTGTTGTTTTCTGGGGTTACACTTGTGTATATATTGTGGTTTGGGGGGTGAAATTGAGATCTAAATCCTTTCAACTACGTTATAATTACTGGAACCCATGTAGTAGTCAAGCAAGATTGAGTATTTATTCATTCATCACACTATCATGAGATGCTGAGACTCAGAACTGTTCGGACAACACATATCATGCCAACCAAAGCAATTCTCGGTCCAGCCCACATCCAAGGTTATGTGGGGGACAGATCTTGAAGCAATGAGCATAATCGTTCAAAGAATCGTATCCTCCTTTGAACCATGAAAGATAAAATTTTTGGCGGGCTTTGAGCCCTCGTGGAACATAAAGGTTGGCATAACAGGTAATAAATCCAAGTATTAAATTTAAGCCTTGGGAGCCTCCTTGCACTCCATGGCGGCCTCCTCGTTCATGGCAGTAAGGACGACGATGTCTAATGGCACCATGTCAGCAAAAGTTCTCTAGTAATTTTGGATATTGGTGTGACTTACTGCAATCCTTCTCCTCGGTAAGGAACATCTGGTTGATCTTCTGACCAACCTCGTTGTCGGGGACCTTGACATCCTCCTTGGTGTCACCGTTGTCGGTCATGAGGGACATGAAGCCATCCTCAGTGATATCGAGCTAACTTTTGTCAACAAAACAGTCCAAATTTCAAGTCATCAGAGACACTCACGAGCTGGTACTCCTTGCGGGTAACGTTGGGGACATCCATGTTGTGGGTGGAGGGGGAGAGATCCTCAAGCTTCTTGCCGGTGAAGATATCGGTGGCGATCAAGTGAACCTTGGCGTGACCGTGCTTTCCAGTCTTGGAGGTAGACATGTCAATGATTTTGCAAGGGCGGTTCTTGATCACAACGTGGCCGTTCTTGCGCAGAGCAGAACACTGCATGGGGTAAGTGAGCGAAGCTCCGGCATCAGCCGAATCGAAAGTGACATCGTGCTGTAGTGAATCATGTTAGCGAGCGCTTCAAAAACTGCCAATATGGTGGGGTTAAGAGTCCAGGATGGCCTCGTGCCCTCGAGAAGAAGAGGGGAGCCGCATGCGGGGCTGGGACAGAAATCCTCAATACCGCCATTGGGGATCTCGAATTTGTAAAAGAAAGTACATACCTCCTCGGCAGACATGGTGAAAAGATTTGGAGGGGTTGAAAGAGGGGGGTTTTGCGAAAAATTTGGGGAGGGGGAAAAAAATGAAGAGAAGAGGAGAGAGAAAATCAAACGAACTAAAATCTATCGTGGGCGGCGACGCCGTGGCGGGGTCGCTTACTGGATTCTGATTGGCCATAGAGGGTTGTCAACCTTGTTGGGTTTAGTGTATATGTGAGGAGTGTCCGAGTGTCCTGAAACAACCTAACAACTACAACTGTTCGACCTTATTCTTGAGGTTACTTGGGTTACTTGGTGGATTTCCAAGTATACTCTAGATTCCTTGATTTTGTTCTGAACTCCCATGCCGTTCATCCTTTTACATAATGTGGCGTGACCGGATATCAGTCCAGTCAACTCCCTCCGGAGCCAATAGTCGCAACCTTTCTCCTCTACCGCGACGATCATCCTCCCAACTATCTCCAAGTCCCTACAATAGCCGCCCTGGTGTAACATCTAGAACTTCATCAACATCTCTTCTCGTGACCCCCAACGACTCTACAGCATCTCTCCCAACTGCACGGGCGACCAATGGCTCTCCTTTAAAGCAGACGAGTATTCAACGACCTCGACCGGCCAATGTCCCGGATCCGCTAGAAGTCTTGAATGAAATAATCGGGAAGGAAACCCAAACAGATAAGCATGTACCGCAACTATCTTCAGTGCCGGAACGACCAGGACAATTGGTGGAAGCCATCCGTTTCGACGGGCTGAGCCTCGAGGACTTTCTGGAAAAGCAGGACCCAGCACCAAGGAAAAAGACCCGGGAAAGTGATGTAAACGCGCAAACTGTTCAGCAATTTGAACAAGAACGAGATAAGTTCCAAGAGTTACACACATCCATTACTGGATGTGATGAGGTGTCCAAGTCAGTTGAGCTGTACTTGAATGATTTCCAGAATGAACTGGGTGCCGTATCGGCAGAGATCGAAACTTTGCAATCTCGCTCAACACAATTGAATGCGATGCTAGAGAACAGGCGCAACGTGGAACGGTTGCTGGGACCCGCCGTGGAGGAGATCAGCATATCCCCCAAGGCTGTACGGACAATTGTCGAGGGTCCAATCGATGAGAATTGGGTGCGTGCATTGAATGAAATCGATTCTCGAACAACAAATATCGAAGCCAAGGCCGCCGCTTCCTCCAATGGTTATAAAGCCGTCGAGGATGTACGACCCCTTTTGACCGATGTGAAAACCAAAGTGAGTATCCACACCCCTCAAATTATCTAAAACTGCATTAACATATATACAGGCAGTTCAAAGGATCAGAGACTATCTTGTGTCACAAATTCGTGCTATGCGATCGCCAAACATCAACTCTCAGATTATCCAACAACAGCGTCTGGTGAAGTTTAAAGATCTATACAGTTATCTTTCAAAGGTCCACCCAAAGCTGGCAGGAGAGATATCACAGGCATACATCAACACCATGCGCTGGTATTACACATCTCATTTCACACGCTACCTTCAAGCACTCGATAAAGTCAAGGTTTATCCTCCTGACCGCAACGAGGTGCTTGGAGGCGATCCATCTACTCATCGATCAGGTATGAGCTATGCTTCTCTGATACCGCCTATATACTGATTATTTCAGGGAACATGATGCCTGGCGGCCGAGCTGGCTCTGCCGTGCATGACCCTTTCTCCCTGGGTAGACGTATTGATGTCCTCCGAACTGGCAATCTCCAGGCGTTATCATCCTACCTGGCCGAAGAGGATAATACCTACCATGGAATCGAAGTTCCGTTCCGAAACTTCAACCTCGCATTGGTGGATAATGTGTGCGCCGAGTACTCTTTCCTGACTGAGTTTTTCTCCCCGAAGACCTTCCATCAAATCTCTCGCAATGCCGTGGAAATATTCCAGCAAGTCTTTACCCTTGGCCAGAACCAGACTAAGAAGTTAATCGAGCACACCACGGATTCTCTGGGTGTCCTCATGTGTGTTCGCCTCAACCAACATTCGGCTTTCGAGCTTCAGCGCCGAAAGGTGCCCGTCGCTGACTCGTATGTTAATGGAACCAACATGCAGCTCTGGCCACGTTTCCAGGTGATCATGGATCACCACGGTGACTCACTCAAGCGAGTTGGATCTAACACTGGGCGCAGTGCTGTCTCTGCCCTTTCGATCGCTGGCGGAGACGACTTGAAGCAGTCTTCAGCGCCTCACTTTTTGACTCAACGATTTGGACAGCTTCTTCATGGAATCCTGGTGCTCAGCAGCGATGCTGGTGACGATGAGCCGGTGTCCAACAGTCTGGCCCGGTTGACTGCTGAATTCGATTCTCTTTTGACAAAGTTGAGTCGCAACGGCACAGACGCAAAACGAAGAGAGCGATTCCTCTTCAACAATTATTCATTGATTTTAACCATCATTAGCGTATGTTGTTGTCTCTGTGTTTTGGGGACGCGCGCTAATCAGAAACAGGATACCCAAGGCAAATTAGCAGTTGAGCAGAAGCAGGTGAGCATTTTAAACGTGGCTATTGGAGATTATATGACTAACTTCCCCTACAGCATTTGGAAGAGATGCTCAAGAATAGCAGCAGCACCAAGCGGTAGGAAGCGATTGCATACACCGGACAGATGCACATTCCATGTGGAATAACAACATAATGCATTTAGATATCCTTTCACATATAAAGATTTTAATTGACGTGTATACTTATCCAGACACTTGGATGCAACTTCGCACCTAAAAATGTCGAAAGAGGACCTATAAATATATATCGTAACAACACAATAGTGGATTCAAGCCCTCGGATTGGAAGCACGGACTGAATCATCTGTTACCCTTGAGAACACCTGCCTTTTCGTGTAGGAATGAATATATATCTCTCTCAATTATCGGCTTTTGTATAAACTGCCGTATGCAGCTAGACACTAGACATAAGGATGTTGATCTTCACGGCTATTCTACCCCACAATTTGTCTTCCTTACCATAACTCGGCTATGACCAGGATCCCTAAAGCCCTCGCCAAGGCATGTCTACACTGTCGATCTCGAAAGATCCGTTGTGACACGATCCGGCCTCGCTGTTCGATTTGCGAGACCCAAGGCGGGGAATGTATTTATCAGGTGGAGACGCCGTGGGCATGTTCCCTTGCGTTTTGGGTACTTGGCGAACTATTGTAGACCGACCCTGTCCCAAATAGGCCGGCTACAACGAGAAAATACGGAGCTCAGATCCTTCATTGAAAAATTGAAAGGCGAAGAGAGAAACATACTCAGCCTAGCAGTGGCTGAAGGTCTTGAACCCAACCAGAGGTCATCCAGTCAGAACCGCCGGCAAAGCCTCGATAGTATAGCTACTTCTTCAGATGAAGAATTCGACGTTGCACCTTTTATATCTGTAGATGAGGCAAGTCGACTTGGCACTTTTGGGCTTTCACCTGCCCTACATTATCCAATAAAAGCGAATCGTTGCCCACAGCGCCTTCGGCTCAATTGTTGAACAGAGAGCACATGAAGAACAAGCTTATAGCTAATGCAGCCCCACAAAGACAAAATGAGCGTCTGCTATTAAATCTTCCAGATATTGATGGTGTACCTACTGAGCTCACCCTGCATCTGTTAGACGTACATTGGGCTCAGCAACACCATGCCTTTCATCACGAATATCTCGCTGGCTGGCCTATAAATCGCCATACGGTCTCCACAGCGCACCCTACATCCTCAGCTACGCCATCTACGTAGCATGCACAATCCGTGCCCGAAACGCCTTCGCAAAAGCACACCACAAGGAGCATATATCCCGCTTAAAAGCAGGTCTCACCTGTCTTGATGAGATATCCGTGGTGAATCCTGATGTTTGCAAGCCTGCAATCGTCATACGGAAATTGACCGAGGCAAGTAAGCTTGACCTTCCCGCTGCTGATACAATGACCCCCGCTTCCCAGGTTGAGATTGTTTCTCCGGCGGATGGTTTGAATGACCTGGTTGAGCTTGATGCTATCGTTGGGATGTTCCCAAGTAGATATTCTGTTCTTGGTAATGGTCTAGAGTTTCCCACTGGACAGGAACATGATACGGGGTTTTTTGGACTTGATATTCCATATGATCTGTTGTTTGAGCTTATGGATGCTTCGATGAATCTGCCCCTGCCAGAGACGGCTCTTTTGTTTACTGAGAATCTGTGAGTATGCTTGTATATTACAAAGATACAATATCATTTGTATGAACTGGCATGACCTTGAAATAACTAACCATCATGTGATCGACCACTTAACCTAACCTCCTTAGGCAACCACAGCCCCCTGGGGGCCGGATGACTCACAAATAAAAGTACGACCTTTTCTTTGTATATTATTTCAAATAGATAACCTTGGAAGCCCCATTCTGCCTAAGTGAAAAGATTATCTATGTCTGCTATTTGTCTGATCTTTTGACAACCAGACCTCCTAGAGACTTATCGTCTCACACGGACACAACCAGATGATAACCACCACAAGCATCCCTGTGACTATTCCAAAAGATGGCTCACTGCCCAAGTCCATAATCAAAGACATTATCAGCACGCTACTCACCGGTGAGTGGCCCAACGTGGACCCAGAAACGCTCATTGTGACACGCAATACTGGATACGCAAACATAAACTGTGTAGTGGAACGACCAAAGCCAAGGAGCGACACACATTCTGAGCCTCTCAAGGTATTCCTCAAGCTCCATGGCGAACTCGACGGAGAAATCGAGGTGTTCAAACACTTAGTTCCCAACAAACACGAAGAGGCACAACTATGCTCTGATTACGCCCAATCCGGCCTTGGTGCCAAGGTGTATGGTTTCTTCCAGACACGGGATGGCACTTTCGGAAGGATCGATGAGTTCTTAGATGCACGCAATTTGGAACCAGCAGATGTGGAAAATGCACATATCCGAGCTGAGGTTGCGAGAGAAAATGCCGTTTTTCATACTATGTCCACACAACGGGAGAAGAAGCCGGTTCAGTTATATTACGATGCAGTGACCAGAGAGCTTGCAAGATACCATAAGATGGAAAAGCTAAAGAGGCTTGCCAAAGAAGGAGGCGTCAACATGGACGATCTTGTTGAGTATGACTTTGTGTCTAGAATAAGACGAGTCACGGACAGACTGGAATCCATGGACGGGAAAAAGGGATGGTGCATCCACGATGTTCAATTCATGAATACGATGGTGAAGAACAGACCCAAGGAAGGAGAAAGAAAGATCGTGCTTATAGATTTTGAATTCGTCTTTCAAAATTACCGAGGGTTCGATATTGGTGGGCACTTTTTGCAAAAGATGTTCCAGTGGTTTGATGAAGAGAACAAGATTGCTACCTGTCGACCATATACGGAGGAAGAGAAGAGGCATTTTTGTGAGGAGTATGCGAAGCAATGGAACGAGGAGACTGGTGATTCGGATACAGGAGAGCAGGTTTTTATGGAATCCGAGCTGGGGTTTATGTTGGCTATCACATTTGAAATCCATAACATGCTCTGTTTTATGGATGAGGATGATGATAAGGATCCATTGAGCATCTTAGGGCTTAACAAGCTGTTTGAGGAGTTTGTTAATCAGTATAAAAATCTGGGGCTAGGGAGTTGAGAGGGCTTCAGCGAATGCAGTATCCTAACAACGTATTCTTGACTGTTCATTCTGTTATAGAAGATCAATGGAATAAAGCTTATAATCTGTGTTTTATCTTCAGCACTTCCGTGGGATAAAAGTCATGCTCTTCCGCATGTTTCGGATATTGGAAGCTCGTTGGCGCGGTGACACGTTGTAGCACTGGAACATCGATTTAAGTAACCGTCAGTATCAAGGATCCTTACCGCGGCCTGATTTGAGTCAATAGAGTATGAAGTAGAGTCGAGTCAGTCGATTCCGCAGAACGCAAAGAGACAACAAGACAGCCAAGATAATTATGACCATCTGAGCCAACAGCAAAGTCCAAAATCCGTTGAGGAAGTACCTTATAATTCAAGCATCCAGATCCAGATCCCAAAAGACCAATCAGACCCTTTCCCAAGCATAGGCACCCCTTCAATCCAGGGTAAACCCGAAGCACGTAGCTGCATATCCGGTGTGACGCATATGCACCCGCTATATACACCTCAAGACACAATAGCCGATAAAATCGTATCCCACAAATAATTCGCCCCAATTGACCAGAATCACACAGCCCACCTGTAGTATCCGTCCGGGTCCAATTCCCGCTCTTACCGCAGCGGTCAAGTTATCACATGTGTATCGGTGAGTCGATTTGGACGCCTCATTTGACAGCTTTGACAACCCCCGGATTGAAATTTAAGCTATCAGTTATATCCCGCTCCGCGTGACCTGGCTTTAATCTTTCTGATTTGGGAATTGCTTCTTTTTAGGTTGGCGGGTGCCGCGGGGAAGGGAGCGGTGAGGTGATTGGAGGTTCTTGGTGTGAGATTGGGACTTCCTTTTTGGCTTCGTTTCGCTTTTTCCGAGGAGCTTGGTCAGCTGTTGGGGAAGAGACTTTTGGCTTTTGGCTTTAGTATGTCTGGGAAATCGGTGCTGACAGGTAGGTGTTTTGGCTGTCTATGTCTTCATGAGATGCTCAAGACATCCATGTCATTGATGATCAATCAAATTAATCAAGTTCCATGACTGCTGAAGTCCGGGATGAACCCCGACACTGAGCTCCGCGGGGTTCTCCCGATTCGACCTCACTTGGCGCAAACGTAAACGTGAAACCCATATCTGGGGATTCAGAACTGTTGAAAACATGAGAAATCACGTAGATAGCGATCTCCCATATTAGTGGAGGCGAATGCAAGCACAAAAATGACACCGATCTCGACCCTCATCGAATTGCAAGGGACAATCTGTATACTTCGTCCGAAGGAGGCGTTTGAATATCGCATGGGGCGCTTGGATAAGACGGGTTGAGAAAAGCTTCCCTCATTTCATAAGCTCCCTTCTTTCATAAGCTATATATATTGCTGGGATCATCTTGCTTCCTCCCCTTTCCATTGCAAAAGGTTTTGGTATCCGATCAACCTTTCCGTTCTCTTTCCTCCTCTTAACACACCATACCTTCAATCATGGCTACCTCCATCCCTAAGACCATGCGTGCTCTGCAGTACTCAGAGCCCAAGAAGCACAATATCGTTGAAGTCCCCGTGCCTGAGATCCGCGAGAACGATGTCCTGGTATGGAAGCCATCCGTCGATTTGCAGGGAAGCGAACTGACCAAATCCTCATTAGATCAAGGTCAAAGCCTGCGGTGTTTGTGGCACTGATCTTCATATCCACGAGGGTGAATTCATTGCCAAGGTAGGTCATCCCACCATAAGAACTCATCGTGTATTGGTGTGTATCGTGTATTGGTGTGTTGACAGTCTATAGTTCCCTTTAATCCCCGGCCACGAAACTGTCGGCGTTGTCGCCGCCATTGGATCCAAGGTCAAAGACTTCGAGATTGGCGAGCGAGTCGTCGCCGATAACTCCGAGCTGTGCGGAACATGCTTCTACTGCCGTCGTGGTGATGAGCTGTTCTGTGAGGACTTCGAGGCTCACGGTGTGACGATGAACGGTGGTTTCGCTGAGTACTGCGCCTACCCTGGTAAGTAGAGCAAGCTGCATATCAAAAGCGTACCGGGCTCTTGATACTGATTTCGGATGTCGTTTTAGCTGGTAGAGTCTTCAAGATCAAGAACCTATCCGACATCGACGCGACTCTCCTCGAGCCTGCCTCCTGCGCCGCCCACGGTCTGGACAAGATTGCCCCGAAGATGGGCTCGTCCGTTCTGATCTTTGGTGCTGGTCCTACGGGTCTGGTGCTGGCTCAGATGCTGCGCCAGAACGGTGGTTGCAATGTCGTCGTTGTTGCTCCTGGTGGTTTGAAGATGGATTTGGCTCAGAAGCTTGGTGCTGGTGATAAGTACATTGAGCTGTCGCGTGAGGCTCCCCAGGCTCAATTCGATGCTCTTAAGGCTGAGAATCCTTATGGATTCGATATTGTCGTTGAGGCTACTGGTAGCCAGAAGATCCTTGAGGACTCCATTAACTATGTTCGTCGTGGTGGTAAGTTGGTGGTATACGGCGTGTACTCGAGTGAGGTTCGGGTCTCGTGGTCGCCGGCTAAGATCTGTAAGTTTTCTTGTTCCGTTCTCTTGAATCCCTTGCTGAATTCCTTCCAGTCGGTGATGAAATTACTATCCTCGGCAGTTTCTCGGAGACCTACAAATTCCCTGCTGCTGTTGACTATCTTGACTCGGGCAAGGTCAAGGTGGATGGCATTGTGAACAAGGTGTACAAGATTGAGCAGTGGGAGGAGTGTCTTGAGGCTATGCGTAACAAGACCGCTATCAAGGCTGCCATCACCTTCGATTAGATCTGGATATCGCCGTGAATTTCATCATACACAAGTACAGTTCATAGAGGATAGTTAATAGAATTGACTCTTCCTGGAATTATGGGGTATCCTGACTTTATATGTACTTGCAAGTGAGGACCTTGATAGACCAACAAGGTACTTTTGAGATTAATGATATTATTATGAGATATGATGAACGATATTCCACTAAGGGGAATTTATACTAACAAAACATGAGTCTATAGATACAAAAGAGGAAAGAAAGTCGAAAACGGTGTCCATCATCAGCCAAGCTCGGCCTCTCCCCGCCTACGCAAACTCTCCACCCAAGCTCCAACAACCATCACCACCTAATTCCACAACCCACAATGGTCAAACCTCTAACATTCAAAGGCGACAAGCCAAAGAAACGCAAGACTCGCACCACAGACAATGAAGCACCAACCCCCAAATCGCGCAAAACCGAACCCGAACCAGAGGACAACCCAGAAGACCAAAGCTGGGTCTCCGCCGACTCCCCAAGCGACATCGCCGGTCCAGTAGTCCTAGTCCTACCCTCAGACGACCCAACCTGCGTCGCGAGCGACGCCAACGGCCAAGTCTTCGCCAGCAAACTCGAGAACCTCGTCGACGGAGACCCAAGCACGGCAGAACCGCACGATGTGCGACAGGTCTGGGTTGCGTCGCGGGTAGCGGGGACGGAGTCGTTTAGTTTCAAGGGACATCATGGGAAGTAAGTACATTAGACTGCGTTTTATCGCGCCAGACACATATTTACATTTCCCAATTCCTATTCCTACTCTGCATTTTTCTTTTTTCTTTTTTCTTTTTTCCCTAATCCAACCCAAAAACTAACACCCAACCCTCCAACCAGATACCTCTCCTCCGACACACATGGCCTTTTCACGGCAACCGCCTCAGCAGTCAGCCACTACGAATCCTTCCTCGCAATCCCCTCCCCGGAAGTCACAGGAACATTCTCCCTCCAAACACACGGCGGCGACGGCGAGTCCTTCCTCTCAATAAAAGAGAGTACCAAAGCCGCATCCGGCGTTGAGATCCGCGGCGACGCGAATACGATTTCATTTGAGACGACGGTGCGCGTGCGCATGCAGGCGAGGTTCAAGCCGAAGTTGCGCGCGTCGAAGGAGAGTAAGGCGTATGAGAAGATTAGTAAGAAGGAGCTTGAGGGGATTGTTGGGAGGGGCCTGGATGATGATGAGGTTAAGAGGTTGAGGAAGGGGAGGAGGGAGGGGAATTTCCATGAGGTTTTGCTTGATGTTAAGGTTAGTGGGAAGCATGATAAGTGGGCTTGAGATGGAGCAAGTTGGACTTTTGGTTCTGTTTGCCCGCGAGATTCTTTCGAGTTGTGCGAGCTGCGGGTTCGGGTGGATGGTCATGATGGATAGCATCGGGGCCGGATCGCCATAGGCTTTCCGATGTTCTCGCCCATTTGTTGGTCTAGCCTGTTGGGATTTAGGACGTTGCAAATGCATCGCGCGAGCTCCGTTCAGATTGAGGGAAACCTCAACATGCTGGGCCTCGCAATTATCGATTCTGGCCCCGGCGAGGGAACCGTGTAGGTGATGCATGGTATCTCTGTAAGCCTTCGAGGTCCCCCATGAAGAGAGACGAGGGAGGGGGTTTAACGGCCCATGATATCAGCCTAGATGGTGGTTCATTCCTCTATCAAACAGAGCACTCGAATATCATTTTAGACAATGTACAGCGAAGTACAAGACATGATGAATGACACAAATCTCCCTTCCGGGGCTGTACGAAACCCATTTTATATTTTCTCCTCTTGTAACTGTAAGCCTCAAACCCTTTTGATCTGTGTACAATTTGGAAAAGTTAAGAAAAATCAAACATCAACGGAATACAAGACAAACACGAGAATTTCAAATCTCAAATCAAGGAATCAACTTAACTTCAATTAACACAAACAACGCAAACATCCATTTGTAGATAGAGATAGTTCTGATTATGGAAGACATAATTCGTCACGCAGAAACAGATCTATGGCAAGAGGGGGGCGGTAATGACAGAATGGGGGAATGTGTCCCGTAGAGCAGCAAGCCCTGGGTATGAATTCTAACAACAGTAGTACAAACAAGACCTCGGAACCCCGAGCAAAAGCGAGAAACGGGAGCACAAAAGAAAGCATGACGGACCGGAGTTCAGTGGGAACATAACAGAGAGAAAAAAAACAGCAACCGCGTCCACCTTGCGGAAAGCATTCTCTGAGGAAAAAAGGAAGACAGATAAAAGAGAAATAAACGAAGTGGCGGAGCGATATCTGTGTTGAAAAAGAGAAAGGGAGAAAATAGCAAAACTGGTCAAATCTAGGTTCGTAAGGAGTCTCTTTTACCGCGAGGATAAATCCCAGAAGATGGGACGGGATGCAAACGGGTAGGAAGGTAGAAGCAGACGATTGTACAGAGATAGGCGAGGAGCAGAGGAGGAGCCATTGGAGATGGAGGAAGGAAAGGCAGCAAAAAAGGGGGGGGGGGGAGGGATCTAGGAGTTGAGCGATAGGCCCTGGAACCGGTTGATCCATTCGCCCTGCGCTGGGTGCGTGCGGGAAGAACCATTGGAGCCGCCGATGTTGCCGGGGTATTCGAATGAGTCTGCAGGACCAAAGCTAGATGGCAGCTGTGGGGAAAGGACGTCCGAATGAGCAGGTCCTTCTGAGTGACGGGAGGGCTGAGAGAAAGGCTGGTAGGACTCTCCGTAGGATGTGCGAAGCATGCCCACGGGGTTTGAAATTTCTCGGCCTGTGTCGATGGTATCTCGCGAAGCGGAATAGGATCTGTTCTCAAGTTGGTGGCGACGGTCTGCTTCCTGGCCATAAAGGGGGTTGGGCATGGTGCCAGGACCTGGCAGGCCAGCCGTAGGGGGTGTGACAAACGAGGCCGGGTTGATAGCTGACATCCAGATGCGAGTCTTGTAGATCTTGAACAGGTCAGTCACCAGCGAGTTGAAGTTGATGTACGAATCAGCAAAGTAGTAGAACGTAAGCTTTTTCCAATCCCTGCATAACAATTAGTTCAACCATCACGGGTGGCAATCGGAGCCAAGTAGACTTACATTTGAAACTCGGCATCAAGGATCTCCATATTAAGTCGGTGCTCAACAACTTTCTGCTGGCAGACCCGCTTGGCTTTGGCTTCATTTCCTTCTTTATCGTGCAAAGTCAAAACCTCATGTTGCTGTGCCAACCGCTTGATGAGCTTTGGCTTGATGTCTGTCGCGGGTTCCTGTGCACTGTGGGGACCATGGGGACCCATGCCACCTGTGGCACTTCGAGTGTTCATGCCCGAGTTGGGGTTGATGAGGGTGGACCCCTCAGGCTGGCCGTGTCTAGAGAAAATCATGAGGGTCTTGTAGTGCTCTTCCGCATAATGCTGCTTCAACTCCCGTGCCTGTTGGAGCGAGATGTTTGCATGAATGACGGTGCCCAGATCTGTTCCTCGATCTGCCTCCACAATGACGAGATCACCGGTTTTCACCTGAAGACCGGTGTCTTCTTGGATGTAGAAAACGTCCGCGCGGCTGCATTTGAAGGCGACAATGTACAAAAGCTGATTTTGATGAGCATGTGACAATGCGGATGGCTGACGACCATACGCATTCGACATCGCATATTGGCTGAGAGATGGCGGAATACCCGAGGAGCCATCTCCACGCAAAGTTTGTTCACGGGAATAGTAGGGCTCTGCAGAAGATATTAGCTCTGAGTTATAGCAAAAAGGATGTCGCAAGTAGATAGACTCACGGTTGGAATAGTCACTAAGATTACCATAGCCGTCATCGCGGTCTCCCATAGTTGCGCGAGGCGTAGCAGTAGAGTGTGAGTCCACAGGACCGATTGAGCCATGACGCATCGGAATCTCGGCGAAAGAGTGTCGGCGACTTTGAGGCATATCACTGCCACCGAAGCCTAGAGACGTTTGCCAATGAGCCTTGCGGACATTATCTAGAGCACGGTTTTCCAGCGGGGAGGCGAAGGACGAGAATTGCGATTCCGGGTGCGCTAAATGCTCAGAGAAGCGACGACGAGAATTGCCACGCAGATTATTGTATCCGGTAATATCACGCAATTCTCCTGGATCCTCTCCACCCAAATCTCCCTCTGGAACACCGCCTCGGATACGATGCAGTGGATGACCACTACCGATTGATGCGGCTGATCCAGCTCGCTCACGGTATCTGTTATCCATTTGACCTGCCGCAGCTGCTTGCCTTAGGAGTGCGTTCTCGCGTGCCAGCTGCTCGATCTGCCGAGCCTGACTCGCTGAGTAGCTCATGTCACTTTCCGAGCCGTTAAGGCTCTCGTCGCCATCATCATCCTCGCGGACTCGGCCGAGCATTGCGGTATCGTGTCCTAATTCACCGAGCATACTAGGACGTGATGCTCGAGGCTGAACAACAGACATTTGGCCGGGACCGCGGGAGCGACTTCCTGGGTATTGTGCACCGACAGCGGGAGCCGCACCGGGCTTGCTAGCAGCAAGACCGAGGAACTCAGGGTCCATCTGACCAACAGAATACGACTGAGAGCGGTAGGCTTTGAGAGTTGGTTGTAACGGGATGGAGAATGGGATAGCAGATTCACCAGATATGGTACGGGTGATTGGGCTCAACATTTCGTCTGGCACGTTGCCGCCCGCAGGAGGTGGGTTGGTCATTGTTGGAGAGGGTACCATTTCAGCCAAGCGAGAAGGCGGTTCTTTGCGAGATTCAGTGTTCCAGATTCCTGTGCCTGTGCCCCAGGAAAATGCACCTCCTCCGGGTTGGTTCCAATTGAACGATGCAGCAAGACCTGGGCTCGTAGTAGTTGCCCATGGTGCCTGATCACTAGCGGGGCTTGTAGGGTTAGATGGGGAGGAAGAAAGGTGCCCTCCAGACAGCGAATGTTTGCGCTGAGCGGAAAGCGGAACCTCATTCAGCCACGAGGTGCGACGGACTGGTGGTTTGGTGGTAGGGGGGATAATGTTCTGGGCTTGCGCTCCATGCTCCCCATCCTCGTCCGAGGAAGCCAATGCATCCGAGTCTGGGGTGGAGCGGCGCACGCCTGGATGAGTCTTCTCGAGGATGGCAGATGCTGTCGCCGCAGCGGGTGGGGTAGATGACTGAGCCATCGAGGTCGGTTTGTTAGAGGGCGCTGCCATTCTGGTAAGAGGAACACTGTTACAACGTTAGTATAGGATTCCTAGTGTAATATGTGTGACAAACGGGATCATTCCCTGCAGACCGTGTCACCATGAGCGCCATTTGACACCCAATTAAGCAGCACAACCAGAGCGGGGTTGTTTAATCAAGGAATAGCCCAAAGCTATGGGAGAATGAGAGATAATTCACTGACCTGTACGATCTTTGTTAATGGCAAAGCTGTGCTGTATAGGTGTCTCTTGGCTCAAAAAAAGAGAATGAACACATGCGATAACACCCGTCTTTATTCCACGTGCTCGATGCGGTTTGGGTAGAGGATCGATCTCTGATCTTTAAACGGAGGACGGTTCACTAGGTGTATGCGCTATGTTCAATTCTGGTTAAAGTAAAGTTAGCGATTGTTCCCATAATGAAGCCAGATAGTAAAATAGGGGGCAAAAAGCACAAATAAAGGGAAATATAAGCATATGTGGGTGTGGCATGACCGAGAACTGTAAGGTAAAAGCGGAGATTGTGCAGATATGCATACCCTCGGCCCCTCCTGTGAGAGGGTCCAGAAGTGGGGATACTAAAACAAACCCCTCAACCAAGAGAAAGCCGTGCACAACCCCGAATGACATGGATGTGAAGTACAATCGCGAGTAGAGTAAGAGAAGAGTGAGAGATGCCAACAGAGAAGAGAAATAGAAAAATAACCCGTAAGCAGATAGCGCCACGAAGAGGCACATTGCTCAAGACGTAGGAAAGCAAAGCGACCGAGAACTAGACTCGAACGTACCTCAAGTTGGCGTCAAATACTTGAACGAATCCTTTTAGCTGGCCTAGCTGGCGCGTGTAGATCACCAGACACCTCTCAAGCAAAATAGTTATCCACGAAGAAAACAGAGTCGAAAATCAAAAGCAGTCGCGTGATCGCAATTGTGTCTAGAGAATTATCCATTGTATCAGCCCAGTCGCGTCCAGGACAAGGGAAACTCGGTAGAAATGTTGCGCGACTCACCACTCTAATCGTTTCTCACCAAATGTCTATTTGCAAGGTGCGTACGGTGATCGTGGATCTTGTCAAGAATGTTGGGGGAGTTCTGTGCCTGAATTGCACAGGTCAATTTTCGAGGTGAACGGAGGAACGAGGGCGACGAGATGAGAGGTCAGAGAGACAACCGGCGAGAAGTAGAAGGGCCTTATTTGCGGGGAGAGAACGAGGCGCGGGTCAACGAAGATGCTGAATTTGAATGTTCGATAGTCGGTCTATTAGGAGATGGGAATGCGCTCGGTGAGTTTGCACAATCGAAGCTGTGACCACAGATGACGTTGAGCGAGCCGGGACTGGGCTGAACCCCTTAAGGATGGCGCATCTTGAGATCGAAGAAGAGTGTTGATGATGAAAGTGGGAGGTGAAGGGGGGAGGGGGAGAATGTAAAAGATGAGGGGAACGCAAAGAGCCTGGGGTAACTTCTGTTACGGATCTGGCAACGTTGCCCCGGAGGACACGGACCACTATGGTTTGATCTTCGAATTTTTTAGTCGATTTTTTAGTCTTTTTTTAGGGGGGTTTTAGTTGTAGTGAGTTTTTTAGTTCTTTTCTAAAAGAGATGTAAATTATGAAGATATATTAGATTACAATTTTCGCTATAACTATATGTGAAATTAAATAGAAGATGATCAGGAATACGGAGCTCTCCATAGGGTTAGGGAAAGTGGCGTAGACCCCCATCCAGAACAGGCGGGTCCCTTGGAAAAATAGGCCGATCATCTGGGGTTGTGGGCACTCCCAAGTACATCCAAAGCAGTACAATATATCTAGGTATATAATATTATATCTATATCTACATCCACAACTACTAGTACCCTGTAAAAGAATAACCCTCACACGGCCCTCGGGTCGCACACTTGCGGGGCAAATAAGCCCAGACTGTTCTTCCATTTTTACCCCGGATTGATATGCATTTTCTGACACTTCATATTCCCCCCTCTTAATATAAAATGAGCTTCCACTCGACCCCTCTTTTTGCGGGGATATTCTTCACATCACAAGCCATACATAACCCATCCATCTCTCTATATCCTCGGACAATGCGTCTAGACCATTGAACAGCTGTGGCACATGGTCGTGTAGTACAATAAATAGCATTGTCAACGTGACTCTTTTGCCCCCTAACCCCTCAGTGGATGATTTCACCCCTTGTGCAATATATTGGGAAACAAAAATATATACACCCATGGATATATAAAGTACTGTCAATGAAGGGAACTCAAGGATCAATTTCCAAGGTTCATCTGCAATTGCTCTCCTTTCCGACAAATCATGCTATGCCCCGGGCCCTCCGACCGGGGTTGATCCCTGGCACAACATGTTGCATCCAACCGTTGAGTTGTGGTCAAATTTTTTTTTTTTTTTTACTTGTCTGCTAATGTACGCGCTATTCCAGGGTTGTTATTAGGTGCCGTTTGTAGTTGGAAAATTGCGTCCTTCCTGTCCTTTCCTTTCCTTTCTTTTCCTGCAGTTACATATTACCCCGCAATTTGAGGAGCTATATCCAGTCTAAAACAATGTGTCCACAGTAGTCACTACTAATACATAAATAGCACCTCTGGAAATTAGTGTCATCACCTAGGATGTACAACATATAATATACACACTCTGGGTTGTTTCTTAATCCCTTAAGCCAAACTACGCCAAGCTAGGATAGTACTACATAACTCTTTAGAATGATTAATTGATGCAGTACCATGTATCTTAGTTTGGTATAATACATGGTGTATGTAGTATGTCGTCACACCCAAATAAATGTCTTCGTGGACAACCAATCATTTCCACAAACATGCAGAGCAAAGTGAAAGGGTCAAGTGATGGGGAGCTTGAAAGGAGGACCCACTAATTGGTTGTTCAACAGCCAAGGGGGTGGACTGCAAACCACAGTCCCCAACCTAACCAAACCTAATCTACCAGACCCCTGGAATTGTTCAAGCGTACCGGTTGTTACTATGCTGAATGCTACATCTGCAAATGTTAATACACACTCGCCTGGACTCGTGGCGATTCTCTAGACAGGCACACGGTTTCCTATCCACTCAATTCCATGCCCGAAAGACAATGTCTATGTTCACTTTCAGTGCTCGGATGAAAGATGATGTACACCGGTATACGGCTCGTTCAAACGTATATTCTACATCAAATAGAAGACCCGGCATGTCCCAGTATAGGCTGATTGAAGACGTCGAAGACCTGGACAGGTACCAACCTGGAGGATATCACCCTCTACAAGTCGGAGATGAGTTAGATAATGCCTGCTATCGAGTGATTGACAAGCTCGGATATGGAGGATACTCGACCATATGGCTAGCCCGTGATCTCTGAAAGGCCCGATGCGTGGCAGTAGCTGTGGTCACTGCTGATGCTAGTGGCTGCACGCAGGAGGATAGTCTTATATCTGCTCTTGGGAACGCGGCATCTAGACCTGGAAAAGGAATTATCCCACCCCTCATCGACAAATTTTGGGTTAATGGCCCTAATAGGAAGCACAAGTGTATTGCCGCTCCGCCTGCACGCATGAGCTTGTCTGATGCCAATCGATTCTGAAGCCAAGGATGTCTGCGCGCAGGGCCTTTGATCAGAGGGTTGAATACCCCAAGAGCCATGGGCTGAGGCGGGCCGGGAGACCGACGGAGAAAGAAAGGAGGGCGTTTGAAATGATGCTTCGGTCGATGTTGATATAACGGCTGAATGAGCGACAGCTCAACAGGCATTGCACCCAGAAGGGATGAAAGACTGAGGTCAACCAGCTTTGTTCCAAAGCTGGAGTATTTCTACGAAAGAGTTATGAGAATAGGTGTATTATACCAGAACAATTATTACTATGTAAATGGTAGATCATCCTTAGCCCATGTTATCCAATTTCGAGTAAGCTTTCAGGATAGCCACTAGAACCCCTAGCCACTTTCTAGTTTGCATTTGTACAGTACTGTATTGTAGAGCCATTGAGAATATTAATACTCAGATCGACTTCTACTACTAGTAGTAAATAAAGTTGGAATCAAATTAGTTAAAAATTCATTTCCCTTCCCCAAACTAATGTACAAGGTATATGTTCCCAAATGATCTATTTTACGGTGCACTGTCCAAAGGCGCACTAGCCGTAGCAGCAGCACCCTTCTGCTGGCGCAGTTTCTCCTCAAACTTGGAGAACTCGTGCATGGAAATAATCTCCTCCTCATCCATAACCTGCTCAACACCCTTGACCTCCTCAATCTAAAAAAGCAAAGTTAGCAAATAACTCTTATATCAAACCTGAATGGGAAATCAGGGAAGGACTTACATAGTGCATAAGCATAGACTCAATACCATTCTTCAGCGTAACAGTGCTGGAGTCGCAAGTCCGACAAGCACCACGCAGCTTCAGCATAACAATACCATCCTCAAAGCCTTTCAATTCGATATCACCACCATCTTCTTGGATAGCAGGGCGAATACGAGTCTCGAGCAATTCCTTGATCATACTGACAACCTCATCATCATCCTCGTTAAAAGAGAGCGAGTCCTCGCCACTCTCTTGCTCGCCATCAATAGCACCCTCAACTGTCGTCACGATGGTCTCGCCAGATGTCACGGCTTGCGTAATGATGCTGAAGACTTCCGGCTTGATGTGCGCCCAGTTCGCGTCGCTGCCTTTCGTCACTGTGATGAAGTCTGTGCCGTAGAAGACGGATGTGACACCTTCAACATCAAGCAGTTTCGCCGCGAGCGGGGATGGGTGTGGAGGCGCGAGGGTGGATCGTGGTGACATGTACTCGAGGAATGTGCTGGGGAAGTCCTCTGGGAGGACCCGGTGGTTAGGGATGAACTTCAAGGCCTAGATTATCGAAGAGAAGTCAGTTCGGGTTCTTTCGTCAAGATCAGATAATTGAGCTCTGGAACTTACGTCAGGGTTGGGAGTGTTCTCGGTCTGGATGAAAATGGTGCGCTTGCTGGTTGGCGAGAGACCGTTCACTCCACCCTGCGAGGCGGACTGCTGGTGTGGTCGCACTGTTGGTCGGCGACGGGTCTCTGATGCTGTGATGGTCGGGAGTCGAGCTGCGCTGGAGACATATCTGTAGCGTGCGAATGCCGGTCTGATTGTTCGGGCGGAGCACTCGACGGGAGTGGCCAGACGGCTGCTTAGTAGAGCGCGGCGAAACATTGTTGTAGATGGAGTGCTTAAAGACATTATGTCGTAGAATGGAATGTGCAAAGATAGTTGATAACAGGTGAATTGTAGAAAAAAACACTCGTCTCTTCGGCTGCCGCTCTGACGCAATTTGATTACACGTGATCTTGAATCATAGCCGGATGACAAATGAAGTCAGTTTCTCGGCCAATGAGAAGAGGTGTTTTGTACAATTACACAACTATGGATGTGCCGAATGTCGGAGGTTGAGAAACCGGTAGTTCACAGTCAATTGTCATCCTAGATCATATATCGAAACGAGATTTTGTGATTCGTTCTACACTCAGATAGAGTACCATCATTTCCCCTCGCAATCAGTCTTTAGGGAAGTGAGCTTCTTCCCAGTCTTAGCCTTGTAGTAGAGTTTACCTTCTAAGAACCTGGAAATTCCAAAGTCCCATGACGGAAGGACGTTGAAGTATGGACTTGGCCTCGCGGATTGTAAGGAGCAGGCCATACGGAATGAAAGTCGTCTGGTATCGCGGATGTAATCCAGCCCTCTTTCAAGAGGGAGCCTCTGAAAACAGTCTTTGAAGGCTTAAGCTATGCAATGATTGAGCTTAACCCCAAAGAGAAACTGACTGGGACAGGACCACGTTGCACCACGTTATATTAAGCTTTCTCTCGCATTTCACAAATACAAGGATGAGTTTATCCTTCAAGGACAGCTAACAATATAACAAATGCTCTTTAATAGAGCAACCATGCCCTGGGAGTTCTCTCTTTTCCATAGTTGATAGATGTACCTGTATGCATAGGTCTGCATTCCAACCACATCACACACCCGGTAAACCCGGTCATTAGACAGCAGCAGTAGGCGCTGACTTTGTGATGGCAATCCTGATTCGGCTATGAAAGAAATCCTGATCCGTGAGAAGTAACCACTTTATCTAACATAAGTTGCGGTGGTGCCTGTATAGTACTTGCAGAGGTGGGATAACAAACGGAATATAATATGTGGAGCCATCAACACCTCATTGATGAGTTGAATCCCGTAGGTTGTGATGGCTCTAAGAGGGTGGTGAGAGAAACCAGGTACCTGGAAAAATCCCTTACCGTCTTAGACTAAGAAGCAGCAGCGGAAGCAGCATAGTGCAGGTATCACACTTTGCATACCTGTAGGGCAAGTGGCATCTAGCAACTAGGACTGCTCGCAACAAATCGGACAGAGTGCCGTAGTATCTTGCAGATGGGTACCAACATGGTCTCAACAAGTCATAAATCAACCGGCGGACACATCAACTGAAAATTTGCAATAAACTGCACTCATACCTGGGATTTGCATCAAATAAAGTGAGACCGGGATCCACCTAGTATGGCCAGGTTGGTATCCCCACAAGTGTTGTCGTGGCCATCATACGAATGTCATGCTTTGGCTCCCCGAGTGGTGGGTGAAGACACGATCCCCTACGTATCCCATGCAAACGTGGCCGGCTCTTGATGTATCGCGTGCATTTTGGCTTTGTTCCGTCACACTGAGACAGTGGTTAGATTTTCCAAGGTTGGACGTGGATGATCAGGCTCCAACCAGGTCTTGGGGAAAAAATCCGACATCTGCTTTGCGCGTTTCGCATATATTGTGTAGCCTTCGGATCTAAATATATAGCACATCACCTATTTATGGAGTTTCTCGTTATGCGTGTGCCTGAATACGGTTGATGCCTGAGGCATTAAAGCCGACCCGAGCTTCTTTGATTTTCGTGCAAATCATGCAAATCGGGTAGCTTGGCCTTATCCTTCGAGCAGGACGCGGACCAGTGAAAAAATGAGGGAGCAAGTTTGATCACTGTGCAGCTGATGGATTCATTGGGAAATCGACACAATGCCTGGTTCCTGTGAGGTTTGCTCTTTAGAGCCCTCAAAATATCGCTGTCCCATATGCGGACTGATGAGGTACTGACATGATTATGCTTCCATCCCTATCCATACTTGGAACCAGTTGCTAAGAGTTATCGATTTAGTTGCTCACTTGCATGCACCCAGTCACATAAGATATATTGTGCCCCGAAGCCACCATCGAATGAGGACCCGAGTCATGATCCAGCGCCCGATGTCAATCCCACACCCGAGAACGATACCAACGGCCCTGAACCTGCAGAGCCAACTGGCACGAGCGCTCCCTTGATGACCCCTGCAGCAGTGGCAGCATCATCGGAGATGAAAGAGCTTCTCACCCAGCACCCCGAACTCCGCAGTCAGCTACAAGATATGTTCCAGTCAACGCTGGAAGAAGAATGGGAGGAATCATACACAGCCCCTGCACGTGGGCGTGGACATGGCCGCGGGCGAGGCCGTGGAGGGTTTGCTCCTCGTAGCCGTGGCCCATGGACGTCCGAGAAAGGCTTCAACCGCGGCCTGGGCAGAGTCCGTAAGCTAAGGCAGGATTGTGAGGAAGGGACGGAGACTGGCCAGGCCGCCGAGGCGTTCATGCGGTTTATGGCGCTTGTCAAGAACAGCAACTCAGACTCAGCTTGAGTCATCTATATTTTCCGGTGAAAAGCAACATGCCAGTTGGACGATCGGCACATATACGTGCACCACATTTATATGCTGAGTCCGTGTAAGTGAGACATGCAGATGCTACGAGATGGTGGGGCTTTTTGATCTACCCTAGCTGTTCCAATAGAGTAGCTGTCAGACTTGACAGCTTGAGCCATATTCAGCCTCATGCAACTCATGAATACGGCCTTAGTCTTACATATGATTCATTATTCCATGCTACCCTCGGTTCCTGGGTCTGACAAACGCATTTGCTAGTCCACGGGTAGATCAAAGCGATGAGCACCCTAGGGTGTTCAGGCCCATCAAGTGCAATATCGCACATACAAATACAGCGTACGTTAGCAAGCCAAAGGCTAGCCGAAGTCCTACATAGTGTCAAATTAGCGGCGCTTTTAGCGCCCCCAAGAAAGCGGAGCATATGCTAACGGCCCAGACTCCGAAGACCAAAATTTTGGTGGAAAAAGTACCAAAGTACTGAAAACTCGGAATCTGCATGTTTCTGACTAGTCACATGGCGCATGAAACATTAGCAGATGAGGGTATGGAGTAGAGTACTCTCTGTACGGAGTAGAGTACCTACTTACATAGTAGGCACTCAGTATTGTAAGACAAACAGCTCCGAGATGACACGGCAGAGTCAAGGCAGCTACTGCAGCTCTAGTCAAGTAACAAATACCAACTTTTTAGGACATAATGCAACACTGTAGATCGACTAAGTGAAATCGTCTTAGACCCAGCCTCGGTTTTAGTGGCCACTCATTTTGAGACCTTGGGATATTACCATGTGTCGAGTTCAGCTGAGCCGCTTTAATAAACACGAAGATCTTTTAGACTTCCAATGAAACGCGAGAATAGCATAAAAAAAAAGGATGATCCCAAACCAATTTCATATTCCTCAATATATTCTCCAATCTTCTCCAATCTTTGTGATCTGTCCATATTTTCGGTTTGCTTTATCATTTCTCTTCCCCGTTGCGCCAAGACAAAGATATCCGACGCAGCTCCGGCTAATTAGGGTAGTTTTCAAGTCAACTCGGAAGCAATTTTGATAAACACATTTCGGATGGCTGCCTCGCTGCTCTACCGAACTTGATCTGTTCCAACAATGGATGCGCTGCAGTGCTCGTTCTCTGAACTTACACAGTAATCAGAGCGCTGTCACACCGGGCCATTCCGTGGCCTCAGCAATTGCCGACCGCTTCCGTTATGATCTCACAGCAATCTCGCCGAGAGAGAGCTTACAGCGACAAAGCTCAAGCAATGACTGCCATAGCGTCCCAACGACCAGGCATGGGAAGTCGAACCGCTTCAGCCCCGGCTGGGGGTCTTTATAAACTCGATGTGGCGCGGAAGCCAGGAACGGGGACACAGGCCGAACACACATTGCTGGAGGAAGATGAGGGGACGCCATTTACGGGCGAGGCGATCAAGCGCACACGATTCAGTCAGCAGGAGGGGGTACGTTTTGAATTGATCCAGGGCGATGAATGATTCATGGCTACGGTGTACAGAGAGCTTCAATTGCTGACGGCTCCTTCCCCCCCCTTCTATAGGAATCCACCAAGACCGGCTTCCCCGAAGTGACCATTGCAGTGGCCGGCGAAGAAAATGCCGGAAAGTCCAGCTTCGTCAAATGTGCCCTCGATATGAAGAACCCGCCTGCCTCCCCTATGAACAAGAAGAAAATGTCATTGAACGGATCGGTCTATATTGTCCATCTGATGGAAGTCGACCTGACCCAGGTTCAGTTCGACCAGGACAAGAATATCATCTGGCCGCGTACAGGGCGCGACAAATCCACGCCAGTCATTGATGGAGTTCTTGTTCTACATGATGCCACCAAACCGGATCGACTCTCTTTAACAACGAATCTTATTGGTAGGTTCAACCACGGGGTGTACCTGGTATGGGGACTGATTTTCCCGGAATTTAGACTCATTGGCTGCCTCGGACCTTCCTTTCCTGCAGGTTGCCTGCAAATGTGATGTCAACCCCGAACCTTTGGAAGACAGTGAAGTGGATGCGATCCATGATCGATACGAGATCTATCGAACGTCGTTTTCGTCGCCTCGATCTCAACGCATGTGCATAGCGTTGGTTTTGGGGGCAGTGATTTCTACTCGAGAAGGTAAGCAAATTTCCCCTTTCCCCCTTTCTGTTCTCGAACACAAAACCATTGGAGTTGAAATGTGCCTTGACCCCCCAAGCGGAAGCGGGCCAATGTGGGTCGCGGTAGGAGCGTTCGCTACTTTTGTCATTCCCCATAGAACTCGGCTTTTTTTGCTTTTCTCCTTCTAACCCCTCTTCTTCATTAGATCTCTCCAATAATCCTAATACTTCTTTGTCTTCGCCGACGAAAATCAAATCTGCCCACGATTGGCACCATACCCGTGCCAACTCCGAAAACCCCTCAGCCGTGTTCACAGCCGCCGGCGGCACACAAACGGCCTCAGATCAATGTGTCGACGGGGATGGTGAGGACCGTCTCCCAACCGATGAAAACAACTTGCAGCATACGTCCAATTCCCACCGTTATGCCCGCAGTAACTCACAACCGGTGCGACCGCAAACTCCGCCATCTGGAGCGCGTTTAAATACCCACAGACCGCCGGCACAAGAACTAAACTCTCCCAATCACGATAACCGTCAGCAACGATTGCATAACGCCTGGCGACACAGTGGAGGATCAGACGCTTTCAACAGTTTCTTAAACATGGATGACGAGGCAGACGATGAACAGAGCCGGCCCACGAGCCCTGGCGCAGTTCTACGGCCAAAGCCGAGCAGCGAGAGCAACTCGAGTGCAGAGACAGGTCTATCGTTCGATGAGCTAGTCGATCGTTTGATTTCCTTGCCGATGTCGAAACAAGACCAAAAATTCCGTTCTACATTCCTCTGCCTGTACCGAAAGTTTGCCGCTCCCGCAAGTCTGTTAAGTGCCTTGATAAGTCGATTCGAGCGAAATGAGATGGGCAACGAGGACCAGCTGGCCCGCATGGCGGATCAGCTGCGATTACTCGATGTCATGGCGCAATGGGCGTCGGACTACCCTGGAGATTTCGCTCACCCCAACCTTCGCAAACGGATCCTTGAATTTGTCGCTATACTCGAAAAGAGCCATTTCTACATGTTTGCTGCCAAGGAGATCGGGTCGCAATTAGACTCCAATGCACAAGACGATGATATTGGCTGGGCATATGGGGGTGATGGTGATCTCGAGGAGTCCGAAATGGTTGAGACATTCTTCGACAACTCCGGCCGAAGTTCTCCAGCCGCTGTTCCCACTGGCTCTGCCCCTGTCACTAACACTTACGACACCGAGGAAGAACAAGACCCCATCTATAGTATGAGTGCGCTGGATCTCAGTAGTGGGCCGCATGACTCAACATCAAGACTCTCAGGCACTCTTTCAGTCTCCTCGAATCCCGACAAATCGAACGGCATTACCAGTCAGTCATTCACATTGTTGAGCCTTGACGCAGCCCAAAAAGAGGCTTTGCGTCTTGAATTAACACATAAGACTTTACTTGGCAAACTCCAGTGGCGGATTTTCATGGATACCCCAGAAGAGGAGTTCGCACGAGAGCTGACGCGGGTTGACTGGGTCATGTACAACTCATTCCGGCCGCGTGATCTTGTGCGTCATGTCAGCATCTCGGGTATGGACAAGGATAAGATCAAGAGCTTGACGAATGTCAATCGGATGATCAAGCAATTCAATCATCTGGCGTTCTTCGTGGCCAGCCTGATTCTCTTACGTGATAAGCCTAAGCATAGAGCGCAGGCGTTGGAGAAGTTCATGAACATCGCAGTGGTAGGTTTTCTCAACCTAGCTACTATAAGGTCAGCAGCAACTAACAGCTCCCAGAAACTCCGCCGCCAAAACAACTACAACTCCTTGGGTGCTGTAATAGCTGCCATCAACGGCACCCCTGTCCACCGCCTCACACAAACTCGAGACCTGATCCCCATCCCAGCTCAGAAAGAGTTCATGCGTTTGGTCATCCTCATGAGCACCCAACGAAGCCACTTTGCCTACCGCCTTGCCTGGGATAATTCGTTCTCAGAGCGAATCCCATTCTTACCTCTCCACCGTCGCGACCTTGTCTCTGCCGAAGAAGGCAACAAGACATTTGTCGGCGAGAACAAATCTCGCATCAACTGGAAGAAATTCGAGGTCATGGGTGAGGTTGTTCTCGGAATTCAGCGAAGCCAAAAGACCCCTCATCCGCAGGCTCAAAAATTCGACGATGTCGAGCGACTGATCCTGGACTCGAAGCTCTCTGGAGACGAAGAGGTAAGATCTCTATTATCGCGAATCATTGTTTCTTCTCATTAACGTCATCTAGGACTTGTATGCTCGTAGCTTGCACGTCGAACCGTCCACGGGAGCTGAGGGACGAAGGAAGTTCGGCTGGTTACGCTCTTAAACCCTGTCGCTTCTTCGACCATATCTCTGACAACCCCGGGCACTCATCTCCATCAGCCTCAACACGAATTGAAGCTTCTCTCCTACACAACCATCTCATCTAACATCTTTCCTCCTACCTTCATATCTACCCTACCCTTCTTACCCTTCCTACCTCCCCCTCCCCTCTACACTTCCTTTCTCATGTCGCCACGCCCCTATATGATTGATAAATACTGTCGTTGTCTTTTGCCTGCTTTTCGTTATGAACTCGGTCTCCCGCGGGGGTCGATATGACACTTGTAACGGTGATGTATCTTAAAAAAAAAAGCTCCGTTACGACATTTTGTACATATGTGTGCTGAAGTGGGCAGTGATGGTCATTGACTGTCTTGCGGATAGCAGTTCCCTACCCTGGTATATATTGACATCTTTATGCATATATCTCTTTCTATCCTCCATCTATCCAATAAAGTCGTAGCCATAACAAACAATATCGAATAGTTATCAAGATCCGAGCTAACATTAAAACTAGTAGCACTAAATAGCGGAAGCCGCATACATTTCTAATCACGTGAATTACTTATCCACCCGGTTATCTCAACCTCCGACCAGCTCCAAGACCAAAGACAATCTCACCTCCAAACCTCCGGTGCACCAGGGTCTCAAAACCACAAAACCAAACCGATAAAATCTACCACAACACCCTACATCCTCCGTCATCAAAATGTCCACAACTATCCAAGCGCGCACAACCTACCGCGCCCTCCTCCGCGAACTCCCACGCCGCCACCTCAAAACACCCTCCCCACTCCACCAACACCTGCGCGCGATCTTCCGCTCATCACCAGTGACATCGTCACAATCAAACGCTCTACACTTCTCAATTCCAAATACAGACGAGGAACGAACACTCCGCGTCCAAGAAGCAGACCAATTCGCTCAATATGCCCGCGCCCAGCGTGTCTACTCTGACCTCCTTGAGCGCTATAACCCGGGTATGAGTATGGATGAGGAGGAGAAGATTCGTCTTACAGCGAGACGGGTTGGGTTTGATTTGCCTGAGTTGCATGTTCCTGAGGGAAAGGAGTAGTTGAGCAGTGCTGAGGTGTTGGTATTGCTTGGCTTTCCTTGGTTCGTCTTGTTCTGTCAGTGGATTGTCGATTGTGGAGATGGTCTGCGTTCTGATTATACGGCAGAGGCGGATTGTTCTAGGCTTGGTTGGAAGCTGTGAAGCTGTGGTTTTGCTGGAAAGCATGTATTCCATGGAATGGCGTTGTTATTGTTGATTTGGGATTTTGTATACTACGGTTTTCATGTATAAAATAAAATAGAGAGCATTTTCAAGTACCATGAGCTTGTTTTTCATTTTGAATTTCTTTGTGCTATGCATTAACTTTGGATAGAAAGGCATTTGGATTGACGTTCCAGTCGTAACTTGGGGTATCTGATATTCAGATCCAAGGATCTGAATATTTGTTCAAACAACATGGGTTGCCGCACAGTGTTTGAGGGCACCGAGAATGGACACCTGATGTTGACACTGAGTGTGGTTGCGTTGCAGAGGCGACGGCCTAGCAAAAGGGTCATGGTGGAAATGTTCCGGACCCGAGAGGACGCTGGCGCTGAAAGTTGGGCGTTTGAATAGACGTGCTTCCATGGCTGACTCTTCAGGTAGCACTGAGCTGGGCACGCTCCATCTGTCTCATCAAAGTCGAACTGCTTTCTTCGTCTTCCATGCCAACCCCAACTTCAATCGCAGTCTTGGGTCGGTTCCGGTTCAGACCGTCTAGCAGCGTGCACGCTTTGCAAATCCGTTGACTGGAAATGTAGTTACAGCGCTCGCAGTGTTTGATAGTCTGCGCCTTGACGGCCTTACCCGTTGGCCCGCGGTTCGGCTTCACGCGTACACCGTTAGGAATCTTGATTTCAGTTTCGAGCGACTCGGCCGCGTCATTCTCAGTGAGCTGCTTCTCCATTGCAGCCATCTCCCCCCCACTGGTTCGTCCATTCTGACTACCACAGCCACCAGCCGATTCCTCTTCTGCACCAGCCTGCTTGGATTTACCGGCACCCCGGACTTCCACGGGTACAAGCGCGGCCATGTCCTCGCCACTCTTGACAATGTCGAGGATCGAACTGGGGCGAATCTTCTCAAGATCCTTGATCAGGGTACGAGCACTGCCGCGGAACGCCTCAGGTGAGTAAATACACTCGGTGGTGAAGTAGTCTAGCTGACGGTGGTGGGCATAAAGGACGATCTCCTTCTCATAAGCGTACTTGAGAGGCTTGCTGCGCTTGATATCCGAAGCGTCGGAGCTAGTGACGATACTAGTACCGCGCGACAGACGGGGCAGATCACCACGCAGGAGATTCATCATAACGGTCTCAGCAACATCGTCCGCATTGTGGCCTGTAACAACATGCTTGATGCCCAAGCGGGCGGCGCCTCGATCGAGCGCCTGCCGCCGGAACACACCACAGTACGTGCAGTTTCCTTTTTTGCCCACTTGTTCCACAACCTGGTCCATTGTCCAGCCGTAAAGCTCGCTATATCCCAGGATATCAAGCGGCATCTCGTATTGCAGAGCGTTACGCTTCACAGTCTCGAGACTGTCATCGCGATAACCGCGGATGCCCTCGTCGATGGACAGTAGACATAGATCCAGTCCGTAGTTATATTGCTCGTTGAGGGTTTTCAGTACGGCTGCTAGTACTGTGCTGTCTTTGCCGCCGCTGGCTCCGATCGCGACTCGCTCGCCGGGGAAGAAGAGGTTGGTGCCGATGATGGTTTCGTGTACTTCGGTCTCGAAAACCTTGATGAAACAGGCACGGCAGAGTTTGTGCCTGTTCTTAGGTCGGATGATGACGGCGCGCGCCTCTTTGCAATCGAAACATGCCGTCGGTGCCATGATGAGTTGGTTAGGCCTGGGACTTGGTGGCGGAGAAGAATTTCTTTCTCCCCCGCGGTCGATCGAGTGGTCCGTGCGCAGTGCATGGGTTCCAAGGTTAGATCTATATCAACGGGCTATACTCGGTCTTTGCCATTGGAGAAAAGGAGCCAGTCTAGAGAGTTAAATGGCCTTGAAATGTCTTATTTATACCCCAACTGATCTGATTGCTCATTTGACTGCCATTCCAACCCATGTGAGATGACACACTTCCCACATTGACGTTAACAATTCCCAATTATCACTTTACATAAAGACAGAAGGTGAGGCTTATGAATTTACTTTCTTTTACTTGTGTTATGAGGCTAAATTATTTACTGCAGTCAGTTACTTGCTGTTTGTTAATGTAATCATCATGCCCACAGATCTGATAGTTTAAAGTACACAAGATGGTTATAACACAGCATAAGCGTATGTTATAGCCAAGACAGAAACCAAAAAAAAAAAAAACCCCCAGTGAGTCAGGTACAAAAGAATTGCGAGATAACAACCAATATAATTTGGTGCACGGTTCAAGGGTGATGGATTGAAATGTGTGGGCGTTGTGACCGGAATCTTGGGTGTTATTTCCCTCGTAGTTCTGAATTGAGTAAATCTCAAGTTATTGTTTACGCTGCCTTTTCTTCGCGCGGTTCTCTTCAGGTACATACTCGAGGATAACATCATATTCCCTAGGCGAAGTGGGTCGAATCGAAAAAGCTTCTCCCAGAAGCCTGTTTTTTAAGCGGAATCCAGGTTCAAAGGATTTTAGGGCCGAATCGAGGTATGATATTTGGACATAATGACCCCCTATAGCCGGCCTTGGACGTATTTTGACTTGAACCGTGCCTGGTGAACCTTTCAAGCAAAGTTGGTGGGAGGGCGATTGACCAGGGGCGAGAAAGAGAGCATCTGAGTTGTATTGGGAGGTGCCCAATAGAACTTCAAACTTTTCGCTCGCTTCATGTCGCATCTGGAATCTCCATTGACTATCCCGGATGATGTCGAATCCATGATAGAGGGAGCTATCTGATCCGTAAGTAATGAGATATTCTCCTTTCCTCCTGCCAGCTACTTGGCATTTAAACTGACTGCCCACGTATGGAATACGGAGGAGAAAGGCTTCAGATGAAGGTTCAGCATTATCCATTGGAGCTTTGTATCCAACTTGGCCGCGACATGTTGCGAGTAATTCGAATCCAGGAGGAAAGTTCAATCGCAAAAAAGACGCCTGGAAGGGGAGATCGAACCCCTCTGTGATAACGATAGACCTTCGGCCCAAACTCGTAAAATCGATGCTGCTCTCCCAGCGAGTGGAAGGATCTGTAATAGCGCTTAGATGGCCAACTCTTTCGAAAGTGTACCCAGAAACCTGAAATGATTTTGTTTGCATCAAGTAAATTCCATGCTGGTAGGGACCTTCCCCTATAAATGCAAGGAAGAGGGTGTAACGGCGCCACTGTCCTATTCGAAGAAACCCTCCGTTTAGCTCAAGTGTTTCATATTCAAAACTGAATGGCAGCCAACTTACCATCGCAGTCACCAATCATGTCTGTTTTGAGTAACATCAAGTCGACATCTAAATGTAAACCTCGTGCAGATGTTGAGAGATTGCACCCCGGTAATCTCCAGCTTGTTTGAGTATCGGATCGCGGTTTGAAACAGGAGAGCGATGGGGCTAGAGCACCTAGTCGTTGTGGAATGAGGTTCTCTTTATTGAAATCTTTGATAAGTGTTAGTCATTGAAGGGACACTCTTGTGCTTGGAACACACTCACCGTGTGCCTCCCAGAGCAAGAGGCTTGCATCATCGTACTTTCTGATGAGCTCTTGCTGTAACCGCAAAAACGCCCGATCACCCTCACCATAAACCAAAGGCATATTAATCCCAAAGAGCCCAAAAAGGGAATAAGCCCTGTCTTCTACTAAAGTCGTCTGTCTCTGTGAAGCCCAAGAAAAGCGTTCCCGGATAGAGCACTCATAGAATTTTCGTAATTTATCGGGTTGGATGCCCGTAGCCCTCTCGATTTGCTTTAGGCCGTTGTTTTTGTCGACGATTTCGAGCCAATTCTTGTCAACGAACAATAGAGATGTCGGAGCTATGAGCTCTTGAAGTGTCCACCCCCTCGTAAACCACCTCGCACGGATAAAGGAAGTCTCAAGAGATTTTGCATCTTTCACGTCGACATCTTCAAGGTACGCATAGCAAATCATGGATTCTTTGTACCAGCGAAACATGGCGTTGATAGCTTCTTGTGTGTCAGACGTGTTTGTTTTATCAATGCAACAGGTATCCATCCAAGCCCATTCCCAGCCGTTTTCTCTCGCAAGGTCACAGTAATTCTTCAGCTTTTTCCAACCCTCGGGTTTGAACCGGCCACCCATCAACTTGGAGTAGGATACCTTCATATCTTGATAGGTGACCTCACTGACACCATTTGAATCATTCGGGAGCCATGTATGTGACAATATAGCATATTGTGGAAGCGGACTTCCATAATGTGGAAGATCTGCCTGTTCGTAGAGCCTATATGATTGTGTACAGAGAAACCTCATGGTGCAGAGCTCTAAGGTAGATGAACGGTGTACAGATATTGAAGACTGTACAGTATATATGGAAAGGTGTATCGAAAAGAGTAATCGTGAAAGAAAGTCTACTCACTTAAATCCTAGAAATCGAGCCTATATTTATAGCCTCACTTTCCATTCCACTTCAATAAATTCCGCATGCAAGGACTGTTTATCTCAAACGAGAGAGGGATAGCTAAAAATTAAATCCCGCAATTTCCTAAGCGAATCAACCCATGTATTTCTACTTCATGAGTACAGAAATAGCATTGGAAGCGCTAAGCTTGCATGCGGGCAATTGGTGTTGATTGGGTATACCGATTGAACCCCAATTCCGTGGTAATTACTGTCCAATGGATATATTCGTATCACTCCTAAGACATCAAAAACCACCAGGATGAGACCAGGTGCTTAATAGTTGATTTATGAGGCTTTCGAAACGCCATCTTCCTGCGCCCCACCACGTATTTTTGTCAGTTATCGGTGATGTCACGTAAGTGAGGCTGAATATTGGGTTTCCATAGATAAACTCATTCGTAAGTTTCAAACAGGCATATTGTATATACGCCCTGGCGATAACATGCGGGCTTTGATTGGCGGTTGGTGGTGCGTAGATGAGGCTGAGCGCTCTGGCGCAGACCTGGGCGGCTGCAGAGCTGACATAGCGAGTCACCATAAGTTGTGCTGCTCCCCATCTCAATGTGATAAAATCCAAATAAATCAAGGTTCTCGGATTGTGCGAGACCGCTTGCTTCAAATTTTGATCCGCTACTCTGAAACAATCACGAAATATGACTATCCAGGTCACGCTAGGCACTCTAATGTCAACATACATCCCAGTACCCTCGGTCCCGCAAATAGTATCGGAATGGGCCTCTTTGATTCCTCTGGCCTGCCATCTCGCTAGTCCCCAAGATGATCACTTTACCTCGGGCGATGTGTCTCTACATGGGCGAATTTCATTAATTCTATTTCCCCGCCTTGGGACTTTGTGGGGGCTAGGAAGGCTCTTCAGCAAAGGTTCGAACTATTTTGATTACGCGAGCGTCAAAGGAGGCGCTGCTCGAACAGTATGGGATGTCAATTGGGGATCCGAATTCCCCTGCGCAAACGGTGCTGCAAGTGCAGCAATTGAAGATTTCGCCCTTGGGCGTCTTACGGACCAAACAGGGGTGATACCAAAGCTTCCAATCCCTATTCCAGATAGCTATGTCACCGCTAGCTCCCCAGAAACATCTCTAAACAATGGGTCAGATGAGGCCCCAAAGATTCGCAAACAAATATTGCATGTCTACCAGTTTCGGTTCTGTCAGCCCCGACGGTCGATACGATTTAAAGTCGACAGTTTTATAAGATCAAGGATTCCTACTGCACTCATTTCCATTATCCTTTGCGGCATTTCAGTTATATTCGGTCTTGTTGGCGCGTATGGAAGCGCTGGCCTCATCTTGATCACCGCAATCTCCAGACTGGTTGCCTGGGCCATAGTCATTCCTCGAAGCGCTGGGTATCTGAGCAACAACGAAAAACATGACATTGCATACATGTTAACGGCATCACACGTCAACGCCACGGAGTGGAGTCTATACACTGGAGATCGCGCAATTGTTGACACCTTGCTCAATAAGCCGATGGTTCATTTCCCAGAAGGTAAACAAGCACAGTTAGCAGCTCGCTGGTTTTACTTCGCACATGCACTTCAACTTGTCGCAATCACATACGTGGCGGCACAGAAAGGCTGGGATGGTATATTCTTAGTGTGTGTCCTTTTTGTTCACAATATTTACAGTTGGACACTTTGCGGCAATGCAAAAGCTGCTGACTGGATGGCCCGAGAGGGTATTGAGGTCAAAGTGAAGAGCTATGAGTTTGGCTGGCGAACTGCTATGCTAGGTTGTATACAGGTATTCAGCGAGTCAAAGGTCACCCGCTGGATGGATTCGATAGTGGTTCCACATGTGCGACGTGACGCCTTTCTCGGAGTTATTCAGGGAAAGGAATTGGAGAATTGCTTAGAAGTCCAGCTTGATGAGTATGATCTGAACTGGATTAATAACGCAGCGTCACTATCCGTTCAGGGAGGAGAGGCATTAAAGCGTGATTTCGGTGTTGGCAAGTGAACTTATTGTATATTAGGACTTAATGTTTAGTCACTATATTCGAGGCTGGTGATTTTGAAGAACCTACAGCGTTGAATAGGATTTGCAAAGAAAAACACCCTAAAGATTCTACCCTAGAAGTGTTGTGGTGCACCGCGCCCAACCACTACATGCGTACTTTCGCATTCATGCCTTTACATTCTTATCTAGATGCGCCACAGGCCTTCCCTTTCGACAAAACAGCCTAGCAAAGCACAGAGGCCACTGCTTCTTCTTAGCCACCTCAACGGCCTGACGATGAATATGATGTCGTCTCAAATGCAGAGAGTAAGGCTTCGACCGATCGGCAAACAACTGAAGATTCTCCTTCTCCTTGTCGCCTAGCTTCTCTGCAGCCCTAACAGTTCGCTCCTGCGAGAACGCAAACGAAGTCCCAATAATCTTGAACCGCCGAGCCATATAATGGATATGGGGAGAATGCCAGTCGTCGGATACCCAAGAGGGCTTTGCGTTCCATGGCAGCCGTCTCTCCTTCTTGAACGCACGCCACCATTCCTCAGTCGATAACCGGCCCTGCTCCCCACTAACTGCATGGACGCATCCACTCGTCCCCAGCGCCACATGGACCAGAGTTCGATCCACTACCACATCAACCGGGACTTCGTCGATCGTGGATTCTTGATTTGGATTTTTATATCGCGTTGAGAGCTTGATTTTCCGACCTGGATGTAACATGTACGCTGCTGCACAGGCTGTCGATGGGGCTCCGTGTGAGGTCGCGAAACCGGGGTATGGGAATTTATCAGCTGGGCCAAGGACAGACGGTCTGATAATTAGGACTTTGTCCATTTTGTTACGCTCGGCTGCCTTCTGAAAGACTAGTCGTTCGGCGAGATGTTTGGCGTATGCATATGGCCATGGAAAATCATGGGCGTCGTATTCGTCCGATGAGCCGGTCTTTTGTATTGCGCTCCATGCTTCAAGTGCAATTTTGAGGTAATCTTCCTCCTCCCTGCCGAGGGGATAGATTCGCTCGTCAACTGATACGTCGTGCGGTTCGTGGGATTTCCATAGATGGGCATTGGCATATGCAGTGGAGAAAAATACGAAGCGCTCGAGGTTCGGGAATTTTAGGGCGTATTGTGTGAGACATACGCTTGGCGCCAGCACAGTATATGATAACTCTCGCAGAGAATTGTGTAGTTGAGCTGATGATGCGATATGGAAGACAATATGTACTTTCTGTTTTAGCATCTGTAGTGTCTCTTCTGATAAATTCATTGTCGCGGTATTTCCCAATTCGCCATCGAGGATAGTTATCCGCTCGTTTTGGGTGAGGATCTGTGCCGCGGAGGGAGGAAGTATATCAGACCATTTTGCCTTTGCTTTGCTGGTCATTCAAGTCAGTAACCTTGGAAGTATTGTTTTGACTTGTATTTTGGTCACTTACTCGGAGCCACCCCGACATAGTACGTATACTCGTTTCGGAGACGACTGGCTCAAAAGTCGACATAGAAGCGCAGTTCCAATAAAGCCTGTTCCTCCGGTGATGAACAGAGTCCTGCCATTATAATAATCCCATATCATGATGGACTGAACCTCCAATCTCCACCTTGATGGGTGGAATGGAAATATGCGGCATATATAATGCAATAAACTCGCACACAGGAGCCTTCAGGTGGGGTCTATGGTCATAATAAAAAGCAGGTTAGCATTGTCCTTTATTGGATATTGTGGCTGGCAATTCGATGATGGCAGTGAATTCCGATTTCGGGTGCATGCATATCTGCAACTAAGATGAGGTGGATGCAGCCGTGTGATCCATCACACTAGGAGAGTACGCAGGGACCAGCCATCTGAATTGTTTAGTAATAGCGAAGCGACAGGTATGGAAAGAGAGTAAATGTTCGTGACGTTCAAATTGATACTCACTAGTGTGAGAAAGGTAGTGCCGATGTTAGCATGTACTGGATAGGCTAAAATAACAGGAGCGTGATGAATACGTGTATTATGTCGAATGATCTATCTCAAATATCGAAACACTAATAGACCAACCTCGCTTAATGCGTCAGAATCAGTGACACAAGGGGTGAGATTTCAGTTTGCCTGTAGATACATGCACACCGCTTCATGCACCACCTAGCCAACGAGACGACGTAGCAACTTGAATCTTCATGCATCTATATGTTAAGGATGCATTAGACAACAGCAGATCTTTTATTCTATTCGTCAAGCTCTATGTTCATGCCGAACGGATCACCATTACTTTGTACATCTGCTGCCAAAGGCGGAAACAGTCTCAACCCTATTAGTGTGTAACTCCTGCTATCTATATATCTCTAGCATATTTCTCAGTTGTTTTCTTTTCAAAGCCAAGGTTATTGTGCATGGATTCGAACGATGTGCATGTTCAACCCTCGTGCACGGTAGGGAGTAAATTAAAATCCATGCTGGGCTGCTCATACTCCGGCTCAAATACATCCCACCAGGTTCCCACCTCTAAAGCCATAAACATCATTAAAAGGATTAGGTCGATCTCCATAAAGAAAGCCGTGCACCTCGCGGTCAAGCCAGATGCCAAATCCTGCCCGGCGCATGGACTCCGTTATACCAACCACGAGTTTGGGTCTTGACGACTTCTCTCGCTGACATAACATAATGTATCGCGTATTCCATTGAGCAGACCATGCCAGTTTCCATTGAGGAAGTCAAGCAAGCCCAACTCGATAGAACACACGGTCTTCGGAAGTGCAGAGTGGAGATCTAATAAGTGGGATTGCTTCACTTGGAAACCTGATAACTCGAAGGAACGGAGGTTTGATCGCTTCTTTACAGGGAGTATATTAATTAGTGGGATGGACGCTGTGGTATCTCTCTGGGTGGCGACCGTTGTTCCGAATTTGAAGTACCTCATATTCTTCGCCTCGGACAGAGCTTGCTTAAGATAGCCGCTCCAAAATGAGGGCCAGTCTTCTTGCTCTTACTCGCCTACAAGAAGTAGAAGATTTAGACGACAAAATCTAGGGCTGTGAAGTATCGAAAGGAAGTTATCGTATTTCTCGCACGGTTGAGCAAATATGGTACAGTCGAGCCCGGTCGGAAGGTGATCGACATCCAGAACCAATTCTAAGACACGGTGCTTGTAGTGAAACTTGCTATATCGAGGTCAAATAAGCCGACTACTGACCATTGTTGTCTTTAAACGTCTTCCTCGCGGCCAGAATTGCTGGTGATGTTTAGTTGGTTATTACAAGAATACGAGTCTAGCATCATACTTGATGTCAAAACAAGCTGGAATTCGTGCCTTGCAGTCAAATAGGGAATGACAAGAGTTAATATTTACACAAACGTTGACTAAACATGCGATTGGCGCAGGACTATCTGTCAGCGCATTTCCAATCTCCGTTAACGAGACTGCTACTGGGTTTTGGCAATTATGAGCGACAGATAGGCCAATGTGGGGATAGCTGTATCACACAGCATTCCAGGCACGTCTCTGCCGTAGTGCAGAATTCCCAATTGTGTATATAAAGAAGCTCATTGGCGGGGATCCACAAAGCGGGCATTCCAGAGAGCAATTATGTGGGGAGGGACAACAGAGTTGGGATAAACATACATATACCAACATGTTTATTTTGTGACGGCCTCATCTGGTCTCTTTTATCATTAATATAGCCGTCTGGGTTGATTTCATAGGGCGCGGTTTTGCGTCTCGTCCTATTTTACTATCTTTTGCGAAACCCGTTCTGCATATCCTTCACTTCTGTCAACATGAAGCCAGGTCTACTCGATATGGGCTATGGCCGACCTTTGGAGTTTACTCTCTCAGTCGTCGTGAAGACCAATCCTAGTCCGCTCGACTTTCAATTCGCTGCCGATACCCTGGTCTCACAATGGCCTGTACTGAACTTGCGAATGGACCCGTTGGTACGTACTCAGTAATATGAACCATTGCGCAGAGACTAACGTCGGGCAGAAAACGAAATTCTTGGAACCAAAAGACCCCGGGGACCTGGCCGAGGTATGGGAAGGAAGAACTCTTAAACAAGAACTCAGCGACATTCTCCAATTTTCCCCCGACCCGGACTCACCGCAACTGATTGACTCCGAAACGCTCGATAAGGTATTGGATTTCGAGTATGGAATCTTGCATGCATGGAAGCAACGAGTCTTCTCCATCCGAACGGTAGACTTGATTGATGCTTGCATAATAGGGTTCAAGTTTCTGCAGCCTCTTTGCGATGCAAATGGTAATTGACATCTTGGGAAGCACCAAAGTAGTAGAGCTGACAATATGATTATAGGCGCCCATAAAATAGTGCAGGCTTATTGCAGCCTGCTCAGGGGAGAGCGCATTACCCACACCCTCCATGGCCGGCCACCCCTGTCACTGAAATCAGAAGTACTCGAAAAATGCGCCGAGAAGGTTGAGTCTCATCAGATCGCAGACCTGCACAAACATTCGATGCATCGCACTTGGGTAGCCGGAATCGGGGCTCTCGGGAAACAAGTTGCACGGAGTATATGCTATCCTTCTGCTAGACGGATCGGCAAGACCTTGTTCATCCCCCGAGGACGAATCCAGAGTTGGCTAGAAGAAGCCGAAAGTATAAAGGCCAAGGTCACTGAACATGATCTCTTGTTAGCTTTTATTTACCAGGTGAGGAATGCTGCCCTTTATTCAGTCAACCCAAAATTGAACCAGTTCACTGAGAACATACCTTAAACAGGCCGCTTTACACCCGCCTACTGCCCACAGCTTTGGCCTAGCCATTGATATCTCAAAACAACTCCAGTCCGAGGCAAACCTCTCCAACCCATGGTACATGATGCCCCTGCCAGATCCAATTCCAACAAGCCAATATAGCTCTCCTTCATTGGTTCGACTCGCAATACACATTCGGCGTGCGGTTCACGAGGGCCAGCAACCAGAATGCATTGGAGAGATCGTCGATCAGCACAAGAACCTCAAGAAAAGCCCCATGGTGCCGAAATCCTATGGCGGCCGGGTGGCTCAACCGCGCATTGCTTCTTGGAAAAACTTGCCGCTTTATGATCTCGATATCCAAGGCGAAAGTCCGCTCTTTGTACAAGGTAGTGTCGATTACTGCGGGCTTCTGCGCGAGACTAAGACTCACTTGGATGATTTGTTGGTAACATGGAAAGCGCACGGTCGGAATGGGGAGAATGGTGGTTATTGGGTTCATGGAAGACTGCCTGAGGCTGTTTGGAGGCGTATGGCGGATAATTTAGGCTGCTGATGTTGATTCGCTGAGGTTGATTTCTTTTTGTTTTCTTTACACGACTGGAGCGTGTCTTTATCTTTGTGTTATACAGTATGATTTTTAATTAAAAGGTGAAGATACCACGTTTTAGCGGACTAGTTATCTTTAAATATTATTGCAAAAGAAGGGTGGAATATGTTGCAAGACCTTGGCAGGCTCAATACGGCCTCCACATTCCCTCTCGCAAAAAAAAATAGAATTAAACAAGCTATGTATAGCTTGATAAGCCACCATCACATTTAAGCGTAGGTCAGTTTCATTTATGTTGTGTCTGCCCTGAGTGATGTGAATAGAAAATAAGGTAGATTAAGCTTTCCGAACCCGACCCCGAATACGAACCCGACCGAAGTCTCGCACAATTGCTCTGCCTGAAAACTGAGACTTTGTATGGAGTATGTTGTAGAAACAAGGTATTCCCAAGGGTCACTAGGCTGCCATGAAGCCTCTATTAGTGACCACTCTCCTGGCTTCTGATCTACATAGGATTAAGCGATCCACTGTTGTGTATCGAGACTGCCTTTCCAGACCCGAGCTAGAGTCCTGCTATAAATGCCATGGGGGATCTGGGGTTTCAATGCTTGGTTCCATTACTACTCACTTATACCTCTAAGAGCAAGTCTTGTCTTTGTGTTTTATAAAATCTTAACAGGATGTCTTCGACTTCCTACTATGCCTATACGCCAAGTTTGATTCTTGCGGTGGTCGGAGTGGGTATATATTGCGCTCTCTTTGCAAGCCATGCTCTCCGTGTATGGCGCTTTAAGGCATGGGATGGGATTTATATGTTGATGGGAGCCCTGGGTAAGGAACAACTAGATCCAATTTTAAATTGTCTTCCCACTAACATCTTAATAGCTCAGGCGATGGGATTAGGAGCACGAGTGTACTCCTCAGAAGATACCGGTAGTTTTAGAGCCTATGGCGTTCAGAATTTGCTTCTTCTCCTCGGGCCTACCCTATGCATGGTGACCGTCAATCTTACTCAAGTGAAAATGATGCGCTGTTTGAGATCCGAAAACTTTGGTCTCCTCCCTGCTCAATTTCGACTCCCTATCTACCTTACTTCCAACATCCTCCTTCTTCTACTTCAAGGTATCGGCGCCGTAATCATTTCTCTGACTCACAAGCCCGCGCTCATTGAATCTGCAATGAAGATCCTCACGGCGAGCTATGTATGCCAGATGATATTTTGGATGTTCACTTTGGCGGAGAATATCTTCTGGAGTTTCCGATTTGGACGATCTTCGTTCTCCAACACCCAACTCATGATGCCTCACTGGAAACGGTATAATCAGCTGTTTGGCCTTGCGATCTCAATTGTTGCCATGGGTCGCAACATGGTGCGATTGACACAGATGGGCATGGGACCCGATGGCTTTTTGACGGCCAATGAGTGGACGAGTTATGCATTTGACTTTTATCAAGCGGCGATTATTCTCTTGGCGTGGGGAATCTTCTACTTGCCGGGGATTTGCAAGGAGATCGAGTTTCAAAATGTGCATCAGGCGTTGCAGAATTATGAATGTTGAACAGAAATTGTGTGGAATTAGATAGAGATAGAGAGGAATCTAGGATCACGCGCGAAAACGGCTACCCGACGGTGTAAGGTTGTAGATGTTGCAGATCCCCGCACGAGATGGCGCTTGTGCGGATTAGTCAAGTCTACCCGACCTTATCGTTGGGGACTCATTATTGGATATGGATATCACTCTCCCACAAACTCATAATCCTGATGCCTGAGATTAATACCTTCCACTGAATTCATTGAGCTGAACAACTTCAAAAACCAATATGTCCTCAGCCGTTCCAAAAAGAGCCTGTGATCAGTGTCACACACTGAAAGAAAAATGCCGACGCCTGAGTGCAACAACGTCATGCGAGCGATGCGATAGACTAAACCAAACCTGTGAAACGACGCGAAATCTCGCGAAACTCGGACGAAAACCACGCACCGCAAGAACATTATCCTATAATCTCCCAACCTCCAATCCCAGCTCAGTTACCTGCAACACAAAAAAACTCGATCTATCTTCACTCCAAAACAACAACCTCTATCCCCATGTTTACTTCCCAGTCGACAAGGGTCTATTCAGCAACCCAGCCCTATTCCCAGAACTAGACCAGTGGGAAAGAAAGTTCCTAAATCTTATGAAAGATCTCGACGGACCTTCCCCACTAGACAAATTCCTAATCGGACCAAGCTTCCACGAGTCGCACCACCGTTTCTTCGTGCAGAGCCTTCTCCGGCCCGCGCCTACGTCTATATTAAAAGACGCCACAGTCGCCTGTGCCGCAGTACTCCTTGGCGACCAATATGCGCAGTACACGAAAACAAGCGTCGAAGTCGGGCATCGACGAGCTGCGCTGGCTGTTTCGGGACTGCGGTCGTTGCAGATATCCCAAGAGCAAGATTTGGTTACTGCAATCCTCCTCAGCGTGAGTATAGTGACCTTCGCTATGCATGTTGTTGATGGACAACCGTTTCTTATATCGCATTACACGCTGGTGCTTATTAAGCCGGTTTATCACACTCTTTTGACGATGGATTCTGGTATTATGGATTTGGTGATGTGTTTGGTTAGTACGGAGACTTTTGAATGTCTGATTCGGTCGGAGTTGCCGACTATTCGAGTCGGTGAACGTGATCGTTGCGATGTTGTTGATCGGTATATTGGGATTAGCTCGTCAATTTTTAGTCATTTATATGATCTCTGCGAGACGAGTCAATTGATGAGACTTAGTGGTGGGAGAATGGATATTGACATGGTTGAACGATTGGACGCGATACAAGGTTCCCTGGAGCGATGGAAACCTTCGCCACCGCCTGATCTCATTGAAAGATTTACTCAGTCTGAGATCGTTGGGATGCTTGCCCAGGCCCAGGTCTTCCGTCTCGCGGCATTACTTATTGCCCATCGGCTACGCCATCCCTATGGGCAATGTGACAAGGAAGCATTACAGTTGTCCAGCGCTATTACCGCGGAGATTGATATGGTTTTGCAATCTACAGGGCGTTCAATGCCATGCATGACACTTCCATATAAAGTTGCATGCTTCGAGATCACTGGGACTGAAGCGCGAGCAACAGTCGTTGATAGGATCCCCGAAGTTGTGACTTTCTCCAGACATTCACAGCTTCAAGTTCGGCGCACCCTGTCATCGGTGTGGGGCGGGAGGGATGGCGGAGACCAGATCTACTGGTTCGAATTAGATAATTATATACGCAAGACGCCTTCCACATGGACGGACGGATAATGTTCTAGTCTAAAAATTGTGCTACTGTTCCAACATTTGGCCATAAATCAATCTCACCAGCGTGCCGAAACCCTCAAACTTCTATTTATGCCCCATCATTGCAGCCCATGTCATCCGAGTCTGCTCGTCATGAATCTCGGGCTTTTCAATGAAAAGGAAGCTTTTTCCTGAAACGTGAACAGCCCGGGAATGTATCTCATCACCAGCGACACGCATCCCTTTGGCATCCACCATATCCACCCCAGACAGTAATTGTGAAACTACACCAGTTACAACGTCCATAGGAACAAATAATTCCCGTGGAAAGATCGCGCAAAACGTTTCGTCAGCAAGTAAGGGCGTTTCCACGACCCCAGGGCATAGAGCGTTAACCCGGACTCCCTCTTCCCAGAGTCTCTCTCCGACAGAGCGCGTGAATCCAACAAGCGCATCTAGAAATTCATTAGCCATGCCTTGTATCAGAGTAATTTGACTTCTTTCTTCTGAACCCACGTTTAGTGCTAGAATACATCGGGGTTAGCATACAGGGGTATAGACCCCCGATACTCGACGTGAGTATTAAGTTCCTATGCCCTTTCGTTGACTCCGGAGAGTGACGGAAATAGTGCATCGCAAGGTAACTGGTATATAGAACGCCATTCAAGTTGATATCAACAATTTCGGAACTCGGTTCGGGCGGGATGCCGGCCTCAGACTTGGCGAAGAAATCGGTATATTCTGCTCTTCCGGCGTTCGCGAAGACAAAATCTATTCGACCAGTCGCATTGAAAATCTGGTCAAATACACCGGCTAGTTGTTGGTAATTTCGTACGTCGGCTTGGTAAAATGTGGCATTGGGGAGGGAAGCTGCTGCGTCTTGGCCGCGCTCTTTGTTGCTGCCGATAATGTTAACCTGCCAGCTGCCGGTCTGGATCAGGTCATTGGCAACTGCAAGGCCGATTCCACTAGCTTGTTTTTTTTTAAATTTTTTTTAGCTTTGGTTCACGAATGATCGACGATCCATGCAGGGATTGCCGGGATATACATACTGCCACCGGTGATCAGAGCGACCTTGGCCATATTCGCTGTGTAGAATTTCCAGTCGAATGATGATATTTCAGTGAAAAAAAAAAAGTCGGGGACGAAATGTTTTGGTGGGGGGCTTTCTTTGATCGATCGTGTGGCTTGACGCTAATCGTCGATGGTATGCATCGAAAGCATCGTTTCTCCTTGATTGGAAGGGTCTATGCCTAGTTGGATCACTATCGGAATCAACAATTGGATCGGAAGGGTAATTAATCGCTTCCAAGGTTCATTGCAGGTCCACAGTGGAGTCAAAAGCAGCAACGATACCACATGGTTGGGCACCGGGAGTGGGTTGGGCTTGAAACCTTGGTGGATCTTCCCCGGAAAGTGCACTCCTGGAGATTGGGTGCGGCTCCCGAGGTCTGAAACATTGATGCCGTCAGCCTTGTGGGCTGTAAAGCTTGTGGGTTGCAAAGCTGCAGGTCAGAATCGGAATCGCGACAGCTGCAAGTGTGTATAACGGTTCCTCGTGTCCGATTCATTAAACGCCATCCTCAGGAATTTGGGTTATATTCGGAACCTCCTTGTTTTTCGAGTGGCCCTGTGCGTTGAAGGGTTATGTATAATTTGCTCGTAGTGTGGATAGCAATAGCAATATTGGAAGACACTAACGGTTTTGAATTCTCGCTCCTGGATTGAGATAGTACGTCAGGTCAAAGTAGACATACTTTGGAGCGGGACATCTTAGACTTTCCGACTTTGAAGTTTATCGAGGGTATTGGGCGACAGAACGGCAAGGGCGAACGGAAACTTTGATGAAAGATGAGGTGGACCTTCCAATGACTTACTTTGAAGAGAGTCGCGGTAGATGTTGTATTCTCCGATTCTCCGATGTAGCCCCTTGCGAAGATCGGGGATCTTCAGTGCGGAGTACCAAGTGGGTTACGTGGATTCAGGGCATATTCCATGGCGGACAATTAAGCTATCAGTTGTGTTGCACAAAACTGTGCTTAGAACAATGTATTGAACAATTCCAATTAAGATTGCATTCAACATTGCATTTATGCATTTCTGTGCCATAATTTGGGAAAGGCAACTAAAGATCATCAATCCAGGTGCAACAGAAATGCAATCCGGCTGCATGAGATGTATATCAACCTCGTAATTAATGACAAAAACGCTATCATGTGGATTAAACATAACGGCTAAAAAGACTAACTTCCACCATGTGGGGTGCAATCGGATGTGTCCGCTGTCCAATTGACGTATCATATCGGGTAAACCCCAGACCTTCACTGTCTTATTGTACGAGGATTTACCGAAACGGCGACTTCGGAAGAGTATTTGATGACCCGTATTTCTTTCAATTATTGGACGATCATGGCGTTTTTGGCTACGTTGTAGGTTGTGCATGGGGAGACAGCTGTCAGTGACTGGAGGCATTGCAATACTCCGTACGGAGTGTATGCATCTATTTCTGGTTATTCTCCTAGAGCATGGGAATCCCTACCCCGGGTTTTGTGTATGTCAACAATGCGTGGAATTTTTGATTGTTAATCCCTTGCCTGGAATATAGGGATGAGTTCGGGAATTTGGTTGATTAATCTTCCGTTGTGAGAATTTGACTGCAAAGCAATGAACAATCATTCTCCGCTGCATATTTTCAATAGTTATCTCAATCAAAAAGCAATGTGCCAGCACATTCTGTCATACCGCTCAACGCGTCCTATCTACTGGGTTTGCGGGCTGATTGTGGGAAGAATGTCTTGCAACAAAGTGCATCTCACAGGTGTCAGATCCAAATCTGATACATCCACTCTCCTTAGATGACACGTCGGGAAAGGATTCCTATGCCTCGATATGATTGGCGAAATCTCTACGGTCAAGGCACATAATACTTTGCTGTTTATGATCTGACAGGCCGTTGATTAGCAACGTCTTGCTTTTTCTCTTGCTTTTTCCCAGGCAAAATAGTCCCACAACAGAATATGTAATCGTTCGCACTGGAGCATGTCTGGGCTGAAATGCCATCTGCACCTAAGCCACGCCTTGTCATCGATGTGATCGGTAAACCTGTTCATATCATCTTTGCGTTATTTTCATAGTTCTCGAGAGATATGACACATACATAGATGGGGTTCCCCCCCTTCCCCCCTTTCTCATCTCCTCGAGGTACATTAAAGACATCAAACGCAGGCTTAAATGATTCCAAATTATTCAAACCAACAACTTCCTCTCGTTTAATTATACCTCGTTGTTGGGGTTTATCCACCACACCTGCCTGTCATGTCTTCCACAGGACATTCCTCCACCCCCACGTGGACACCGGGAGACTTCGACCACCCGAATCAGGACCTACGCAGGTCAATGATTATTGCACTGGTGTTTGCTTACACCTTATCCACTCTCTCGGTTGCTCTGAGGATCCTGGCGAGGAAGGTGACGGGAAGCAGGCTGTTCCTGGACGACTACTTGATTATGGTTGCTCTGTTCTTCAAATATGCATGCTCCAGTGGAGTGGTTGTTCGTGAGTGACAAAAATACTGCATGAAGCCAACTTCATACTAACACCAATATCAGTCCTATTCAATGGAATGGGCTCACACATTACAATGATCCCAGCGAAGAATCTCCTGGTTTACTTGCAAGTACGTTCACGTAAAAGATTCGGCACTATACCAAATACACGTATTAACTCAAGATAGCTCGGATTCGCCAATGCCTTTATATACACCGGCTGCATTGCCTTCATTAAATTCTCCATTCTAGCGCTGTACAAGCGTCTCTTTGCAGTCCGACACATGACAATTGCAGTGAACGTCGTGTTTGTATTCATCTGCCTCTGGGTTGTGGGTGTTTACGTTGCCGGTGCTCTTATTTGCATTCCCGCCAAGAAGTTCTGGGACCCATCCGTTGAAGGAGCCTGCCTTGACTCGGCCAAATTTTACTATGGCATTCAAATCCCAAACATCCTCACCGACCTTATTCTCTTGATCATGCCCATGAGAGTCGTGTGGACATTGCCGATTCCCAAGGCCCAGAAAGCGCTTCTTTCTGCAGTCTTCCTTGTCGGTGGCCTGTATGTTTGATGTCCAATTCGTGTTACAGTGGAAGAATTCTAACACTTCGTTTCTAGAACCTTGATCTTCGATTGCTTCCGCCTCAATGCCATGATTGAATTGGTTAGGCAAGGTCCTGATATTACCTGTGAGTATCAACATGCTTTTTATTTCTTTCAATCCCCTGATCTATATCACTAACTATTTATTAAGACAACCAAGTCCCCGTCATTGTGTGGACTTGTATCGAAGCAGCAGTTGGAATCACAGCTGCTTGTCTCCCTAACCTCCGCCCTCTCTTCAAGATAGGTCACCGCAACTTCTGGTCTCAGATTCGTTCCTCCAACAACGTATCCGAAAGGACTCTTGTCGGTTCGAGCAATGGTGGAGGCACTATCACTTCCAATCACAAGAAAAGTGACTCATTTGCGGTTCGGCAAACTTTTGAGATGCCCCCATATGAAGAGTACAAGGATGAGAAGGCGGTGGAGAGAGTCTAGGTCTGCGGACCCTTTTTGGGGAATGGGGAGGCTCCATGCGGACTGCACAGGGTGGTCGGCGGGATTCAGGCGAAACAGGAAAAGGAAAAATTTAGCACGCTCTTTTATATTCTTCTTTGTGATACCTTCTTTAACACTATACACCTTTAGTCTTCTTATTTATACTTTCACGAGCTTATCTCAAAATATTATACCATTTCTTAATGTCAGAACTAGAGTTTCAATAAATACAAAAGCGACGTCCAATTTCTCGTGCAAATATCCAGTTGTAAAAGTTTGTATCTAGATGGTCCGATGGCTAAGCTGATTCGCCGCCATTCTTCTATAACTCGGTGCCGTGGCAATCCTAGCCTTCTTACCCCAGATGAGAAGTGGGACGGGGAGCAAGAGGATAACAAACGAGAGAACCGCACACAGAATATGCAAGTCTCGCAGGCCCATCTTATTGACCCAAGGTGTCAGCACAAAAAGTACGATCACCGAGAAGATGTTTCGCATGAAAACCACTCCAACTAACGCGTCGCCGATAATCTAGAAGCCATCAAATTAGAAAGAGAACCCAAGCACTCAAAGTGAAAGAAGCACTCACGTCTTGATAGCAATCCATGAGATACGAAAGCGCAATTCCGCCAATGGCGGCAAGTGAAAATCCAAAGACTCCAAATCCGACAGCAAGAACAGCCCAATGCGCACCCTAGACAGTGTTAAAAAATATCCAAAATCTTTGTTTCGGATGCGTCACTCACATAGGCAAGGCCCATCCCGAATATTAGTATTCCCGTAGGACTGGTAATGGCAACAGGCAGAGCAAGCCACAGACGCATCTCCGGTTCGTAGATACCACCGTTGCGCTTGGATAACCACAAAATAGATTTATCGCTCAAATATCCACCGAAGGGGAAACCGAGAACGGCGCCAACAAATGGTGCCACATTCATCAGTCCAACTCCAACAGCATTGAAGTTATAAGGCGGTATAATCATGTAAGAAGCCTGTAGCGAAGTCAAGATAGCGAACCAGCTCAGCGTAGAACCATATGTAATAGCCACATAGGAAACAGCCGGGAAAGTGAAGAGCGTCACGATCGGTTGATAGTAGTGCGGCCACAGCGCTTCGTCGGTGACGGTCACCAAAGCCATTCGCTGGGAATAGGGTTTGATCGAAATATCCGAATTGGTATTTACGCGACTGGCGGACGTCTCCTGGGCGCTCTTTGAATCCACTGCGTCCCCATCTTTGTGTGATTTGGACTGTTCACCGGTCACTTGTGTATTCGCGGTAACATTGCGACCATCCAGACAGGGGATATATTTCGATTCCTCGAAAAGAAATATCACACAGAGTAGTGTGACTCCGAAGAAAATCACACACCACCACCACATCCACCTCCACCCTTGTGCAACCACGATGTATCCCGAAGCTACGGGACCAAGGGATGCGCCCGTAGACTGGATGATGGCATACCATCCGTTCATCGTGGCGTGCTGATGCACGAAGAACATGTCAGCGATGGTAATCTGCACGATGATCTCGCTGATCGCGCCGCCGATGCCGGATATCAGGCCGCTGCCCATTAGATCGCCGACGGTGGACATATTGGCTTGCCAGATGCATGCTGCGAACTGTAGGGAGATGCTGAGGATGTAGATTGGGCGTCGGCCGTATTTGTGGACTAGCGGCATGAAGAAGATGCAGCCTACGGCGAGGCCGCCGTAGTTGACGGCTGCGTTGGTGTTTAGAATCTCGATGGAGTAGTTGAGTTCTTCTTGCATTGGACCCCATGCTGTGAAGCCGATGTCGAGTTGTACGAAGGTCCATAGCACAAAGAAGCTTACTAGGGTGAAATTGAGGATTTTGCGAGATTTTGACCAATTCAGGGGGTCGTTTGGGTCGGATGATGGGGTGGGGAAGAGGACCAGTTGGTCTCCGGATTGGTGGACTGGCTTGGTTAGTCAAGTTGTACATGTTGTGTACTATTGTGGGTTACACTTACTATCCTCTAGTCTGACTGTTCCTGGAGCCCAAATGGTTCCATCTTGGTAAGTGTCATTCTCCATAGTTGAGAGTTGGATACTGAAGAGAAAAGTGAATTTGATGGAGCATGATAGGCATAATCGTCCGTCTATTTAAGCAATTCACCGATGTGCGCTTGCGGATACTCCATTGCATGTCTTATCAAGCTTGAATATAGACTGCGGGGAAGCCTCGAAGTCTACAGACGGGTAGACTTGATACGCCACTAGGTCGAATCAGGATGCGTTAAACATGCCGGCTTGGCGGGATTCGGGATTAACAGGATGTCTCAACCGCGGATTTTATTATTATTTTTGATCCACACATAGGCCTGTAGCTGCAAAATCGAAGATTTTGCCTCAGCTTAAGCTTCCAACGCCCGAAAAAAAAATTAGTTTCACCCCTGGAACGGTGATAAGCAAAGCGGCAATTCCCTAGAGCTCTATACCGAGCAACAGGAAATTCCCGAGGTCGATATCCTTCCAAAAACTATAAACAAAAAGCCAAGTCAAGCGACCTAGTCAAGCGACCTAGTCAAGCGACCTAGTCAAGCGACCAAATATACGCACGAAACATCTCTCGACTATAATCACTCCACGGGTAAACAGTAAGATCAAACTCCGGCTGCAACATCCTCCGATCCCTCTCGGTAAGTTGGAATTGGCGCAGATCAATACAACAAGGACACTGAGCAGTGCAATGGCCCCAACCCTTCCTCCTGTTCGGATCAGGCAGATTCTCACAACACTTGCACTCACGACCACAGCACCCACCCCGTCTCGCACAATCCTGGCGCAACCATTCACTCTTCAGATACCACTGCGGCTGCTTTCGAATCCACATATACCCGCTCTTGATGGGTCCCACGGGACAACCCCCTAGGAGCGTGTCGTATATCCGCTCGAGACGTGTGTACTCGTGGTCCAGAGCTATTAACTCTTCGATCAAATCTGGTAGAACGAATTTTCCTGCTTCGCTGGAGCCGTTGTGGAATTTATGGATCCACTTCTTGTGGAAGTTCTCACGTTGGGTGGTTTCACGTAGACGCTCTTCTGTCTCGATGATCGATTGCGCCCATCGGGATACCACGTCCCAGTCTGTCTCCCACCATATATGTCGCTTGCCGCGTATGATTTGCCAGTTGACCCATCTGCCGGAGGTTTCTGCGACATCTTGGACGTACTCGAGGAAGTCTTCGAGCGCTGAGAAGCGCATTTGCTTGACTGGGTTCTTCATTTTGGGTTGCGACTTTGGAAATGCATTTGGAAATGCATTTGGGAGGTGACTTGAGGTTATTTGGAAGGGTAGAGATGTTACTTACATCACTTTTTATCATCCGATCACTTGGTGTGGATATAGTTTGCACGTCCATGGTGAAACGTTGGTATAGTTTACTCCCGACCATTCTAAGAAGTGTGACTGAGTGAACAACAACCAAATCGGGTTCCAAGGTTCAAAGGATTTTGGCGTTATCGCCCAGTGAGGGGAAGAATGCTGATAAGGGGGAGACTCCGAGGTCGGAGCTCCCGTATTGCACGACGGCTTTGGTGGTTAAATGTAATTTCTTGACATTATATCCTCCAAAGTTATTAAACACAATCAGCCCAGCATGTCCCACGATACTGCTACGGCTAAGCGCCGAGTGTTGGTGATTGGATCAGGTGGTGTGGGGACGATGGTCAGCGTTGCCCTCGAAAGATCTGGACAGGCATCAGTCACTTCTGTTCTCCGATCCAATTATGAACAAGTTGTTCGGCACGGATTCGAAATCGAGTCTATCGACCATGGAAAACTGTCATCCTGGAGACCAAGCGCAAGTATGTAAACTCCCAAGGGTTGCAGGTCAAAACACAGCTAGCCAAGCCTATCCGAAGCTAACACATAGATAGTCGTCAATGCTGTTCCCCTAGCCGACGCTAATACCCCATTCGACTATGTGATCGTTACAATGAAGAACATTCCCGAAGTGAACAACATCCCCAAGATCATAGCCCCCGCCATAACCCCTGCTTATACAACGATCGTCCTATTCCAAAACGGTCTGTACATCGAACCACCAATAATCGCAGCATTCCCCTCGAACGTGGTATTATCAGCGCCGACTTTCATCGGCGCACACGAGCGCAACGGTCACGTTATACACGACGATCACGACAAGTTCTACATTGGCGCATTCCACAACCCATCCGTGGATGCGGCGATTGAGCGCACCAAGCTCGAAGAGTTCGCAGCAATCTATAACGGGAGCAAAGTGGTTAATGCCAATGTTGTCGATGATATCGTCTTCTATCGCTGGCGGAAGGTGCTCTGGAATGGAATTTTCAATCCCATGTGTGCTATCACTCAGCTTGACAGTGCTGCGGTTCGACGGTTCGGCGGCGAGCATAGTTTGATTCGGCCTGGTATGGCGGAGATGGCGGCCATTGCGAAGGCGGATGGGTATGATCTCGGGCCAGGGATTGTGGATGAGATGGTTGATGTTACTCCTCTCGAGTTGTCTTTCCGGCCTAGTATGTTGGTGGATGTGGATAAGGGGAATCCGATGGAGGTGGAGGTTATCCTGGGGAATGCTTTGCGTGTTGCAAGGGAGAAGGGTGTGAACACTCCGATCTTGGATAATACGTACCGGTTTTTGAAGCTCACTCAGGCGCGGCTGTTGGCTGCAAGGGGGTTAATTGTTGAGCCGAAGGAACTGCCAACAGTAGATCTGATATAGTCATTTGTCTAGACTGTGTTTCGGTTCAAAGATGTGTAGTTAGCCTGTTAGTTTCATTGTTCTACGGCATTGACAAGAACGAGAAGTGGTAACACAACATGTTCCCTTGTAGTTAATCTCGAGTCGGTAAGCAGTAAGCAACCGTGTTTCATGAGAAAATCGGTGAAGAATACGAACTAGAAATGTCGGTCTCAGTTGCGGGGATGCATGTAAGACTATAATACCAGCAACAATCCCCCCAACTCCATACATGCTCACAAGATCCAAAATGGATAGAATCGATGTTCACACTCATTGTGTGCCACCTTCGTATCGCGAGTATTGTCTACAGAATGACTTCGCAGGCAGAGGCCACCCAGATGGAATGCCCGCGATTCCAGTGAGTCCCTCTAAGCGTTAACACCACAACACATTGAATCCCCATGCTAAACACAATATAATGCAGGAATGGAGCGCCGAAGCACACATTGAACTAATGAACAACCTAAACATTAAAAAATCAGTACTGAGCATGTCCTCCCCGGCCACACACCTAACCCCGGGCAACGACGAAGAAGGCAGAACCATAACCCGCCGCGCCAACACGGACATGTCCAAGATCTGCGCCGATCACCCAAACCACTTCCTCTTCTTCGCATCTCTCCCCCTCCCAGACGTGGAAGGCTCCCTTGCAGAAATAGACCATGCACTAGACCACCTTGGCGCAGTGGGGTTTCAAATCCTGACCAATTCGCATGGCATCTACCCGGGCGATCAGCGCTTTAGTCGTGTTTTTGACAAATTGAGTGAGCGCAAGACTATCGTCTTTTTTCACCCTACTACCTGTCTTATCCGGCACGACGATGACTCACTTGAGAAGGTTACGCCACTTCCCGGTGTTGCTGCGCCTATTATGGAGTTCATGTTTGATTCGACACGGTCGCTTATGAGTTTGCTTACTTCTGGGACAGTTGACCGGTGTCCTGGGATTACTTTCGTGGCTTGTCATTGTGGTGCAACTTTCCCTCCCATTATGGAGAGAATCGCGGAGTTTTCGTCGATGGTTCCTTGGGCAGGTGATGGGATTAGCGGGGCGAGGATTAAACAGCTGTTGCAGACGCGTTTCTATTTTGATCTTGCCGGTGTGCCGTTCCCAGATCAGATTCATGGCCTACTGCGGCTGGTTGATTCGTCTAGGTTGCTGTATGGGAGTGATTATCCCTATACCCCTGCAGCGCTGGCTGAATCCCTGGCTCAGAGAGTGGATGATGGATTGCAGAGTCTATTTGGATCGGAAAGAACAAAACAGATTTTGTTGGACAATGCGCAGGATCTTCTTGGAGCAAACAGAGAATAGTCTAGGATTGCAAACAATTCATGATTAAGGAGAGGGACATTCTGATCTACAATAGAAAACTCATAATTTGGGCTGGTTGTAACCAAATATGGTAGAGATCCACCATTCCAGTTACAAACAAGCTGTGTAGTACCCATCGATAGGATTCCGAATGGTAAGCTTCTATAGATCCTGTCATCCGGAACGACGATATTAAATTAAATCTCACCCTGGACAGATTCAAGAATTATCATAAAACCGTTGGCATGGCGTAGGCCTAGTTGCATAGTTGATAATGATGGGCTATAAGCCACCATTTTTTCACTAATTGTAGATAACCGACAGATATCTATAACATCTGTGGGCAGTGGATTATCCATTGCACGGCGGATTGAGAGCAGTCCAGGGGAAACAACCTCGATATCAAGAGAGATTGCATCAATCTGAACCACAAACTTGTGTTGGGTATCTTTGATATCAAGTGAACATGGCAGATCTTCTTGCTTAAGGAGATAAGACGCACTTCCACTTTTGCTAGGGAAGCTTTCGCACCAGTTTTTCGAAAAGCCAGTGCTCGCAGGTTTCGTTTCATAGTCGGATTTAAGGCCCGATATGGGGGAATCGTGACGGAAATAAGGTTGTTGTGTAATATTTGAAGTATCACTCACTGTCGAGCCACTAGTTAGAGGTAAGAATGCAATGCTCTGCGCTGCATACTGGCTCGGAGGGCGAATATTGAACCCATTTCCCCGCCTCATGTTCTTTGGAACATCCTCAAACGAAAAATCCCCGGGAATATCGACGGCTTCCAAGAATTTCAGATCGATGGCAAGCTGGAAGCCTTGACGGTCGGGCAGGCCCCCTTAGCTACCATATAGCTTTTTACATGAGACTTTTTAGCGCCTTGACTAACTCCCAATGCTAAACTACAGACGATATATAAATCTCAGGGGAATTCTATGTTGGGCAGCCAATTGTTCTTAGAACCTTTAGTGGAAGAGTCGGCCCGGCCCGGCTCTTTTTGTCACTTCCTATTGGCTGTCGCTATAGATAATGATAATCACATAACAGAAGTAAGATTAGGGAAGATTACGTCTCTCTCACTTCTTCTCGTTTTGATAGAGGAACGGCCAATAGAATTGTTCACGGTATCTGCTTACAAGAATAATAATATTTGTCCGCAATCGCCACACAACGTCCAGTCCTGATCCCAAGGATAAGGAGGGCAATCCCCAGTACGCCAATTAAGTGCGCTAAAGATTCAGACACAGCCTTCAATCATAGAAAACAGCTACAAGTTACCAGTTATCGCTCATTGGAACTCCACTTCTGCTTTTCCCGATCCCAGACTCACTCCTTGATAATAGACTATGAACTCGTTCGAAGCCCCAGAAGGCACCATCTCGATTTCAAACGACCATCTTTTCACCCGCACGCCATCATTTCTCACGAGATCGGGAAGAGAATTAAAAGGGATGTGCTGGCGGTTAATGTTTACTGTGCATAGTTTGTGGACCTTCGAACTGCGCCTGGATGGTGGATTTTCATCATCACACTGGAAAATTTCCAGTTGGAAGGGTTTCACAAACTGGTCCTCATTTGTGTGGCACTCGTACCAGTCATGTCGAACAGGTTTTGCTTTCGAGACATCCCCACCCTAATGTGCAAGTTAATACAGACTGTCATATATCCTCATGGTTGGATTAGGGAAGAGACCTTTTGCATGTACCACTCCATCTGGTTCCCAGCCTTCCAGTTACCTTCCACTTCATCGTAGTATTTGTCCTCTGTCCGGTGTATATCAATGTTATACTCTGCGGAGTACTTAATACCTAAGCTTTGTCGTGCGATGGTTGACACGACAGTAAGATGAGAGCCAGCACCACCGTGTCCGGTTAAAAAGCCTTTAACAATGGCACCACGGCAGATAGCCGTACGACTAATAGACATACAATATCAGCATACTGCCTAGATATCATATTTGAGCAATGGTAACACTTACGGTGCCATGCCCATGGATTGTATAATCTCTATGCCGTGTTGCGCGTACTTCGCCGATAACTGGTTAGAGAGGTAAGGACTGCAGCCAAGTCCGCCGACAAGTATTATTTGCTGGTAATCTTTGAGCATCAATTTATAAACAAGGGCTATTCATACGAACTTTAACCGGAAGACCTTTCTCTCGTGTCTTGCTGAGTTGCTGGTCAATGAGCACCTCGATATCGGAGAAAACCGAGGTAAATGCCTTTTGAATATCGGAGCTAGATCCATCAGTCTTGGACTTAGGGGAAGGTGGATAGTTGCGAACCTTGAGAAGTGAATTCGCCCATTTTTGATAAAAGGCTTTCTGGATTGGTCATTAAGCTCAGCACCCTGAAAAGCCTCGGCAGGAACAGAAATAACGAGTTCTCGGACATCGGTGTTCGGCTTGTACGTCGGTTTGTAACCGTATTCCCACTGGTCTTTCAGTATAGATTTCACGCCTGTCGGGCTAAGTTTGTTCCATTGTCTTCCCAGACGATCTCTGCAGAGGGTCTCGAATGCCTCGTCGACAAAGATACCACCACAGAGACCACCTTGTCTCAGACATGTTAGCTATCGGTTACCAGCAACACATACTGGGAGGTCGGCTAATTACCAGTCCCTATCACTGCTTCATGCATCTCGATTGGATCCAATTCTCCAACTCGATAGGTGATGAGATCCTGCGAGATTATAGTTCATCAGCACGAAATATCCAGCTTCGCGCCTGTAGGCTTCAACATCCACCAACGTACCACAGTGCCTCCGCCAGCGTCGCAGATCACATAAACATCATCGGTCTCAATGTCATGTTCACGGCCACGTTCGCAGAGTGTTACAAGAGCAGCTGCCTCTGGCTCCGGAACAAAGGTGAGGGTCGTGGGGCCAATAGGACGGGCTTGTAAAATGCCAGCGTTCCGTGCAGCCTCTTCCATAGCCTTGCGCGCATAGTCCTTCCATATAGCAGGCACAGTAATGACAACGTGGAAAGTGAGCGCAGAAATGACCGACTTACTACGAAACATGTGAATTGTTTCCATGGTATGCTGCCACAATAATCGGAGGTAATCCGCGACCAAGTCCGTCGCCGTTTTACCCGTCTCTCGCATCAGCTTTCGTGCACGCAAGAGAGGTTCAGATTGATGCTGCTCTTCGGTCATGTCTTCATCACGTAAGAGCAGCAGCTTGAACCAACGCACAGGGTCCCCGTCATGTGGGATACCATATCCCCACATCACTTTTCCATTCTCATAGAGCAGCTCTGTAGGCGCTTTTGGTTCCTCTCTCGCGTGTTCAGGCCAATTGCTGATAATATTAATCTCATCTCTCTCAAAATCTTCCACCGTTGCCCATGCCACGCCTGAGTATCTGCACTTCTGTTAGTACCAGCTAATATGGGGATTGCACAACCGATGCTAACGTGGTTCCAAAATCAATTCCGATGACCAGAAAGTCGTCTAGGTCAGATTGCCTCTTCTTTCTAATTTTTCCAACTAAACCTCTGAACCCTCGTTCATTGCGGACTTCCGAGGTTTTTCGCAAAAAGCTCTCTTTCTCCCCGGATTTTGGTTTGCCCTTTCGGAGAAACATCGTGTGCACTTGGAGTAGTGTATAAAGGTCTGAGATGACTTGGACTGAGTGTATTAGAGCTTCAAGACTAAACAAAAGAACATGGAATATCGTGGGCTTCGAATATAAATTTAGCCGCTCGAGGTCACAACCTTTGTCACATGTACTTCCCAGGTTCGGATCAGCTTGCCCAATCTACATCTTACTGCATTATACTAGCGGCTTGGATAGGCCCATGTACCGTTTGCCAAAGCTGATGCATATCCATACTTCGTACGCTGGTAACACCTGCATATCTACAAGCAGCCCGAATTGCAATTCCCAATGTGATGCGGAGTACATGTCTTTGGGGGTTGTTGGCGCTTCTCTTCATCGGTGATTGGATATATTAGTGAGGCTTAGCGAAAATACGGGAATCTATTTCATATGTTCCAAGGTTAACGCCCGGGCCTTTATTTGCTTTTTCGAATAAACATAACATTAGCATGTAATTGTGGTGTATGCTACTACCCCTCTCCCACCCCTTTTAGTACATCTACTTCGACTCATCGTGGATGGACTACTCCGTACCTCGTACAAAGTACTAGCCTTTACCAAAATATGGGGCGCGTATTCATTTTGGGGGGGCTGTTGACCCGGGTGAAAGGCGCTGTACGGAGTGGCATAGGATTGGATGCCTCGTTTCAAGAGTTGGGAAGATAACACGGACCCAAAGGATTTGTCTGTGTTGGATACTAAGCTGTCGGCCTTTATGGTGTGCTCGGTGCCAAGTACCTTTTGGTCGTTGGGGCATGTCCTGGATTGTCACGCTCTCTCCATCAGAGGAGTTGTGAACTCTGCGGCTGAGTACGGACCTCAGGGGTATTCCTAGATACAGACTAAAGTCACGCTCCATCTCCCTGTCTTCTTCCCACAGATTCATTCACATTTACTGCCCTCACGGCTATCACTCGAAAACATGGCAGATATAGTGTCGGATTTACCACAAGTTCCTCCAAATTCCTTACCCCCTTTACCACCACGGCCAGGTCCACGCAATGAGGACAACATATCTCTGAAGCAAGAAGAACTGGCGCCTTATAGGCCTTATAGTAGAGGAACGACCGACGATGTTAGCCCACCAGCCTCGGATTTTGCAGCAACTGCGACTTCGCAACCTGCAGATCAGGTTCCTTTCGTTCAATACAATGACCTCGTCCAGGAACTAGCAAAGGCGAAGAACGACCTCAAAGAGGAGAGGCAGGCACATTGGCAGACCACGTTGGATCTGAGACAGAAAGAGCAGACCGCGGCTGAATTTCAACGATATTGGCGGGACGCGATCAACGAACTGAACCGATACCTACGTCTGAGTCATGGTAACAGCCAAATGACCGATGATATCTTGGTACAACATGTAAATCATCTGCGGCAAAGTATAACGGCATTCTCAGCGCAGTGCTTCAGCGACAAGCTTCACGACTTCAGGGCCTTAAAATACGGATATGGCCTCTTCAAAGAGCACATAGCAATATCGCAGAGTGAATGGGAAGGCTATATGCGCTCTGCTAGCCTGCGCGCGAACCTTATCCAGGCCTTTCTATGGGGTTTCATCAATAGCGAGATATTTGGTAAATTCTGCTGGATGACAGACAAGTCGGGGTCAAGCGTATATCATATGTACGAATCATTCGGTCAGTATTATGTGGCTTGGATCCACGTTGCACATATTCAACGTATAAAGCTAACGTACATGTTCCACAGGCCAGCTCTACGAGGAATCGGAGGACTTGGTTCCGGATGCACGACAAAAGTGTAGCATGTGGCGAGCAAATACATGTAATTTGATGCTCGACACTATGGAATTACAACGGGACGAAGTTCATAACGATCCACCGGAATGGGTGGAGAGTGTTGAAACTGTCAGCAAGGTCCTAAGTTCATTCTCGCGAGCGAAATTAGCCACCATACGGGACAGATTGCAGGAGCTATTTGCGATTAGTATAAGTCTGGACCAAGCAATCAGTAGGCAAGTTGCCATGATTACCTGGGACTTTGGTTCACAAATACCCAGCCCATTTGACCCGACACGCATGGTACTCGAGGGTGGATCTCAGCCGGAAGGTGAGAAGCTGGTCGCGAGGCTGGTACTTGCACCAGGTCTTCTCAAGCGCGGCAGAGCGTCAGGGGACAGGTTTGACGAGACCACACGACTCCTAAATACGATGGTCTCTTGTGAGTTTCCGGTGTATAGGGTAGCCCGTGACCAATCCCACGGAGGTCCGAGTCTCAAGCCCAAATGGTTAGATAGGCGCCGGGGTAATTAGGAACAGAAATGATTGTGGATTCGAATTATGGATGACTGTTTTCTTTCAATGTTAGTTTCAAAATCTCGATTCAGCCTTCATGACAGGGATAGGAAGCAACATTGAATAACAGAAAATGAATTGCTCCAATGCATATATAGAGTGACGTATTCTAGGCTGTGTGAAAAATCATACGCATATCAACAGCACCCTGACTTTACTCAGTGCTAAGTGGAAATATGACGAAACTCACTAGTGCCTCTGCAAAAAAGAAGTTAGCATATCTCTAGAGCGTCAGCACCTTCAACTTACCCTCTGCTTCTTTTTCTTTCTCTCTGCAACCACGTAGCGATATACGTGCAAGTTATGGTAGTAAATGTTGGTCTCAAGAATCTTGTTGCGACGAAGCGATTGTAGTTGCTTTGTTTGTTAGGCCTTTACTCCTTTGTATATATATCCTATCTTTGAATGCCTTTTCATGGATGTGTACATATCAACCCATACCTTCTATCCTATAGGACGTTGTTTTGCAACTTCAGTTGGCTGGGCCTTGAAGGCCTGCCCGGCACAAGGGGAGCTATCTCCACTACCACCCTCAGTCTATAGGAACCGAGCGAGCATGCCTCCGTTCTGCCACTCTACCCGTTTCATATAAATTCCCTCTGTGCAGCATCCGGTCATTCAACTGGGGAGTTATCTTGGTTATCTCGATCAAGGAACCGAACCTCCGAGTTATTTACGCCTTCCTATTCATCCTGTATCGCCATTTTCTTTGAATGGAGGAGTCATCCACTGACATTTGCGACCCGCTTACAACTCCCAATAAATGGCTTTGTAAACAACCCTGGAATGCAAGTTTGACAAGAGAGAGGAGAGAAAAGGAGGACATGTGGTATTGTCTACAAACAAACTGAAGCCAGCTAAATGGCCTATGAAAGCCTGGCAAACAAGGTACATAGGAATTTATCTCCCTCTACTTTTTCTTCTCACCTCCCTAGTCTCTTATTTCTCATTCTTCTTCCACCATGGTTTTACTTAAGAAGTCCAACAGTTGGTAGAAATGATGCTTCCTGCAGAGATCCAACTTCACATCTTTCGATAAGTGGTGGACATTTTGCCTTGGGAGGATTCATGGAGGGCAAGACATGTGAGCAGTACGTCAATTTCTTCGGTTAGGGTGAGAAAAATGTGTCACCGCTTGATGCGGCACTGGAACTCCGATCACCTCATCGCGGAGAAGGAATTACCCATGAAATGGAGAGGAGCAACCCAGTTGTCGAGTTTCTTCTATAGAACGGGGTCAACCCGAATGGATGTGTGGAGCCAGTGGTTTGTGGAAGCAATCGCGACTGAAAACATCCCCGGCGGCCTCAATGCTATTCGAATATGGCGCTACAGTGGATAAGGACCGCATTCTATTACTTATGATGAACGAGACCGATTCTAATTGGACCGATTTATTACGACTTATGAAGATCATCACTTAGGGAGGATTCATAGATATCGGCAGATTTATCAGTTCATCAATATCAAATCATTCATACGAAAGAATTTCCTGATGAGAAAAGAACAAATGACTACACACGTAGCATGGCGATAGAAGGTGGTCGTATGCCATTTCCTGTACTTTTGGAAAAAGAATGGTATGAGAGTTTTCCTTCCATTTCAAAGCTATCCAATATTTTTGTCTTTTTCCCCTTTTTTTACTTCAACCCCAAGGAAATACTATCATTCCATAAGCAATCTCGTAAGCAAATGTGTAAGAACCGATATTGAAGTCCACCTTCTCCACCGAGTTCATCTCTTAGATCATATCAACAATCTCATCACGGAGTGATTCAATAATAGCCGCAGGTGAACCTCGATCCCGCATCTTCTTCAACTGGAGTGGAACCCACTCGGAAGCCTTGGCATGCACAAGTTCCCAAACAGCCCTCAAACCCGGATGTTTCTTCTGCAGCCATCCCATCGCGAGCAGCGTAGCGAGAACAGTCGCCTCATCGCCATGCGGGAACCCTTGTTCAATCCGTCGATTGACACTGTGGTACATTGTGACCAACTTTTTGGTTGTTGAGTTCATGTTACACTCCAAAAGCTCGAAGAGCTCGTCCGACCACATCCAGCTGCCTTCAAAGGTTTGCAGCTGAATAAGCTCGTGCATTCTCATCTGCGAAGTTTTGGTCAAACTAGGAGTCGGGGGTGTTGCAACTGATCTCATTTGGTGCAGCATGCCACCAAGCCTTGGAGCTGCAGGTGATGCAGTTGATCCATAGAGAGGCATCGGGAATCCAGGTTCCATGGGTGCAGGTGCTGGAACTTTGGCTTGCACCATACGCATTGGAGCTGCAGGTAATGCGGTTGTGCGACACAGACGACTTGAATCTCCAGGTCCTATGGGTGTAGAAGGTGCTACTTGGGAGTTGGAAGTGTGGTGGGTTCCAACATACTCAGAAAATGCCTGCATCTGGGGGACACCCCAACCATGTACACCGCCAGTGTGTGTAGGTCCAGGACCCAAGAACCTAACAGACCGTGACATGGGAGAAACACGCTCTACGGCATGTTCCTTCAGCGTATGCTGTTCGCCTTGTTGTTCTGAAGAAGAAGAGCTGCGCTCTTCCAAGGCCACGAACGAGCAGTATTTCCCAGTGACCTGGAACTTGATTCCCAGGTTCTGGCATTCAAGCTCTGCAAGTCTCTGCTTTGTGTCGGCGTGGAACTGTTTGAGTTTGTTTCCTTTCTCGTCTTCGGCATGAGAGAGCCAGCCGTGTCCCTCTTCCAGCTCGATCACGGCCTTTCGCGAAGCCAGGTGATGAATTGTTTCGCCGATTCCGATGTCATAGATCGGGATTCGCAGCTCCAGTAGACCATCGTTGGAAGTAGCAGTGAACTTCAGCGACTTGGGGATCTTCTCTGGCGAATGCGGGTCCATAAGGAGGAAGACATTTGTCCTGATGAATGGGTACAGAGGTGGGATGTTGTAGGGAGCTTGGATTGCTCTTGGAGGGGTGAGAGTGGGAAGGGTTCCAGTTGCTCTCTTTTCGGCATCAGCATTCATGTCGGATTCCTGGAAGTTCCCATCGTACAACAGAATTGGCTGCGATGAGCTACGTGTTGTTCCTTCAATGGAAATGTCTCCACCTCCCTCCTTCTCTTTGCCCTCCGCCTCAATATCGGTAAAGTTCTCAGTATCACTCACAAAGTCGAAATCAAGCTCTGTTTCGGTTTCATATTCAATTTCGAGTTCGAAGTCGTGGATATGAGGGGTCAGGGCACCCTTGAGCATGCGGACGACCTTGCGATCGAGTTCTTCGTACTCCGTAACCGACTGGCAGAATCCATTTCCGACTCTTGCAATCCCCTCAATCAAAGAGTGAGATGCTGCTTCCCCAATACCAAGGGAGAAGAACCGAGCAGAATTGTCGGCAGCTTTTTCGCGGACGAAGTCGAACAAACGGTCCTGCTGGTAGATCTGTCCATCAGTGAGGATCAATACATCCAAATCTTTGAAATTGAGTCGATTTTGAACAGTTGCCATGACCGCTCCTTGCATCTCCGTGCCACCCATATTCGCTTCGACATTGTCAGCAAAAGCCAAAGCTTGCTGCAAGCTGGATGCATCGTACACCTTGCTCGTTGGCCACATGAACGAGTAGGAATTTCCGAAAGAGCAGATATTGAAGCAGATACCGACAGGCAAAGACTTCAGAAAAACCTGGAGTGCAGATCTCAAGGTTGGGATTTTGTGTCCCATGCTCCCACTTCTGTCAATGACAAAGACCACCTCGGGATTAGCCGGTCGGAGGCTGAACTTTGGCACAAGGGTTGCCATCAGGGCTCGTTGGTTAGGGATGGCTGGATGTCTTTCAAGCAATGCGCACGGTGTATCAAGCCCATCTGCTTTGATGAGAACGACAAAGTCTTGTTCCAGCACCACGGATGTATTTCTCTGCTGATGAATCACAGACGCAGATGCTTGCGATGGTTCAAAGGTAGTGGACGTTGCTGGCGTAGAAGAAACACGGCCGAGAGAGACCTCGACCCGGTGGCTTGGGGATACCAGTTCCCGGATCACCAAGCTCTTCTCCATCTGAACATCGACGGTGATAGACATCCCCTGAAGGTTGGTTGACAGACCAAATGAAGATAATTGAGTTGAATCGTAAGACTGTCCAGTTCCATAGCGAGGAGCGATGGTGCTTGGCAGTGTGTAGCGAATGCCATCAGTCTGAGAGTCTTGTTTCAACTCTCCCACGAAAGTAATATCGACGTTGATCTTTCCACGAGGGGGGGCCTTGCCGAGTCGAATAACGAAAACATCATTCATGGAGGTGTGGTCCATAACAGCAGCAGTCTGATCTTGAGCCACCGCATTTTGGTAGTCTGCATTGGCTTGGGACTTGGTTTTCACTTTGCTGTGCAGCAGACGAGATCCAACCTTGCAGTCGAAACCGACAACACTGACCCCATCGTAAAGAGGGAAGTGGTAGGATATCTCTTCGATGACCCTGTCAGATGGGTTGATAAAGGCCTGTGTCAAGGTTGTACGGGCTGCAGAGGAGAGGATAGTTGCATGGGCCTTGAGTGAGACCTGCGGGAGATACTGAGGTTGCCAGTTACCAGGCTCGTACCAAAGGCATCCAGAGTAGCCAGCCATGATGGGCTATCACACTGGAGCGAAACAAGGACAGCAAAAGTAGTGTGCGATAAAATGCGATGTGTTGAGTACTGGTTTTAATAGATAAATCAAATATGAAGAAGAAGAAGAAGAAGAAGAAGAGAGGTGCAAGCAAACTGCAAACTTATATAAAGTTATTTGTACAGGCACCCAGCTCGGAGAGTGCCCTCCCGTTTGCTGCCTACGCTTCAGCAAATGCTTATTTTGACAGACAATTTACTTTGGAGATAAATTTAATAATACTCATTTGATTCACAGGGATCTACTTAGGTAGTATCAGGTATATGATGACTGAATTACACTTTGACCACTTCGGAAACTCTGGATCCTGAGTCTTAACTACAAATTCTGCATTTTATATGGCCAAGCACATGCTATTAGTTAAAGTGTCTTTGTTTCCAAGGGTAGAGTTAATATATCTTCATTTGTAGTGGATTCGTGAACCATCCAGGTAAAAACAAACAGGAAAGAGTTAGTGCTTTCACTGAGCATACACATTTGGCTAGGTCACTTAAAACTACATAAACCTCTCGCGATCTACTAGGGACCGTTGGTGGTATTACGTTGAGAGTATCGATTCCATACTTTGACCATGCCTCAATTCCAATGATCAATGTTGCAAAAGCAGCTCGACAACCTCAGCCGATGATTTCATTAAAAAAATGTGCTACTACCAGTTAAGCATTCACCATATCCAATAAATTTTACAACCAAAACGGCACCTCGCCAGGTTCCCAACCAATGCCCATATCATACATTCCACATAGACCTCATGAATTCAACTGAAGTCTTCCAGATCAACAAACCCCAAAATTTTACACACAATTACAGCTTGTACTGCAACAAGTTGCCGACCATCTCACGGGCAGTGATGCGTGTGGTAGCCCACAAGGTCGGGAAGTCCAGAGTGCTCGAGAAGGTATCGGCGTAACCGAAGAAGAGCATGGGAGGGATCCAGCCACGGGCGTATTCCAGCGCGAAGCAAGACTCATCCATCTTGTACTGCTTGACCTCGCCGCGGACCAGGTGGTGCACGCTACCGGGCGGGTAGACCTCGGGCTTGAACTCTCCGGGGACGTAGGCGAGCTGGGTACCCTGGAGGATGTTGAAGTAGTCGTCAGCAGTGTGGCGACCAGAGTGGCCTTCAGTTCCGATAGCGGTACCTGCGCAGAAGTAAATATGGTTAGAAGGGGAAATGGAAATGGTGGTAGACATTGTTGCGGGCGTAAAACTCACCGAAGACAATCAGGTACTCGGTGATACTGGCGTGAATCACGTACATGGCGCCCATAGCGCCGCCGGCGTTGTTGAATACCCACTCCTCCTGGGTGCTCAGGTAGTTGGCGCCGACCTTCTGCTCCAGCTCGGCGACGATGAAGTTGACGATAGAGCGGGTGTCCTCGCCGTGGGCGCTGATGGCGCGCTGAGACACATCGTGCAGGTGCTCCGGGTCGAAGATGTAGAATTGCTCAAGGCGCGCATCGAGGTATCTGTAGACGGCGGAGAACAGGGCCAGGAAGATGGTCAGGTAGCTGAGGGTCTTGAGGGAGAAGCAGCGGCAGCGACAGCCGGAGCTGGAGCTGGAGGACTTGGAGGATTTGGAAGGCATCTTGGGATTGGGGAAGGGTCCTAGAGTAGCAAAAAGAGGCAATCGAGCATTTAAATTTATTTTCCGCCCCTGGCGAAAACCCCGGAGTTCCACCCGGGTGGGGCACCAAAGCAAAACAATTGATTAATAGTTAAACACCCTCGCTTTGGTTCAATTCATTACTACAAAGTACAGTCTATATGGATCAATTCCTTGCTCAAATATGTCTCATTTCTTGCTTCAATACATGCACCTCCCATGTACTGGGTGTCTACTTTGTAGGGTGTTTGAAATGCGTTTGTAGATATGTTTGTATCTGTTTGCATTGTTTATTTTGGCTGACGCATCAACAGCCCATGCCGGATGCTCGCGATCCGAATTGGCGTCTCTTTCATTGGTCAATTGTCCTTGTTATCCCCCTTCAGCAATGATGTTGCCTCCATATATTTATTATACGGAGTACACTATCCAAACATCTAACCGTGCCAGGCCCACCAGCAGCTACCTGGCATTAGAAATACAGGATGATTACATATCATCTACTCCGTACCTAGGCACTATACAAAAGTGCATATTACAGATAGTCATCAATGTCCGCACAAATTGTTGAAATGGCGGGTTTTGTCATTTTACTTAGAGTCGTCAACATCGGTCATCTGTTGTTCGTACTGTTTGAACTCTCAGGTGTCACATTCTCCCATAGTAGTAGATTAGCTCTCTTTCCTCCTACATCCATCTTTACAACTATCACAAATCCACAATACATTAGTTACATTGTGCTGCTTCATGATCTCATCTACTCTGTAGACTTCAACACGTACACCAGCTTTCCGTCAAGTAACCTAAGCTATTGGCTCAATTTGTACTTTAGAGTTCGATGTAACATCGCCTTTTTTCTCACTTTCCCTTCTTATAGAGCCCATTTGTGCTATGATCCGTTGATCGCCCTTTCAACCTTATTTGACGTCTTCTGATGATTATCTGTCGTGTGGGATTTCTGCAACTAAGTTTTTTAAAAAGAATATGTAATACAATTTCATAAGATACGGCGCAAAAAAGCCACTTTTGATGGCATAACTCCTGCTCTCTTATACGAAAATTGTACAGAGCCGTCGTAGGGCCATCCCGCCATGAGACCACCCTAGAATAATCCAGTCTCATGGACTTCAGAGATCTCTCATCCGATCCCCCTGGACAACAAGCGCAGTTTTGGCGCGACTCTTCTCGGCAAGGGCATTGATCCAGGTTGCCAGACGCACGCCTGCTTTAAAGATTTGTTCCGCAATGACCGGCGCGGCATCGTCATAGTATTCGCCCGCAAGATCTTCGCCGTTAAGATACGGAAGCCCCTTTTTGAAAACAACGGCACAGTTCAAACGATTTGTCTCCTCTGCCCACTGCTTAACACATGTCTGGGGGTTGGTCACATCCGCACATTCGACAGCGGTCGTGGGTCTGTGTATGTTCTTTTGGACGAGATGCTTCGCCCACTTTAGGGATGCCACTTTTTCGTCGTTATGCTTGAGTCGATGTTTGATGCCGTTGATCTTGTGTGGCATGTCTGTGTCCCAGATACTGTGAAGATTATCTTTGTGGCCGTCAAAACAGACCATCACCTTATTTCCTCCTTCCTCATAACCTTCCACATGCAAGGGCATATGAAGGTCCCCAAAGAAGTGGAGCAAGAACATGATAGCTTCTGTTTGGTTGAAGCTATCATCATTCACTTGAACGGTCTACTGCCAATTAGATTGCGACCAAAATTACCACGGGCAAATGGGAGCCTAACCATATCTTCTATGGCCGAGATGATGCAGCCTTTCGTGCTTTTGCAATCCTGTGGGAGGGATGATATATTACAGGTATTCCGCAGGGGATCATCCTTCACATCTACATTTTCACGGACAATCAACATTTAACGATAATCCATCTAGTGAGAATTATGACATACCCACATAATGCCAAGGTTTGGTCTCAGGATGCTTTCGTTTGATTTCATCGGCCCATGTGGCCGCGTCTGAGATGTCGAACTGCTTGTTCTGAGGCAGGAGATTATTGAGAAACTTTGTGCCCTGCTCGGTGAGATAGTACTCAGCTAGATATGCAACAGTACGATGGCCGACATCTCCCCATCCAAGAGTCGGCCCACAAAGAAGATACCAGACGGATAAAATTGCAACGCCAGAAACCATTTTGGTTCTGGTGACGACGGGATTTCTTTTACTGGGCGCAATGGTACTCTCATAAGAGTCGAAATATTATCCGACGTAGATATTGAATCGTCTAGTATTGCGACTATCCTTTTATATGTAGGTGAATAATCCATGTCAAACACCCATAGTCTGGGTAGCTATTTGCTATGAAGTCATGATCCTCTACGCGATCTAGATTTTACAGACTCTATTATTGTAAAAGCAATCTAAACTAGCAGTAGGACCCAATATAGGGAATATTGGTACGTGCTAAACTTTTTAGAGTCGGCAATTTTCGAGATACGTATTATCGTAAAGTGGCGGCTTAACCCAACCAACCTTCTTCAAATTCATCCAACTCCTTGTTAATATTGCTGCAATCTTTCTCGCTGAAAACAGCTTATCTAGCAGGTCAGGTGGTTTGTAAAAAGAAATAGCAAGAATAACTTTCTACGGTTCTAGGGGCGTATTCCAACCCACGGATAGATCTTCTTGGCATGCAGCATGCTCAGTTAGTCTAGAACGATAAAGGCTTTCTCTGGGGCCATGTAACTGACATGTATAGGTGCTGGAGGAGGAGGCGTCATTGATAAGAATTATAGTCTATTTACCTTTAACAATGGCTTTAGGATTCCGCGGTCATTTTAAAGAAGATTTAGGGTCAGCTTGGCACTAAGCCCAATTGCTATCATCCAACCATGGGGACTGAAGAGTAGCGCACATAGGCGTTCATAGAAATAGTTCTAGGCCTTTGAACTATGCTTTGCAAATTATCCTAGCCTGATAAGTAGGGGATTGATTGGGGGCTATCCCGCGGGTTCTCATATTCTCCCTGCTCGCCGTTAGAATAGCCGGGAACGAGCCCAGGTCCTGGCGGCTTTTGGGTAACGGGTAGCCCCGTAGGTAGTGGCGAGGTCTAACACCGGCCTAGATTGACCGTAATCAGTTATTTGCACTACCTAATATCACCCTCCCACTCCCTATAGGCTAAATAGAACAAATTCTACTCGATCACCGCCAAGTCTAGTTATATGTATCATCTTGTCTTATTATGGTATATAGTGGATCTTCACCACCCCGGAGTAGATTATCTACTACTCTACGTATCCACGGCTTAGGCTTAGGGTTAGGGAAGGAACTGGTTGTCTTATTATAAGTAAAGTATTGATCGGGTCGAGTACGAGATCCCGCGAAATAAACTGAGGGGGCTAAACTTTAACCGAAACCACCGATACGTTTTTCTGTGTGACGACTACGCGACCGGTGCGCTAGTCTATAACAACTTTCTTTTGATATACGAAGTAGGATTCAGACCATAGAATTTGTTCTACCGTGGGAGACCAATAGTGAGACTTGACTAAAAAGTTCGACCTAAGAAGCCTGCCAATGGCAATGAAATTCTGTAGCGACAAATCATCATTCCATCGTTGGGATAACCTACCCACTACGTCAACAAAAGGAATAGCAGAGCCTGTAAGGCTATAAAGCAGGGCTGATCGTATATTCTAAGGTTACGATTCTAAAGCTGCCTCTATCTTGGACTGAGACTTTCTATTTCAAAATTCAAACCACATGCCTGTTCCCCACTACGGCGTCTGGGCTTGCCGCCCAACTAGGTATGATGCTGAGAGACAAGGAGTACCCACCCCACACATTGAGCTCTTTTTCACCGATGATACCTCGAAGGAGCGGAGGGCTGCTATTAACGTCAAATCGAACGGTAAAGATTCTCGCCTCGTATTTTGGGTTTCACGCGACTTCTCCCATCCCATCACCAATCAACTCTCGGATTTGGACCTAGGCTTTCACCTAGTCCAGGATTCCAACAGTGACGATGGCCGAAATGATCGCCATTACCGTTACAGTCACTATTATTCACAAAACCTCGATTTAGAGGGTCTCGACTTTTATCGCATGAAGGACCTTGTAAATATTCAATCTGGAAAAGCCCTGCCGCATGATATCCCAGGCCAAGACAATGATATCTTGGACAAGGTGAGGCCAATCCTCGATGATGCTATCGACAACTCGGCAACTGCTTTTATCTTTGGGGCCTCCTTCGGGTCGGGTATCCATAATATACATATGAACCAGGGCAGTCTTCCTAGGTATGACAATGGTGTCTACTCGGACGGAGCCGTGCTGTTCAAATTTGACGATGGGCACTGGGAAGCGGTGTTTTTGGCCTTTGCTTCGCAGAGGCTCCCAACCGACGGGCAAGGAGAGCCGGAGCCAGGCAGTAAGACCTTGATCGATATACTTGAGTAGCGGGAGGCACATCATGTTAAAAGTTCATTGGTAAAAGCACGGCATTGGTATTATGATTACTTTGTTGCGAACTGGTAAAATTGATACGGCCATGTGGTGTCTGACCAGAGTTTGTATTATTTTCAATAATGATGAATATCAAGCAGATTTATAACCGTATTGTATGATGGTATTTGTAAACTCTCTCGAATCCCACGTACCGTGAGCAAGAATAACGTTTGGTATCACAGTTGGTCTCACATTTCATGTCGCATGGGCACCTTGACCGTGGATATAATGCCTACTCGATGTAGCATGGTATATCGATGATATAAGTGACGAATAATAAGACAAATCATACATTCATTATGTTGTAAAGTAATAATTTCATACAACATCAGCTCGCGATAACCAACACGGTGAGCTGGAAATGAGCCGTCGCACCTTCTTGTTACTCAATGCATCACCCGAGGATATTGTCAAAGCCTTATTCTGGGGACTTGTTCGTAAAGAAGCAAATTTGCTTGATGAATGTCTTCAGGATGAAGTTTTCGAACGTTGATATGTAGTAGAAATCAGGCAGTTTTAGTATCATAAATCAGATTTGTAAATATCAAACTCTGTGCTCTTCAAACTATGGGGAAAATTGGCAACTCTGTAGGACACTAATTGCAAAGATGGAATGCGTTTTCCCACTGGAGAATGGGCTCTGTTGTCTGAGCTAATTCCACTGTAAATCCTGCCCCAAGATCCGATAATCTACCGGTAATCCGTGTTTTTCTTCTTCCAGATCAACAACCACCTGTGCGTCCGATGAATTTCCATATCAGTAGCGCTCCATGATGAGCTGCGTCTTTAGCGAGTCCTGTGCTAGAAGCCAACCCCTGCTTTGCAAGTAATTGGCTAAGCTGTTCTGCTCAACCGAGGCTGTCGTGCGACTCTTCGTCTTGAAAGAGGCCTCGACGATGTGCTCAATTTCCGTACCCGGGAAGTTGAGGAGGGGCCAGACCTCGAGGTATAGCTCCATCCCGTTCCACATGCCAACAGAGCGCCTGACGACAACCGGGCCAAAAATACGTGACATTGCTAACGCTTTGGTGCCCCATTTGTTGTGATACCAGTTGTCGAACTTGTCCGGCGCTTCATCGATCAGCATTTTACGCGACTCGCTTGTTCCCGGCAAGTCTGTTCCGCTATTCCTAGATTTCGCTATATCTTTCTTGCGGCTGATAGATAGTGTCTGCTTCTCGTAACCCCATTCGACTTGCGCCTTATATTTCGTGTCGCCGGCGTCGAAACCATCGCTATTACCCGTAGTAAGAGCGGCATCAATGTCGCCACCTGTGATGGCATACCGCTTCTTATACGTCAACTCAAAGCCGTCCTCGTTTTCAGTGTTGCGTATACGCCCCCCCCCCAGCCGGCTGTATAGATATCCTTAGAGCACGTGTCGAGGAACTGGACATTTATCTTGGCGATAGTCGGGGCCGTATTAAAAGTCGATAGAACAGTGTCCGTAAGCTCATGTTTAGAGCTGAGGACCGCTGTTGGGTTGAGCAAGAGCTTGACCTCGTAATCGGGCGTCATATTTGGCACTTCCTTTGTTGGAGAAATGACAGTGGCGGTCATGGCGAAGGATCGGCGCGGTGAGAGACGTATGGTAGATGAGAGCTCGCGGGCTGGACGTGGAAGAAGTACCTTGAGCAATAGAGGAACTGTTATTACACGACAGACCAAGATGGTTCTTAATGACTGTTGTTCGCAAATGTAGGAGTTCGACTCTACCTAACAGCTAATAAATAGAGGGAGCAAAACAGTACGAGTTCTACGCAGAGTCCACTATTCAGTGAACCAAATCATCTAAAATACTTGCCGCCAAACCATATGATGATATGATTTCCTATTCCGAGCAGAGGTCTTCTCACCTATGCACGGCACCTCAACCTTCATGACACCATCGACTCTCGCCCCATACGCCTGAGTTGATTAATTTTCGATTGAGAACCCGTGACATAAAACAATACTGCATCGAATCTTGATGCGACAAGTTCGCTATCATTGTGATAAAGCGTAGCTTGTATATGCGTAATTCCTGAATTATTAGATAATAACTTTCTGAGCTTCCCTGGCACCAGTTTCAACGCTAGATCAATACCATTTCGTAACAATTCCTATCTCTCAAATTGCATGGATCACAAACCCACTATAGTAACACAGATACAGGCCTAATCCCAATGCACAAGCGATGTGTATCAAGATGATATGGCAAGACAATACCTACAAAACTGGATCCAACATCGGGTCCCCGCCATTTTCAGTACACCACATGACACATGTCGATCATCCGAGCTCACAACCTTGTGCTAAGATGGTCCATGGTTCGGCCATCGGCGAATCCACGTCACTGTGGACGTCACACCCGGGCCATAGGTGGCAGTAAGATACAAGAAGTTATCAATGCTGTCGAATACTAAGTCCGAATACATGGTAGAAACCAGGTATTATACCCGGAAAATCATGTGACATTGGGTACCAGGCATACCATACAAAAGTGTATATCACAGTTAGTCATCAATGTCCGCATAAATTGTTGAAATAGCGGCTTTTGTCATTTTAGAGTCGTCAACATCGTGTTATCTATACCATACATTGTTCGTACACCAGCTTTCTGTCAGAAATCAAATAAATAGGTATCCCTGTTTGAATCTAATCAAAGTTAGTATTTAGCTACATGAAACATTCAAACTTAACTATTTGTTTTAGTATCACAGTCACTACAAGTTTCACAAGTGTGTTGAGATCCTTAGACAAAGTCCCGCAGTCCGCGGAACCCAATCGTCAGGGATATTAAACTTTATTCTTCTATCATCCTCCCCGAGGTCAGTTGGTTCAGCGGGGCCCATATTGTCGCTAGCCTAGCTTGGAGGTAATTCTTCACCGATGCCTTCTTTGAGTACGTTGTAACCGGTGAAGACATAGATTCCTTTCTGGGAGTAGAAATCATACGTTGTTTAGGTTGCACTGTTAGAGGCATTTGCACGTCGTCCTATCACGCCTCTCCGCGCTTGTTGAAGTCATGGTTGAAGCTTTGTGCGCGGTACGATGTGGACAAGGCGAAGAGGATGTAGCTCATGATGGTGTCGTTTGGGTGTTGGCTCTTCGGTACCAAGCAAAACTTATTGTCCGGTGTAGACTGAAGCAGACCGAATGCCCCAATGATGACCAGGTCTCCGTGGGAGGTCCAGGTACATATAAATCTATGACTATCGAATCAGAAGCCAGTTTGCCATTGAGCATATCCCTGTGTACCTGGCGTGAGGCTGTCACCGACAATCAACATCCGCCTATCCGAATAGCGCTTCCCTAGGGGTGGAATGCTAGGTTTCATAATTTGCTTCTCTGCAATTTCTGTGTAGTGTGACAGGTGGGAATGTTGTCGTTGTCGGTTTCGTCGGGAGTCACATCTAGACCTCTGCATAGCCCATAAAGCCCATAGCCCATCGGCCGGCTATGGGCCCATTGGGGCCCATAATGGGCCCCCATTATTAAGCAAACAATACAAATATGCTAATGTATCGCAGCTGTATAATTAATGCATTTTTTCCCTGTTTTTGGGGGGTATTGAAATTACCACTAATTGATTTGATTTTATTTATAAGATATTAAGTAATAGATACTAGGAGGCCGAAAAACAAGAATCAAAATTGATTTTCTAAAGCTTTACTTTTTTATAAGAGGTACTTATTTTTATTAGGGGTTTACATAGTAAGTAGAGCTACTATAAGTGTTACTACAATTGACCATAGAAAGTGGTATTCATCCTCTATAGATAATATATATCTCTTTATACTAATACTTAGTAATTCCTTCTAGGTGCGAATTCACGGTTAAATTGGATCTTTTTGGGGTTATTTTGTAGGAAATTTTGTATGAAATTTAGTATTATGATGCTAAAACCAGTATAAAATCCACTTAATTCCTACTTCTTACTATGATAATATAATAATACTGAAGATATAGATTAGGACCTGCGTAAAATACAGTCATTAATCATCTGCTTTACGTATGCCAAGACTGTATTTGTGCACAGAAATGGGCTTTTGATGGGCTTTGATGGGCCCCCATTAATGGGCTGTGGGTTGGGCTTTGGGCCGGGGGTCTGGGCCCATTGATGGGCTATGTAGAGGTCTAGTCACATCTTCACCCCTGAGCACAGATTGGGTAGAATATTAGCTTTGGTCAGAGGGTTGGAGATTGGACTCAGTGGGATTGCGCGTGATGGACTGTCAGTGCTGGAACATATGGCTGGTTTGTGTGTCTTGGCGGGTATGCTTTTGCTGGTAAGCAAAACATGAGATATTTTGAGGTCTGACCTGGCCATCGACGATACGTATCTTCGATAGAAGTGCACCTAGTCTCGAGTCAAGTCCACTGGGTACATATATCTATGGATGTTTTGGCGTCAAGCTGCACTAGCTGTTACATAGTTTGCGTAATATCAGGGAATATATAAAGATCCCCCCCTCCTTCTTTCTCTCTTCTTCTTCTTTCTTCCTTCTCCATTCCGCCGGGTTCGTGTTACACATCGTGGTTTCAGTTGTCCAGCGAAGATATCCAGAACGCACTGATGATCTTTGAAGCGGTCCAGTTAAGGCTGAAACTGGGTTAGGGCCTCGGTCCTAATTTAATGGTACGAAGCATGTTGGGCGGATTATCCGAACGGGAGCCTCCCTTGGGAACCTATCCGGCTGTCTAAACCTGACCTCTATGGATACAGACTCTGATCTATGAGGAGTTGAACACTGTGCTCTTTGGGCCAATTTTTGGGACCTATCATACAGAGACAGCACTCGCTCTGTTGTCCATGGGTTCCTTCCGAGCACTTTTTTTTTTTTTCTTCTTTTTTTTCTTTTTCTTTAACGTTGCCGTTTGTTGATAGTGTGGTTGTCTATGGCCTAGCTGTTGGTTTACTCCTTGACTTGATTCTTCTCTTTTTCATACATGTTGTTCGTTGGTCATGAGGCTTGTTTTCATTGACTTGCTTTTTCTTACCTGTGTACTTAACTATCAGAAATATATTGTGCTTTGTCATTGTCCCTTATTCTTGTATCATTCCTATTTGTAGTTCTTGAAGACTAGTCAACTAGGCGTCGGGCACATAGTAGCACGTGTGGCGTACCTACTATATCCATGGGAGCCACTATGTTTCAGTTAGCTAACACCGCCTAAATGTAATGTTTTGTTCCCACGCAACATAGCCACCATGCACAGCACTCTTTGGGGTAATACGAGCAATAACCTCATGCCCCACCCATATTCACTCTACAGAGATCAAAGCTAGGAAACAAAGTGATTGCCATTGGAATATCACACTTAGGAGCGTGGATCCTACATACCAGTATGAAATACTACTTCCATCGACAGCTATTCGATGTATCCAAGATCAAAGACAGCTTCTCCTGAGTTAATTGCTCACGGAAGTAGGCGGGTCCGTTTGGTACGTGCACTAGGTCCTTGTCTTTTGTCTTGACCACTCCCATCGATTTCCAGCGAACAAATAAAGGGTGCTTCGAGCTTGTCGGGCAACATGCCATGGTCGATCCATGTGAAGGATTTGGAGCCAGCAAGATACAAGCTCAAAACAGTGGTTGAGTGAATAAGATATTCATATCTGACTAAGCGGCTCATCATCACCTGAGCAGGCCCCGTGGACCTTCGAAAGAAGCTCGGGGGGCGATCTCCTGATTAAGGATGGCAAGAACCGTTTGGTCCCTGTACTGACACGTGCATTTGAAGATCATGGTCCATTAAAAAACGGTCGGATTTCCGCAATCTCTCTAGGGCCCGGAACAATTCTTCAGCCAAGATTTCGGAGTTAGCATCTATTTTCCGTCTTCAAATGAGATTATTGCGGGGTACGCACATATTGGTGCATGTGCATGAAGAACCGATGTGGCAGTTCTCCTTGCGTTGAATTGACCATGCGTTTGAAGGATTTCGATGACACCCGGAGAAACCTCGCAACCATCCTAATGGTTTATTCAGGGGGAAATCTCGAAAAAAGGTGGATACCTTCCACAATCTCAGGTACCCCATTCTCTTCTAGAAGCAGCATCTTCTCCGCCCCGCACTGTGCCGTCGTCTCACACATGCTGCCAAAGGAGATATTCCGAAATGCAGGGAAAAAAAGACCAATACGAATACGCAGTGATCGGATAAAGTTCTACATGGCAAGGGTCCATGGCTAAAAAGGCACATGTTGTGACAGCGACAATCTCTTTCCCGGATACTCCGTGACCTTTGCTCCACGCAAGCTTTTTAGCTTTTGGAATTATCCGGATGTTGTGGAGTTCCGGTCGCGATTTCGTTGGATAGCCAAAATGAAATGTGAGACAGGACTGCTCGGTGCTCTACACGAAACATGAGTCCACCAATCTAGAGTCCAGATTTTTCCCCAAATGGACGACTTCCGAAAAAGAGAACATGGACAGTATAAAGCAGACCGAGAAACCCGACTTCATGCGATATGAACAACTCCCATTTCCATACACGCACCCTCTCCCATCTATCCTGAACACCAGTTCCAACCGCAACCATGAAGTCCTTCATCGCACCCATGTCTCTCATCTCCCTGGCTTTGTCCGCCATGGGTGACGCCGCTACCGTCCCGGTCAACGACATCGCCCGTCGCGGCACAGAATTCTGCGACCAGTGGGGCACAACCACCACGGACAAGTTCACCCTCTACAACAACCTCTGGAACCAAGCCAAAGACACCAACGGCAAGCAGTGCACCACTCTGGACTGGAGCAACGGCAACACCATCGCATGGCACACCTCGTACTCGTGGGCCGGTAACGCACCCAACGAGGTCAAGAGCTACGCCAGTGCCGCGCTCAAGTTCACTCCTCAGATCCTGAGCACTGTTAAGAGCCTCAAGTCCGCCTGGACCTGGAGGTAAGTTTTCTTGACCCCGTGCCATAGTTACATATGTACTTCCGAATGAACAGCCCCCCGCTAACTGTCTCCGGAATAGCTACTCCAACACCAACATCGTCGCCGATGTCGCGTACGACCTGTTCCTCAGTTCTACTCCTACCGGCAGCGAGGAGTACGAGATCATGGTGTGGCTTGCTGCCCTCGGTGGTGCCGGCCCCATCTCGTCCACTGGCAAGGCCATCGCCACTGTCAAACTCAATGGTGTCGAGTGGGATGTCTGGGTCGGTCCTAATGGTCAGATGACTGTCTACAGCTTCGTCGCTAAGTCTACCGTTACTGACTTCGGTGGCGATCTGTTGGACTTCTTTGATTACCTTGTCAAGAACCAGGGTCTGCCCAACGGCAAGTACTTGAAGACTGTGCAGGCTGGCACTGAGCCTTTCACCGGTACTTCTGAGTTGACTGTTTCCAACTACTGGGTTGAGCTTCTGTAAATCGTCACACGGTTTAGCACAGATGGGTGATCTGAGACTTGAATTTCTTACCTTGTTGCTGCTGAAACGGCCAGGGTAGTCTTGGAAGTGTATGATTAGGGCTTGAATGCGATGGTGTATTCGTTAGGAAATGCAAATTAATTTAGAATCCCCCAAAGTACCGAAATGTGCGATAATCCGCACTCCCAATAATAGAAAGACGTATAATTACCAACAAGACACACGGAAACATTACTCTCAGCCCACTACTCCTCTGTGCACACGGTCGCATTGTCGATGTTTCACTCTAATACCACCCTGCAGAGCACACAACACGATCTCTAACCGCCGACCCAACGCTGAAACAAGCCCTTTGATCCTGAAACCCATGCCAGCGCCTAGTCTCCACCAAACTTTTGGGGTCCCAACGGCCCCATGGAGCCTGGACCACACCGATGGGAACACATGTGGGAACACCAAACACATAGGAAACCCCCGAGCACAAAGCAAGCACTCTCAACCAACCGTATATCCAACATTCCAACGGCGATAAAACAGCGAGACGCCATGCTGAAACGAGGCGCAGTTCACGCATCCAACATTCCAGATCGTAACCTGATTCGGCTTGGCGGAATGGCGGGTGATGGGCCGCGCATGGATCTGGGGTAGTGACAAAGCAGGAGAGCGCGCGTAGAGAAAGCTAAGAATAACAAGACCTACATAACTACATATAGACAAGGAAAAGATAAAATTAGAAACGCGAAACGTCGCAGCGCTTCCATGGTGTTGGGACTGTAAGCGCTGGGCGGGAAGGCGGAAAGGGAATTTGCAGTGGAGGGGAGACGGGGACACAGGCGCTTATATAGATGCATAATGTATGCATATGCAGTGTGTTCTGTCTTTTTTCTTAGGCTATGGAGTAAACGGAGAAAGAGTGGGAATAACTAAGTACACGCTAAGAGTGCTATGCACGGATCATTGCATGCATCCCACGGGATTGCAATATACATTACTGCATGGGTCGGGGAGATAAAAAAAAGAGGTTGGGGAGGAGGTTGGAAAATTCGATAGATCCAACGGGAAGGAAAAGTATCGTGATGAATGATTGTGACGTACCTTATGTGAGGTGGGAGTATTTCAAGGTTCGGATAATTATTTGGCTCAAATAGTAAATTGTTCTCTAGGAGGCCAGGTATGTTGAATCCCTCGAACACACTAAACTTCCTTGACAGGGGGGTTGGGGATGGGATCCAATGAGGAAGGGGAAATAGGCACAGGATAGTTATAAGCTGTAAAAGGATTAAAAGGATGAAAAGGGACACTTGACAGGGATTCTAGTTTCGCCCCATGGTGATATCGGAAACTGACAGGTTTCGAGTGATTGGGCACTAACGCGAGTTCGCGGCGCCAACTTGAAATCGCCACCTGTTGTTATTTTATTTTATTGTTTTTTTCAGCTGAGGTTGGTTGTTAGATTGTTGGATTGTTGGATGTTGGTTTTTGAGGAGATTAGGCAGTAAGGTAACATAATGTACATGTAGATAGTAGAGTACTATTTTGGTACGCGTTCAAGGAATGGAATGACCCGTATGAGACGGTCAGTTTCATCGTTTCATAGTTCATAGGTGAATAATTGAGTGGACCCTATAATGGCGATCCTGGATCAGGTGGTTTAGTATTGGATCCCCCTCTTATTTTGGGTTTTCATGTATAATGTACAATACTATCACATTTAAATCAAATGTAAAAGTAAAAGTAAATGAAAATGAAAATGTAAATGTAAATCAGAGTAACTAAAAAACCAACATGAAATACCAACCAGTACATACATGAAAATGAGGCACTCAACCCGCTATTGGATGAATCTAGGGATAATAACGCACAGGTACAATAATAGTCTATCAACTGTACATCATCCGTTCTCTTGACAAATCAGCTCACTTTCTTTCGTCTCAGACTCCGCGCGCCAAAAGGTTGGACCATCTAAGATCCAACTATGCAGGTTCGCTCTATTCTACCCCTGTGCTTGGCCTATTCCTTCTGTCTTCTAACTGGATGACACGTCCTTGCAGGGGAAACACCGTATCTCCCCCTCTGCTCCCACTCTGGCGCATACCAGATACTATAACTAGACAGGTATTCCGCCCAGATTCTTCACGAGATTCATCCACATGCTCAACGTCGTCATCCTTTCCTTTTTATAATTCCCTTTTGCTTTGATCATTCGCCTTTTTCTATAATAATTTCCTACCAGAAACATTATTTTCAATTTATTGCTTACTTGCAGTGAACTGTGGATTGTGTCTCGAATAAATATCCGTCGCGGGTCTCAGTTTTGCTTGAAGCTCTCAGTTAGGGCTATCGATAGGCGTTGACACGACAACCCCAACTATCCCATCCTTACTGCAACATTCTTTTTTTTTACAAAGAAAAGAGTACTTCATCTGAAAGTTATCCTGCTGGTCAGGAATTCAATTTTCTCATTTCCGACGTGTATTTGCTTCTTTGAATCTGATTTTCGCTTTTGCTTCACTTTGTGTCGACTTTCATCTGATACCCTCGCAAACACAAAGACCATTGTCTCGTTTGCCCAAAGATTCTTGAGTTGGATTGTCCGAGACAATTCATTACCGGGAACATTCTTTGATCTCTGCCTGTTTGTCGACATACTTAATTCCCATCCTCGACCGATCTTCTCCGACAACCTCTATCAAAATCCCTCTACCATATCACTATATCTCAATATGGATTCACTGTCACTCAACCGAGCGGCTCTCGATGAGTTCGTCACTACCCGAGTCACTCGCGAAATGGTGTCACACCTGGCTCAACAAGCAGCCCAGGTCATCCGCTGTGAACCGCATGTGACCAACACCGTCAACCAGAATGGCCAACCTACACCACCATCCACGCCTCCAATGGAACCCTCTAACCTGCCTGACCTCCCCTCAATCGAGGCCTTCATCGCCTCACTTGTCGCTCGGTCGCAGGTGCAGGTGCCCACTCTCATGAGCTGTCTCGTCTACCTCGGTCGTCTTCGTTCGCGTCTACCACCAGTCGCAAAGGGCATGCGCTGTACTGTCCACCGCATCTTCCTCGCCTCACTCATTCTCGCCGCCAAGAACCTCAATGATTCGAGCCCAAAGAACAAACACTGGGCCCGTTACACGGCAGTGAAGGGATTCGAAAGCTTCGGCTTCTCCCTCCCCGAGGTCAACCTCATGGAACGCCAGCTCCTCTTCCTGCTTGATTGGGACCTGCGCATCACCGAGCAAGACCTGCTCACCTACCTCGAGCCCTTCCTCGTTCCCCACCGCCAGCGTCTCATCGTCCAAGAGCAAGAACGTCTCGCTGAAGAAGAATATCGCCACAAACAACAACAACACCGTGAATGGTATGCTATCCCATTCCCTAGATCTTCCTCATGACACCCACTAACCGATCCCTAGGCGCCGTCTCCACGCATCAGCCGATCTGCTGGCCAGCCGTCTCCGCCGCCAAAAGCTCGAAGCCCGTGGTGAGACCCGTCGCGCAAATGACAACTCCCTCCGCCGTCTCCCCAGCCACGTCTCGTGCCCAACAATGCACAACACCCACTACGCAACACAGCATGTTGCAGAGCACGATCGCTACAACCCTTACCAGCGCCAGCGCGCATCCCCCACCAGAATCAACCGCTCTACCTCTCCACCATCCGTCCGTGACGTGCCACCTCTCTCCCACGCCGAGACATTCAACTCTCTCTGCTCGCGCTCCTCCAGCGTCGCACCAAGCTCGAGAGGCACACCGGCTTCCATCAGCACGGTTTCCTCCCAGGGCGCCGACGACATCATGCTCTCGGACCCGTCCCGCAGCCCGGCATCGCTCTCTCTGAATTACGGCTATGTCAATGTCCCCCACCTTGAATCCAAGAAGTCCTTCGAACCTATCCGCCAGCCGTCCAAGAAGCTGAAGACTAGCAGCCACACCCACAGCGGCGGCTTTGTGGCTCGCTTCCTGGCTTCTGCAACAGGCTCTTACATGGGCGGTCGTCGATCTCACTAAATCGAGCCGGTTCTCGATTTTTTTTCTCTTTTTTTTCTTTTAGCAGCCTGATCTTTTACTTAATCACCCGATGCTATTCACGCATCTCTCATTATTCCTATCTATTGACTATCTGATTCAACACACATTCCCATATGACTTTTATTTCCTTTTCATATTTCCATATTGTTGCTTTTGAAAAAGCTGTTCACCCCGTTGATACGCACATGTGCCCATACCCCTCGCTCAGACCTGTCTATTGATGTTCGCAAACGTCTTACACTATGTATGAGCTTGATTCCGACCAGAGTTGTCACCCTCTCTGCTTTCCTTTCGTCTTTCATCTATTCCACTCGCTACTGCATCTGCCTCGTGCATTCGGCGTTTGTATGTCTGGTATCTCTTATGCTTGTCTTACCCTTTCACTCGTTTTACACTGGACACTATCTAAGAATCGCTATGTTTAGACTTTTTTTGCTCACGTTTGCGATCTACGTTGTACTTTTGATGTACTTACCTCCTACTTGGACAATAAAACTTAACACCTAATTTGGATCTTGTATAGTATTGTAAACTGTAAGAATGTGATGTAGAAGCCTTGTTGTAGTCATAGTAAGAACATTGAACCTAGTCCTCCCACCCCCTTGCGCAACTATTCAGGACAGTATATTGCATACCCCTTCACAACCCGAACCGCTCATTTTCCTGTCCCTGACCAATACCCTTACCCTTATCTTTATTCTCAGCCTCAATCCTCGCCTTATTCTTAACCTCTTCTTTCTCCCTAAAGAAATCCCCTATCATCCTCCTAGGCTCCGACCCATCCTCTCCAACCACAAAACACTCCCCAAAAGCCTCAACACCAGCTTCAATCCCACCCTCCAGCGAAAGCTCCTCCCACCTCGAAATCAAAGCCTTCTGCCTGCGCACAGCAAGAGGCCCGTTCCTCCCTATCTCCGAAACCCACTCCAACACAGCACCGTCAAGATCCTCATCCGCAACAACCCTCTCAACAAGCCCCCAGCTAAGCGCTTCCGTGGCAGAGATTGTTCCTCCAAGTAATAGTAATTGCCTTGTACGGCCCCAGCCGATTAGGCCGGGCAGGAGTGCTGCTTCGACAACGGAGGGGATGCCGAGACGGACCTGATGCATGTTACTATTACCCATTCCAACATATGTGCTTTCAAACTATGTGGATCTGTATCCATCCACGCATCTCATTCCAATATCATAGAAATACAATTATAAATAAAGAATGAAAAACAAACCTCCGGCATCCCAAAAACAACCCCCCGACCTGCAACCCTCAAATCACAAGCCGCAGCAATTTCCAACCCTGCCCCAAGCGCGAACCCATTGATCCGCGCTATAACGGGGACGGGACACGTTCGGATTGCGGTGCATGTTTCGTGGACGTTTATTATGAATTTCCGTGCTGCGGTGGCGTTCGGTAGGGTTGATAGTTCGGTTAGGTCTGCGCCGCCTATGAAGGATTTCGAGCCCGCGCCGGTTAGGGTTATGGCAAGAAGGTTGGGTGTTTTTGAGATTTGGTGCAGGGTTGAGGTTAGGTTTGTTAGGAGGGGGGTGGTAAGGGAGTTTAGTTTTTTTGGGCGGGAGATTGTTAGGTGGGCTATTTTGGAGGTTTTGTGGGGGGTCCAGGTTGTTAGAATTGACATTTCGGTTTGGAGGGATATATTGATTTGGGTGCTTGGGGGAGGAGTGGAAGGCTGATATATGGGCTAGTTTATATCTTGAGGCCGAGAAACACCGAGGCGTGGGGAAGATGTGTGTAGGTAGGCTTCCCCGCATTTATGTATCCTCGGATAGTTTAAGCTATAGTATATTGAAGTCTTGGTATTGTTATAGGACAAGAAAGTAATAGTTAAAGGGTCCCTTTCAACATGGTCGTCGGAGGGTGAGAGCTGAATCAAGGATCCTATTACTGGGGAAAAAAGGTATCTGGAGAGTGAGCTCGGGACAGGAGCCTAGGAAGAAAATCAAAGATAGGTGAAATTGAACGTCATACAATCCAATACAAAATAACCAGAACAGTCGTTCTATTGAGATAAGCCGCCCATGGCACCTAAGTAAATGGCCAAGACAATGTTTCAAGCAAGTCAAATGTCAAATAACAAGAAATGTCAAAATCCAGGCAATGCTAGCTGTTTCGTTAATCGTGATCATCTCAATGTAAATCGCCGTGATGGCTCTATAGAGCCGGGCTTTCCCAGTACTCGCGCTTGATCCTCATAATAGCAGAGTGCTTATGCGGGAAGCTGACCTCGCCTTCTTTGTAGAAGCCTGCTTTTTGGAGGTAATTAATGAGTCTGCGAGAAGTTAGCACATCCATCTTCCTCTTCCTCTTCGTTTTCTTCTTTCGTTTTTTCTTAATAATGTTGGTCACTCACTTGATATTATCAATCCGCGGCTCCAACACCACAGATTCAGTCCGCATATCCGACAAGAAGCAATGGTGCACCAATGCACTCAACCAAACCGCAACACGATGCGCACCCCGGTACTCCTGTTCCCCAACGAGCAGATGAATCCCCCGATCAAAATTATCCACATGGTCCATAAGTCGTCCCAGCCGATCTTCCTTGACCCAGTAAATCTCAAAATAACCAAACGGCTTCCCGTCCCAACATCCGATAACAGGGAAACTGTGTCGGCTAGTCAGACTAGCAAGCAGGAACTTCTCCTGCACAGACTTCTCTCCACCTTCACCCCACATCGCCTCCACCCGCGGCACATTCATCCACCGGTGCAGCGTGTCCAGATCAGAGCAGATATTTTCGGTCAGATGCTGCGCGATACTAGTCACAGCCGCGGTAACAGGCGTCCCGGGCCGACTATCAGTAGCCCCCTGCGCGGCCGACATCGGCACAAACGCAACGCGGAACGAGAGATACTGACTTAGACTCGGCACGTAGCGCACGTAGAAGACCTCGCCCTGGTGCGGCGGCTTCGGACGCACGGGGTGTCGCACCCCGTTCGTGAAGGTGAACTGCATCGGCGGAGGCGGGTAGTATGTTGGTAGGTGGCTGCCAGAAGTGAACGGTCCTATCGAGGTGAATGGGCCCATATTCGCCATGTGGAAGGTTGCTTCCATGGGCGCAAGCTCCAATGGCGTTGCGACGGATGGACCGCCGTCGGGCGCGGGCGACGCATTCCGCGACCGGTAGGGAGGAGTTGTGGGGCGATCTCGACTTGGCGTGAGGGTGAAGAGGAATAGACGTGGGTCGAGCTGCCAGAAACTGCGTCGGCTTACGAACATCGTGGACCAGCTGCTTGAGTCGCGGGTTTCTATGGGCTGGAGACCGACGGAGGAGTCTTCGGTCGCTATTAGGCCCATGCGCTCAAGCTTCTGGAGCAGATTCCGGCCTTTGAAGATTCCTTCGCGCTTGATGTTTACGCGCCAGACGCCTTTTGGTCGGCCGTCGGGCGGGGTCATGCTCGATGCGGCAGTCTCGACGTGCAGATCTGGCTCGGGTTCGTGGAAGTACCACCATAGAGTTGCCCACAGCATCATGGCGATATGGCGCGTGGGTGAGGTCACGGGCTTGAAGTCGCTTGTTGGTGGGTTGACCATATACGAGATGTAGAGGGAGTCGCGGGTCAAGGTGGGGGTGGTGAAACGGGTGAAATTATCTTCATCATCGCGGGATTTCTCCTGGTCTGGTTCATCTTTCTGCTCGTTTTCCTTGGGAAGCTTCTCGGTATGGATTATGATTGTCCAACCTGGTGGGAAGGTGGAGTTGTGCTGGACGTTGAAATCGGCGGATTTGAAGGTGACCCCACCAAAAACGGGCGAGACGTTGAAAGTGAGGCCATTGGGCAAGTAGCAGGTGGTGTTTCGCATGGCGAAGATATCTTCGATATCTTGGGGAAATTCTGGGGAGTCACAAGACCCTCTTTATAGAGTAGCAAACTTTTTATCTCTGCTTTGGCCCCTCAGTGCGTGGGGTGGGAAGAATCGTGCAACCAACAGCAACTAAGGCAGCTAAAGCAAAGATATCCAATGCCAATAACTTAATTGGTAATGCGAAGTTGGAGATTGTTCAGAGAAAAAAAGAGAAGGAAGATTCTCGGAGAGGTTACATGTCCGATGACGCAGACCATCAGCCCACTACCACTATGGGTCAAGCTTTTAACTTGATCACCAAGCTATATAGATGTTACCTATACATTTATTTTTCTTATTTCCAGTTCTTATTTCTTATTTAGAACGCTATATGCTATACTCTGATCAAGCTATAGCTATATTATTTCATGTATTCAATGTTATCTCAATTAAAGATTTGTGGCTTTCCGGTAGATCTTGTTGATCTTCGAAATTTCCCTGGAACAAGGCAAGTCCCAAAGATCAGCGCCAATAGGAAGCAAAGTAAAATAAGTAAAAGGTATCGAATTAAAGTCGCCAAAGTCCAGTTAAACGACCTAAAAGTCCTCCACTGTGGTCCCTAACTTCCGCTCCCGCGCCAAGCGCACCAAATCTCCGCCAGTCACGAGATCCATCAGTCCAAGCCCAACCGATTTGTAGATGACATTCCCCCGCTGTGACCATTCACGCAGACTCTTTTCTTCATCCACAGTTGCCGCGTCACGGGTGGCATCACGAACCATAAGTAGCTCGCCCAACTCGACAACTTGTTTCGGCTTGATTCCGGCTTGAATAATCTCGCCCGCCTCTTTCATGGCCGCGTCTAGACTATCCACTACAATCACACCACTACGGTGGATATGTTTGTGCCAATGACGATGCGCGGGCTGTACATTGACCTCATCTCGGAGGATATCGGGATGAATCTCGGCCATGTGTGCCTTGTATGATCCAATTGCACAAATCAACCGACCCTTTTGACGGCCTTCGCCTGAGGTGACATATTCCGCAGGGAAAAGTGGTTCGGGAGAGGGAGTACAACAGAAGATCGCGTCGGCCTTGCGCACATGATCCTTTAAAACGCGGCTATACTCGCCGAAATCCGTGCTGACAGCGGAAAACTTGACGTCTCCGCGCCATTGGATATTTTCGGGCTGGTAGATTTCTTGCAGAAGCTTGGCTGCGCGATCGAATGAACGGTTCACAATGATTACCCGGCGGATGTCCTCACCGCGGAGAACCAGCGCCAGGCGGATGTGCCAGTAAGCCTGGGTGCCCGCTCCGAATACAACAATGGTGCGCACCTTCTTGCGTCTGTTGAACATCATCAGCGAAGCCAAAGCCGTGCGGAATGCTGTCAGTTCGTGTGCGTTGATCAAAGCAAATGGCAAACTTTCGCCATCTAGGAGCGTCACACTGCCACGCGGCGATGTGTCACGAGTTCCTGCGCCCGGCCACGCGCCAAGAGTTTTAGAAATATTCGAGGTGACATTTTGCTGATTGACGCAACCAGTGAGGAGTGTGGAATTATCCGTGCTTGATCCTGCCGTGCTGCTGCTAGTGGTGGTAGTGGTGACAGGACTGATCGAGTTACTATCCTCCTTGTCCTCTGAGCCCACAGACAAGTCACTCAAGTCGGAGGATATGGAAGCCACCGAGTTTCGGAAAGAACCTCGTCTGCGCGAGAAAATCTGTTCCTTCTCCTGCATATCCACGGTGTCCCGTTCAATAGCACAGCCAGCATCGCCCCCGTCCTGCAGGGAAATCATCTTGATGCCGATTGTCTGACCCGTGCTTGCGGGCATGAAGATAGTGGTGGTGCCATTCTGACGAGTAATGGCCGTTCGCTGGGGTTGATAGGTCGCTGAGCAACCTTTCTCCTGGGATCCACTGGAGTATTCTCGTAGAGCCTCGGCGAGATTGCGCTGCAGGTTTAGAATCTCGTCGCGAGAGAGCGCATGCAGCAGCTCGCGGAGCTGGGATCGGGAGAGGACGGTGAGAGGCATGTAGATGGTTCGTATTGGAAACACAAAAAGGAGAAAGGTGTAAACGAGTAGCGGAGGACGAAGGGAAGATAAAGTCTGAGATCTGCGAAGAAGGTCCAATTAGTCAAGTCCTAATCTCGCCTCTGCCAAGCTAAGAGTGAAACAACTTACAGCCTATTATTGTACACACAAGTTCTCCCACGCCAAGTCCTAATGGAGTAAAAAGCAGGGGACCGAAATAGCTCGGGGCGTCGGGAATAGCAAACTCGCCTCCGAGGATGACGACAACTGCGACTTTGAGGTGAGGTGGGGGGAATAGCGGGGGCGATCCGCGAAGTTGATAAAACAACAGCTGTTATTAATTCAACGAACAATTCAAGTCATAGGCTCAGATTTTGACAAGCATAGAAGAACTATGCAGCCAGAGGAGGAGGAAATGTAGAAGATTGGTGAAAACGGACCCTGCTGCATTCGGGGATGCAAAGCCAAGCCCAATGCGGAAATCTGTTATACGCCACTTTTAGGGCCGATTGGGTGCCTGAGGCAAGAATCAGATATAACTAAGTTGATGTGTACGTCGCTTGAAATGGACTAGATAGATTATGCTCATATTCTGGGCTGTCTCCAAGGGAAATAATAAGACAAATCCACTTTCAACCACCCTGGCCTGGATGATGTTTCGGATAACCCATGTATCCACCTATAATCATCGAGAAATAATTATAGAGAATGGCTCGATAAGAGCAATTGGCCTATCATCTCAAATATATCAGAAAAAGACAAGTTCAATACTCTAAGTTCTAATAGAATATTCTAAGATAAGATGAACGAATCTCGGCATCGGCTACCGCCAATGTCGGACACCTCACCCGAGATCCATATGAGTCAAAAGAGATAGCCAACCCCTCAACTCAGAACACAATTGACCTTCCAACTCTCTCAGTATCTATTTAGAACATCATGGCCTCAGGACAAACCCTCGGATTTATCGGATGCGGTAAGTAAACATGTCCATCCCTCTATAGTAAACCACTACTAACAAACCCCAAGGTAACATGGGAGGCGCCGTCCTAAACGGCCTCCTAAACACCGCATTCTCAACCACAAGCACTGAAACCACACCAAAGCCAATTACCCGTTTCATTGCCTGCACAAAAACAGCAGCCTCCGCAGCCCGGCTCCAAACAAAAATTGCCCCAGAGCACGAACAACTAATCAAAATTGTCTCCAACCAAACCGTCCAAACAATGCAAGATTCCGACATAATAATTCTCGGCTGCAAGCCCTTCATGGCCGAAGCCGTCTTAAGCGAAACAGGCGTCCGCGAAGCCCTGTCTAATAAACTCGTCATCAGCATGCTCGCAGGCCCCACATGCTCAACCCTAACCCTCCTCATCAACCCAGACCCCAGCTCTCCAGACCAGCCGCATCTCATGAAAGCGATCCCGAATATGGGCGCGCAGTTCGGACAGTCGATGACGATCATCGAGACTCCTGCGCCGACGATCCCAGAGTCTATGGTTGCGGTCACGGAGTGGATTTTCAAACATGTCGGTGCGGTTAAGTATCTAGGTTCTGAGCAGATTGGACTGGCGACTGTGCTTGTCGGGGCAACGATGGCGACGTTGACGTTGCCGATTGAGGGGTTGTTGGATGGGTGTGTTGCGGAGGGATTTAAGAGGGTGGATGCGATGGAGTTGGTTCTGCAAGGGATTAGAGGGTTGTCGGCTGTTTTGGAGTCTGGTCAGCATCCGGCTGTTGTTAGGGAGAGTATTTCTTCGCCGAGGGGGTGTACGATTCAGACGCTTTTGAGTCTTGAGAAGGCGGGGACGAGGTCGGATTTTGCAGAGGCTATTGTCAGGGGGAATACGCATTTGAAGGAGAAGATGTAGATACAGATGTAGATTCTGAAATAGAACTATACAGCCAGTGTATGTATGTGTGAACATTTACTTGTAGATATATGACGGATTAAAGCAATTGCACTTGAACGCCTGATTTCCAAATTTAATTCATTTCTCATACTGGGTTGACATCACCCCCAAATATCATCATCATCCTTCACCAAATCATCTTCGTTCAATACTTGCAGTCCATTCCCACGCTCCTCCCGCTTCCGCTGTCGCTTTGTCACCGTGCGCCCCGGGGTAAAGGGCGTCACGGGAGTAAACGGCATATACGGACTGTACGGCGTAGCCATCCCCGTAACAGGACCCGCCCGGTTCTTCACAGGTCGTTCCAAGATAGTGGTCTTGGTAGCCGGGGCACTTTGCGGCGGGTATGCCTCGCGGAAAGGTAAGTTGGACGGGATGGTGGAAGAAGGCGAGGGAGTATTCAGGGTTAGAGGGGCCGGTGGACGGGCACGCCCCGGAGGGGGTCGAATTATCTCGCTCGCCTGCAGCCGCGGCACTACTGGTGGAGGACCGGGGTTATAAATCCGTGGGGAAAGAGGCGGGTTTTCGGGTATATAAGCTCGGGGCGTGGCCACTGCTGGCGAGGCTAGTGGAGAGGAAATGGGCATTTTGCGGATAGCCAAACGCGGGGAGCGCACTTTGCTCGGATCTGGATTGGCGCGCGAGCCTGAGTTAAAGAGCTTGGATAAGCGTGAGCTGTTGAATCCCTTGGTGGGGGACTTCAATGGTGGCAATGGTGCCAATGGTGCCAAGGAGTTATCTGAGACGTGGGAGCCACGGTCAGTGAATGGGTTTGTGATTTGGCTGTCTGGTGATTGTGCTTGGAGGTCTTGTTCTCGGACGGACAGATCAACTCCGGAAGCCTTTTGGGCATCATGTTCCATGACTGCCGCGTACAGCATCTCCATATCATGCTGGGCTCGTTGTCGGTCGTTTGCGACAATGGACTCGTCGATGGTCACCATGCTGCCGTTCATGGACGGTTGGGAGGGCCTGGTGCTTCTGTTCAATGATCCCCAGGACTTAAATCCACTGGACTTTGGACTTGGGAGGTTGTGCGACATTGGAGAGACTGGGCTGGGATCCATGCTGAGAGGCGGTCTGACGGGCTTCAGAATTTCCATATGCAGTGTATAGTTGGAGGACTGGACTGTCCGACGCAGGCGACGTCCAACGAAGATAAGTAGAGCTAAAAGGAGAGCGACGAAGATCACATAGGCTCCCACAATGCTTCCAATTTGAATTGCTAGCAATGGTTTGTTCAGTGTTGGGGGCGCAGCGGACTTGGATTCACGTTCGATGTTCTGGGCCTCAACCGGGGCACTATGTACAATCAAGAGCGTAAAAAGGACGGACAAAAAGAAGATTATCGGGGTAGTCATTTCCGCCTGGATTATAAAAGAGATGGGAGAGGAAAAGTAATTATTTTAAAAGTAGTAGTCACTGATCGACATTTCGAAACGTCGAATCTTACACGAGGATTTGGGGTGATACATGTTCCAAAAGTGACGGGGGCGGCAGGGGGAGGGGTCACATATAAGAAGCAGCCTTGCATAGGATGTGATGAAGTGAAGGGAAAGTTAGCACAGAGGCAATCAAGTCTTCAGCCTGTCGTTGGTCACAAATACGCGCCCTCATGCACGATCGTCACCTGGCGGCGGCCACTCACAGGGGAGAACCCTAACTCCCCCAAAGGTCTTGTTTTGGAGTTATTTTAGAACATTTTCCAACTTGTGATTTAAGTAAGGAGTACTCCATACATTCGATCGTCTCAAGCCATATTTAATTGGTCGAAATCAAAGCATATTATCGTTTGGGTATACTAGAATCTCCAGTTAGCGCATTCCTTGCCAAATAGCATACTATACGCACGTGCGCCATAGCGAAAATCAATTCGCATCATCTGTAATGACGAGAATATCCGAGAGAAAGCTTTCGAGAATCTTATATATGAATGCTATTATCCTGTTATAATTTACAACTAAGCCATAATATACAATTTTATCAAGCATTTAGTCGAAATAAGATATCTTGTCCACTTCTTCATATTTTCAAAAAGATGAAAACACTTCCGTTGCTTGTTCGTTGAATTCCTAGAGAATAGATACAAATTCAAATCGAGAACTTGGAACATTCGTCTCTCTGTCACTGCAAAAGATACACCCCGATGCAGCTTCCCTCTTTCGCTCCTTCCAAATGATATGACTCCAGGATCACCTACCCACAGGTGGTCAACCGAGCAAGCTCCCCAGTGAACTCATCCTCATCCTCCATCACTGTCTATGTACCTTGAAAAAAATATCACTCATAAAAGCTCATTCATCACTTATATCATAAAACACATCTACCAATTTGTCCCAAGACCCATGGGCAATAAGATCTCCGCAGTGCACGGCGTGAAGTCAGACCATTTCTACGACCAAGGCAACGCCGTCAACGAGATCTGGGTGGGCGACGTTGAAGTCATCTCACGTTTACCCTTCGGCGATTCCGACCTCGAGCAAGCCGGCTGGCCCAAGGGAGACTTCCCAAAGATCCCGTGGCATCAGTTCATCATCCCCATGCAAAAACGAGACGAGGCCAGCAACACGGCTACCAACCCTTCCTCGTTGGCTATAGATGGGACTCATTGTACTTGTCGAGACTGGCTACCAGAACATGGGTACCTGGGCATGTACACGAGAATCCACCCAGATGCTGCAGATATGATTGGGGCTTTGTTCCTTTCAGTCGCTGGCTTTCTGTGGATATATTTTACGGGCAGACTCTGCAGGGCTTTCAGGACGTGGCAATGTGTACGGGAGGCATCACTGCTCCTCCCAGATCCGGTCGCGGCCAGACGTAAGGCTAACGGTGACCTTTGGATTCGCCTCGGTCAATCATACGTTGTGTTTGTTCTCTCCATCCTCTGCTTGGTGCTGGGCTTGCCAGCGATCGCTGCTGGCGCAAAGAAACTGGATGCTGCGAGCTTCGTTTTGTATAATGGGTTTTGGGGTGGCCTTGGTGTTATTATCAGCGGCCTCATCATTTACCCTTTAGTAATGTGGTGGGATGCGAGAAAGCTACGACCTGCGAAGAGCGACGAGCCCTGAGAGAGCTGAAGATTTCCATCCAAGTTCGTGAGGGCAACGTCCAGCTTTGTGGGGAAATTGAAAGGCGGGGAGGTAGCGTTGGAAATATCGTTTTTGCTGGCTTTATTCTGAGTGGCATCACTCGTCATGTTCGATGTCACATTATTGGTGTATTGTTATCTCTGGTATGGCCCCGCACAGGTTGAACAGAAGGAGGGAGAGGTTCTCTGTTTCTTTTTTTTTTTTTTCGTTTGCTTTCTTCAGGCTTTAGTGAATAAATCGCGCCACAGCTCTTTCATACCGTAACCCTTCGACTGATCTTCTTCGTGGACTTTGACAGACTGCGCCATCCCCAGTGACCCAAACTTGCTGGAGGAAGCCGGCGGAACGATTGATGTCGGGCGCGCACGCTCCGTTGCTCGACGTTTAATTTCCTCCGCTAACTCAGGCGCTACTGCGGCATAGCATGCGTTGAGCTCTCGATCAATATTGATATATGGTTTGTGGGCGAAGGCTGGAGCTTGCAGGTTGTATGAGCGTGCAAGAGTATTGATTTGTTTCACGGCGAGTTCGTGATAAGAACGCTCGATTGCGAGGTAACCGGGGTCTCGTAGTGGTGGGAGATGGGCTAGATCTTCCGAGGTTTCCTCGTCATTCTTAATTGCAGGTGATTGGGATGTCTCTGACTTGGAGGTTATCCGGCCATCACTGTTAATCTCCGAGACGGATGTATCTTCTTGAAGTGAAGCTTCCAACTTTGCTTTGTCTGCCAACCGAGCCTCAGCTGCAGCATAGGCTTTTGCCCGCTTCATTTGTACGTCCAAGGACCCACCCTTACTGGCAATCAACATCGCAGCATGTCTCCGCCAGTCCGCTCGAAGACGTTCGCGGAATCGGTTGAGCTCCGAACTAAGCTGCTGTTGCTTCTCGATCCACGGCGGCACAATTTCCTGCTGCTGGATGATCTTATTCATAAAATATTCAGTTGTATCAATGAATGCGCTGCTCGCATTGGGATCCGCCTTCGTATTGACGCCTTTCCCACGACGTATCTTCTTAAATTGTCCGCGCGCGATCGCATCTTCGATTCGCTCATTTGCTAGCGACGAAAGACCCGAGATCGAGATCGGCATGGAATGCGCCCCGGGTGTCAACTGCTCCCTCATCTCCCGTCGCATATCCTCGCGCTCCTCTTCGGAAAATCCAGGCGCCTGGCTCAGTGTGTAGGTAGACGTGCGCTCTTTCGCTTCGGCAATTCGCTCTCCGCGAGACTTTTTGGGCTTCGGCGTGAGTTTGAGGTTCACAGGATTGGGGATTTTGTAAGGCATTCGGATAGGTTTGCTCGCATCGTCTAGCATACGCAGAGTCGTGTCCTCAACGCGCTCTACTCCTGTCCATTTAGGAGCGGCGGCGTTCTCGCGTGTGCCCTGTCCTGCGGCAGACTGCGATAAGGAATGTAAGTTAGTGATTGTTAGATAACAGGGCATGATAAGGACCACATACGGGCATTTCGACTATAGAATGAGCAGCAGCATACTCGCTCCTGAATGAAGTGGCAGCAATGCGCTCTGCAAGCTCATTTTTCAGTTCTTCCGAGAACCCTGCTTGCTCAATGTTGCGATGTGCAGATCGTCCACCTTCTAGCATTGCATCTTCAGTCATTTGAGCCAGACGGCGTCCCATCGGACTATCCTTTTCTTCTCCCTTTGAGCCATCCTTATCCTCCGTCTTGGTCGTAGACGAGGGCGATGTCTGATTCAGGTGGCATGCTGCGGAGAACCGCCTAGACGCGGGAGCTATCGGAGCTCTGAAGGTGCATGTTGAAGAAACACCACGGAGGTGTGTTGGCAAACTGTATTTTCCAGGCATAATTAATAGCTTGCTGTTATATTCAACGAACTTGCGATATCAAAAAAGAGTGTGTAGGACTTGTTAATAAGGTGGCAAGCCCTCGACTTGATAAAGAGAGCCGGGGCGCGACCAATATTAGTCATCCACCTCCGCGGAGTCGAAACTTCGGATTTTGTTTGTCGAAGATCCGTCGCCGGCGTCAGTCTACCATCGTTAATCCCACACGCGGTCGCTTCGAGGCATTTCGCCTTTTCTCGCTCCAATTGTTACCTTTGTTTCCAGTTCTACGAACCGAATAATTTCCCACCATGGCACCCAAAGGCTCCCTCTCCACCCGGCTCAACCCGATGCGTCTTAACACCATCAACCACCTCCGTGTTCGCCGGCCGAATCAGAATGAGCAGAACCCCTGCGTGGTAGTGATGTCGTCTATGCTTAGTATGTTCATTCTTCTTCTGTGGCGAGATCGACTCTGTCAATCCCTTGTCGCCCTGGCTTCACATTCCAGCTGCGAAGTACCTTGAATCTCGAAATCCTGAGTGGGTTACTGACAATATTTCGTTGCAAATAGACTGCTGGGCTTCCGCTGGATACGGCGCAGAGGGCTGTGCTGCTCTCGAGGCTCAATTGCGCAAGTGCATGGATGCACCGGTACGTTATAATCCACCGCCGTTCTTTTCCTTCATTGTCGACATCCCCCTAACAAGTTCCTCCCGCATATAGAAATCCAGGGAGCAGAAGAAGAACACCGTCAACTACCACCTCATGAGAATGTACCCCAAGGTTGTTGGCCCGCGCAAGAAGGATGGTGTTCTCGGTTAAAATGTTCTTTACACTGGATTGTTCGCGATTGTCTATCCGGACTTGGCAGCACAAGCGAGTTGTCCTGGAGTTTTGGGTTTCTTTTTGATACATTATTACGCGAATACTCGGGCCTTCATCGGGATCTGCTGATTTGGTCCGCTTATTTTGCATCAGAGGCTATGGGAGTTGGCTTTTACTCATATGTACAGTATACAACTATGTGGGATATGGAATCACCTTTCAGAACAATTGATCATACTTTTATTTGATTATATAGCCCCCGACACAGATTATAGCTGAGATGAACTGTCGGCGCTAGCAGGGTTATGGACAACGGCGAACTTCCCTGAGTCACATCCCTCGCTCACAACTTCAGTTCTCTTCTTCGAGGCCATCACTGCTGGTAAGATCAAGGCTCTCTTAGTGGATGAACAAGGCCAGAGCGTGTGGGACAATGTGGTGAAGGCAGATAATGTAGAATTGTGTCTCTTTGGCGCTAGGGGACTGTGTTAGTCTTGCGGAGATTCTTAATTGGCAGGCTGTGCATGGCGCATTGGTCGTTAGATAGGAGTCTCATTAATCTTGTCACTTATTCTTTTAGCTGTAATATCGATACTTTCTGATTGATCAAATCCATTTAACTCTGAGTTCGTACTGCTTGTAGTAGGAATGGCTGCCTGCAAAATCCTTCCCGTAACATCTCAGACAGACTCAAACTTGAGGATCAGTTTATCGCCTGTCGGTTTCACGGTGTAAGCATCGATAGCTTCAATATTGTCATCGTTGACAATGGTGGTGCGGAAGCTAGTATAAATCGCAGCCACGGCGAGTTTCATTTCTGCCAAGCGGTAATCAGTATGATTCAATGATTGGGATCCTTAAATTCATACCTTGCAGTGCAAGATTACTTCCCACACACATACGTCCTCCACTCCCAAACGCCCAAAACCACCGCCGTTTCTCTTCCAGGTTAGCCGGCGAGTTTTCAGCTTCCAGCCAACGCTTCGGCTGCCAGGCCTCTGGCTCTGGGAATACTTCCGGGTTGCGGTGCAGTGAATATCCTTGCGCATTCACTCTGGTGTTGGGTGGAATGTCTGCATACCCGGCGAGAGTGCACGACGGAGATGGCGTCACCCGAGGTTGAATTCCAGGGATCGGGGCATGAAGTCTCAGGGTCTCTGTCACGATCGCTTCCAACAGGGGCAGGCTATCAATTGACTTGGCTGGCGGTAGATCGGCTGACTTTGGGTATGAAATCGGGGGACTCAGAGTGAGTAGCTCCTCTCGAAGCTTGTCCTGCACTTCTGGATGTCGAGATAGTTGCCAGAATAGATATGTGAGGCCAACAGCACTGGTTTCAAAGCCTGCAGTCAGCTGGTCGTACATCTCGCAAGCAATATCGAGTCGCTGTTGGGCTTTGTCTGGCTTTGTTTCTCCATTCTTTGTGGAATGCTTGTCCAGAGATTCTTTCAATTGCTTGTAGACAGTTGGCTCGATGCCTGGCTCGGAAGATGAAATTATCTGCTCTGCTCTATCGCATAGGTCCAGAGCCCAAGAATCAAGCATTGCGTTGGCTTCGTCACAGTATTTGGGTATCACACGAAGACCAATCCGTCTCAGCCACCCATCCAAATATGGAACTTCCTGGGCATAAAATTCAAACGGCTTTCGGCACATGTAAAGGTGAAGCCAGTGCTTGCGGACCGAATTATCTTGCAGGTAATTAGTGCCATTCTTCAACCCGAATAGATAGGAGGAGACGAAGTCCATTGTTAGTCCCTGGTTTAGATCATGTACGTCGACGGATTTGCCGGACATTGCTGCTTCTTGAAGAATCGGCAGCAGTCGATCGAAGATGACTGTATCTGAAACTATCCGCATATGAGGGGATGTTTGCAGAGTCGATTTGGAGTATATGTTGGATAGCATCCTTTTTCGAGTTGAATGTGTCTTGCTTCCGGTCATGGTGAACATGCTCACTGTTCTGTTTCTCATGGTGAGCTACTTTTTTACTATCAATCAGTGTCTGCGCATACTAACCCAAATGATGCGAAGACTCGTGGATACCAGTCATGCTTCTCAAATCCGCCAGCATAAACTGACTTAATTCCTCCCTCGACACAGTTGATCGAGATCTCTGATGGCCCTAGCCTAACAATAGGACCGAATTTCTCGTGTGCGGCCTGAATGGTCCGGTTGTTCTGGCTTGTGAATCGCCTCCATAGCATCCATACCGGCGAGAAGGAAGCACTCCAGTGTACGTTGGGGATCTTCGACAGTGGGGAGAGGAATGCTGGGTAAATTAACACTTTGTAGAAGATGAGACCAGCAAAAAATACTACCGCCAGGGCAGTGATCGAATATGCCATTTTGAATGCGGGGAAGCTTTTATTTGCCGTCCACTGTGGTAGATATCTGGTGGGAATTAAGATGTATAAGAAATGCGGCTTGAGAGTCCCTCCGGGCCTGGAGGTTGCATACAATGGAGATTGCCGATACCGCTATGCCACTAGCTGTTAGCCCAGCGAACGCCCATCCGTGTATTACAGGTGGTGCCGAGTGTGATCCCTAATTGCAAGATTAACCAATAAGCCCCATACCGATTCAGTTCCACTCACTCTGATTCGTTGTGTGTTTGCCGACAGTGAACAGTTAGGTAATGGAAATAGAAGATTGTGCAAGTGGTCAACTTGAGCTACATACGGAGCACCTACGTCCATGTAGGTTTCGATAGGGAAACTCCAGGCCTTGTCCAATGACCTCGGCGACCGTACTTCCCCGCGAAAGCGATAAGGCGATAAGCGTAATGGACTGTGACCTGGTACCCAATGTATGATTTTCCGGGTATAATACCTGGTTTCTACCATGTATTCGGTCTTGGTATTCGACAGAATTTGCTTTGACAGAAGGATTTAACTCGAACAGTTCGAATATCGTGACCGGGGGAGAGTGGGGTTTACTAGGTACCCTTGTGCCTTTCAGCTAATCCCGGTTGTCAACGCCCATTGGTGCGTACGCCAGAAACATTGACATAGACCGAGAATCTGGTCGCTCTAAGGTTATTAGTCCAAATTGCCGTTCGTGCGACCCGTTCCCAGCCGGATCTGGTCCCCTGGAAGCTAAGGCCACAGGGTTGTCACAGACCCCTGGTCAGCTTCTGCGCCGCAGACCATTGTAGGCGCCGTGGTCAGTGAAAGGGCACGATGGTCTTCGTAGGCTAGTACAGTCATTAGCGAAATCTGCTTCCGCTCCTCACCGTCGAAAGTTTTAATGAGAGCTGCTCTGCCAAAATGGTGGTATATAAATAGAGTCTACCATCATCTATAACTCGATACCTCTTGTAATTTTGGAACGATACGAAACGTGCTGGAACACTGTAACTTTACAGAACACATAGATGCATCATAGTGAAGAAGGCCGTACATATATATAGGAAGATAGACTAAGAACTAGGTGGGAGGCATGTCTGAATCCTTTGCAGGGCTTATTTATGCTTGTACATACCGGAGAGCTTCGCTCTCACTTTCTTTCATTTTGTTCCCCGCTTTGTTGTTTTCTTTTGAATAAACTCTTCTCAGTCAGAAATCTCACACACGTCACGCTGTAGAGATCTTAATCTGTTGGAAAGCCAGGTATATCGTTCGCTATCCTGGCCCCAAACAGCCTCAGTGCCTACCAGCGCCCGCTGATAATACAGCAGAGCGGTATCAACTTTCCCATTGTTCTCACATAGAAGGCCAAAGTTTATAAGAGTGTTCAAGGCAGGGATGTAGGTGAAAGGTGAGGTCGCGACAAAAGCCTTCTCGTAGCCTTCCAGCGCTCGTTCGTACATCGCCTCTGCCTCTTGGAGCCTGCCTTGATTTTTATAGAGGATGGCGAGGTTGTTAACGGTATCTAGCGTCGACGTATGTTCTCGTCCCCACGCCTTCTCGTAGCCTTCTAGCGCTCGTTCGTATATCGCCTCCGCCTCTTGGAGCCGGCCTTGATTTTTATAGAGGATGCCGAGGTTGTTAACGATATCTAGCGTCGACGTATGTTCTCGTCCCCACGCCTTCTCGTAGCCTTCTAGCGCTCGTTCGCACATCGCCTCTGCCTCTTGGAGCCGGCCTTGATCTGTATAGAGGTTGCTGAGGTTATTGACGGTATCTAGCGTCGACGTATGTTCTCGTCCCCACGCCTTCTCCTTGCCTTCTAGCGCTCGTTCGTACATCGCCTCTGCCTCTTGGAGCCGGCCTTGATCCGCGTAGAGGCTGCCGAGGTTGTTAACGGTATCTAACGTCGACGTATGTTCCCGTCCCCACGCCTTCTCCTTGCCTTCTAGCGCTCGTTCGTACATCGCCTCTGCCTCTTGGAGCCGGCCTTGATCCGCGTAGAGGAGGCCGAGGTTGTTGATGGTATCTAGCGTCGACGTATGTTCTCGTCCCCACGCCTTTTCGTAGCCTTCTAGCGCTCGTTCGTACATCGCCTCTGCCTCTTGGAACCGGCCTTGATCCGCGTAGAGGAGGCCGAGGTTGTTGATGGTATCTAGCGTCGACGTATGTTCTCGTCCCCACGCCTTTTCGTAGCCTTCTAGCGCTCGGTCGTACATCGCCTCTGCCTCTTGGAGCCGGCCTTGATCCGCGTAGAGGAGGCCGAGGTTGTTGATGATATCTAGCGTCGACGTATGTTCTCGTCCCCGCGCCTTTTCGTAGCCTTCTAGCGCTCGTTCGTACATCGCCTCTGCCTCTTGGAGCCGGTCTTGGTCCGCGTAGAGATAACCCAAAGAATATAGTGCCTCCGCATCCTCACCTTCAACTTCTAGATTATTTATTATCTCCAGGCATCTATCTGCATGTGCAATCAGCCGCCGTTGTATAAGCCAGAATCTGTGTTCTTCCCGCCGAGGCACATGCGCCGCTACGCATTTGACTGCTATCCAGGCCATACTCTTGTCAAGCCCCTGGTTTAACACATGAATCATCCACGAATGAACGCAGCCATGTACGCTATACCCTCGTGACTCCACACGCTGTAATATGGTAGTCGGATCAGCTTCAACGAGCCCGTGGCTGCACAGAAGTCTCAAGCTTGCATGAAATGTGAGCTTGTTCTCTGTCAGTGCGCACAGCCATTCCGGCTTCTCCGGGCCGCTATACTCCAGCAGCTCATACCATAAGTCTTCATTAGCGAAATAGGCCCATTGTCGGAGAAGCATAGCCGCAATAGGACTCTGCTGCTGAATGTATCGATACGAAATATTCCAAGTTGAGTACAGCGTTTGATCGTAGGCCCCTAGCTGTGGCGTATCTTCGTGTAATCTCTGCCATGATTCTCGGTACAGCTGGAGGTACTCAGTGTAGCTGATCGATACCTGCTCTAAATACGCGCCAGCTGTCGCGAGGGCCAGAGGAAGTCCATCGAGTTGCCTTGCAAGATCAGTGGCTACGGGGTCTGCTTGATATCAGTAATTGATATTGGACTATATGCTTGATGCTCACCTTCTTTTAGATCTTCACGGCCAGAGACGGAAGCCAGGATCTCGAGACTATCATTGATATCCTCTAGCTTGCGCAAGTGAAGTGTTTGGCCTAGCTTTACCATAGAGGACCGTGTGGTCACAACAATGGCACCATGGTCGGTCTCGGGCAGAAATTTCCGAAGATCAAACGCCTTTGCAAGATCTTTGTCATCATCGCTATGTATACCTGCCTCGACAGAGGAAGCATAGCTTATGCCTTTCCTCGTATGGTTGCCCGGTAGGGGATTATCATAGTTATCATAGATGATCAACCAGCGATCGTTCATCGGGTCGTCCAACCATCGCTTGGTCGCATTCACTGTCTCGTCCAGATCTCGACTCTTCAAAGCACTGGCAATGTATGTAACAGACGGATGGTGGCGTAGAATCCACTCGGCTGTGCGAGCAAAGCTTTGCTTCAATGTTGTTTCATCCCTTGCATTTAGCCATATTATCGCTGAGTAATGAGACCGATTCCGTTTGATATATGCGATGGCTAGCTGCGTCTTACCAATACCACCTAACCCATGCACCACAACAATACGGCGTCCAACAGATGTGTCAAGAATACCATGCATTCTCTCCAGCTGATCTTTTCGTGCAACGAATCGCGTCACTTCGGATATGTCGGACAGATTAAGCGGGAGCTCGAAATTGATAGGCATTGAGTTCGGATTTCTAGGTCATAGATTGATGAGCTATGAGCATACATTTGTGGCCTCCCTATATTAGGCCAGAGAGAAATTTACCGTTGTGCCTCTTCAATGGACATATGGAAGAATAACTGACGTGCATACGCGGCCGCTACCGCCGCTGCATAACCATGCCATTGGTCGTTTTTATGCGAATCGCAATAGTCGGAGATGCCTCGAATCACCATACATGGGAAATCAGTAAGGGCCCCTGCAGCCTCCATTTCGAAGCATAGCACCCCATGCTCCTGTGCCAGATCATCTCTTTTCTTAGCATCCTTGATCACCATCTCCCCTGAAGCTATTGTGCCTCGGTGTACAACAATAAACGAGTCGTCTTCCTCGTCTATCGGTCGCTCGATACGCTGCCTCGGGTCGCATCCACTATCTTCACATGATATCCCTTGCTGCCCATGTGTATAGTTGGCTGGGTAGAGATTGTCATTCGCAGCGCCGGGGAACTTGAAGCGACGAAGTGGTCGACGACTAGTTTGGATTCGCTCCAGGTTCTTCCAAATTGGATCATAGTCCATCCTATGGCGCCGGATAGCCACCTCCCGCGCAGCGTTAAGAAGAGCTGTTGGCGGAGGTGCGAGGAATCCTTTGCGTTCAAAGTGACCCGCGTTCGCTTTTCCGTGATCGTACTGTACTGCTCCAGAGTGTACACCAGTCGGTTCACTAACGACCACATGACCTAGACGGATCATTCCAAACTCGGTCTTTGTCGGTACGCCGCCCCCAATCCCGACCAGTAGGCCATACTTGAGGTTTGGGAACGTCATCTTCATTTGAGTGACGACAGTAGCTGCGGAGCAGTTCCCCGCCCGAGGAAGACCAGCAATAACCACGTTATGGTTGTTGATGCTGCCGAGGTTGTAAATGTTTGTATCCCCGCTGGGTTGCGGAAGACGTTGGTGCTCCTCGTCTAGCATCTCCATTGCCGCAATTTGTTCCACCTCTAACGGGCATATCCATCCCACCCGGTAGGAATCGCGGCTCAAACATTTCAGCGACATTTTCGGCTGCACGCTCGGCGTACTTCACCAGGGGGGATTTCAGGCGAAAAGGCTTCGATATTGTAGCAGTTATAGAGTGAAAACTATCCGAGGTAAGTAAGATCCCTAGTAAGACTAGAACTCGGGCGGGCGAGCACAAGGTTTCGCAATTGTGGCCGGAGGAGCGCAAGACGTAAGCGCCAGCCTCGTGCGTTGTGGGGAACCATCAGCCAACCAGACACGAATACGAGTCACAGTAGGATGCGAAGATAGTTGCAAAGAGTGTTGTAACTAATTTCCACCATATTACAAAGACTAAACATGGCAGGCCATTTGAAAAGAGATATATCTGGTATCAGACAGGCTATTGTACCTAGTTAGTGGCACTTCATGATTGATACTAAACCGTAACTAGGACCTAGTCGAAGAGCGAGCACCACCTCACGATGCATTTCCAATCGCAGCAGCGTCTATGGATACCTTTACACTACCCTCGGTATCTGGACAGTCGACCACTTTACCCACAATCGTGTAGGGGTCCAAGTCACATGAAGTTGGATCTGTGATTAGCTTATCAATGACATCGTCTATTGCATCGCAGGTCTTGATAGCTGCATGATTGATTTGTTTCAACGCATAAGTATGGATATTCCGTCAAGGTGTTCCTCACAAAAGTCGGCAAAAAGTCACCAATAGCAAATTTTGTAAATTCAATTCCAGGTGCTGACCATAGGCAGCCACACTCTATCAGAATCATACCCACAAACTTTGCTGGCCAATCAACTCATTGACAATAATTGAGAGAATTATTGGATACTGTCGAATAACTCGCAAAATCAATTCGCGCAAGTAATTGCGCGAATCTACAAGTTCAAAAATAGTGTGGCAGTGAAGCAAGCCCTGGCAGCGCGCAATTAATTGCGCTTGCCAAAATGGACTCCACGATCTTACATGTTATTCTTACTCCGAGATTCCTTGGCAAAAGTCGTGAGCAGTTCTCGCTTTTATATATAACGTGAAATTAGAACCAACTTAATGATTAAAAACAGGCTCAAAAGATTCCTGAGAATTCCAACTGAGTGTGTGTGTGAGTAGCCAGGTTTTTCTCCAAATGACAAAGCAAAAGGCTGACCATGTGCTTGAACAGCAGAATTGAGACTTCTACTCTTGCATATCATTCCAGTTCAATTTCAAACCATGTGTCTTGCTCTAGGATTGCTCTTCAAGGACAAGTCCAAGGGGCAGAAAGCGCCTATGGGACCTGGCCCTCGTCCCCACCCTATGACAGCACGCCCGCCCAACACTTTGCCTCCGTCTAATCGAACTTTTGCACCATCTTGACCGCAGAAACATGGGGTGGATTGCTCTATAGGAAGATTGATTTTAAAACATGTTTTGCTTATTCTTTCTGTTTCCCCCTGGAAGAAAACGCGCCGGTCTAAGGCGTAATTTTCACCTGTATAGACGGGTAATGCTTCTGTCTGCGCATTTCTATAATGAAACAAACTCGAAATAACATCGTGAAACTCCCAACGTCCTCAAAAAAGACTCCTGAGATTTTATAAATACTCAACAGCGGAATCCAGATAAAACCCACCAAGGAATTGCCAGGAGAAAGTTCAACATTAGCCCATAGGAGTATTTATCCCCACGACCAAAAAAGAAGATTGGAAATAGAGCTTCATTAATAAAAATATGTACAGCATCGGGCGTGATTTTGAGTTTGGTCTCTCTTATATTTCCAGTAGAGAACGATTGTGAGGCTTACTGTATGTGACCAGTTCGGATCAAGATGACCACAACGTACGCACCACTATCAGCCCTGCCTACGACACCTTTCTCGATACACACTAGCACTACTTTCAGCCACTGCTTGTGGGAGCTATTAAGTGAAGCGTTACGGTCGCAGAAGTTCTAAAGACTTCTGCTCTGGCAGCTCGTTGTACTCGCAGTACGAGCTGTGGAGCACCACAAAACGATGCGTACATTTGTCAGAGACAAATGTTAAGGTCTAGCTTCACTGCCGGCATATATACGTCTCGAATGGTGACAGAACTCTTCGACAAGTTCTGGGCTTCAAGAAAGCGCGGCTGGGATGATTGTTCTAATGAGCTATACTTTTTATGGAGTCTACTAGGAATTGACAGTAAAGGGGTTTGGAGAGCGATGCCATCTTAGAAGCTCGCTCTTTTTATCGCAGTATTGTATTCTGGAGCGGATAAATACTCTAGGAGACTAGTGAAAATAACGTTCGGTACATATTCAATAAGCCTATGGAGATCACAATGGACGGAGATCACAATGGTTGAATAGATCGATCAACCGAGCTGTCTACCATATACAATAGAAATACAAAGCGAAAGAAAGAGAACCGAGCAGAGCTTGCGGTCTTAACAACCTTGGAGGAATAGCGAACAATTCTGCAGGACCGTGCAGCAGGGCCCGACGGAAAATCCAGGTAGCGAGCCATACGTGTCGTGCCTGTGCAAATCATGTTCGAGCAAACCATTTTGGTAGACCTCAGTGACATCACCCTGAAGCCTGGTCAGTCTTACACAAGGGCCCGAAGGTCGTGCCCCCCTTAACTTCTTCCCAGCCCTCATTTCCAACGCATCGCCAGCACCAAAAGACGTCTTCCGGGTCATACTTGCGCTTCACGGACTTGAGCCAATCGTAGTTCGCTCCAAACCAATTCTCCCGCCATTGAGGGTCAAATCCGTCGGCTTCGTTGAGATAAGTGCCCATGCCTGGTGTCAGCTTCTCCATAGCCTTAAGTTTCTTGAAAGTAGCCTTGCCCTTGACTTCCTGGACGCCTTGTGCCCCCTCATTAAGGGGATATAGATCGACATGCGTCAAGAGAGTATAAGTCTTCCGCCATGCTGGGTTGACAGAGGTGTGCGGCTCCGGGTGTAGGACTTGACCACCTCCATCGAGAGACAGGCTGAGTCCAGATCCAGAGGGACGGGCCCCTGGTCCTGTCTCGATGAACAAAGTCCTGAGCATACTCGACAGGCTTTCATGCTGGGACAACAAAGAATCCTTGTTAAAGAACCGAGAGACCATGAGCAGACTATCTCCGGCATTGGCTTGGTGACTTCCCGAGGTGAAGTATTTGTGGAATGTCAGGTATTGATTGAAGGAGGAGACAATATTCAGCTCTGTATTGTTATACAGAAGTAACCCACTGATCAGGTGATCGTTCACAAACTGCTTATCATTCTCAATGGTCTCGGAAGAGTTGCCTTCAAGAAGCTTAATGAAAGTGTGACTGTAGAGAGTCGATCCTTTCATATTCAGCAGCGCACCGATACCTCCGAATCCCCGGTCCGAAAGAAGCGGATACTTAGACAAGGCGTTTCCGGAGGCATTAACTAGACTGGTCAAGTTGCCTTCTTTTAAAGTCATGAGTAATGTATGGGCGAGGACCGGGCGCGTAGGATGTACTTTGATCGTAGCTGATACGACAACACCGAACGTACCACCACCTCCACCACGCAGAGCAGTGAATAAATCTGGATAATAGCATGCGTTTGCTATAACAATCTTTCCCGATGCTAAAACCACTGTATATTCGAGGACTTGGTCCGTCGCTAGCCCAAAAGCGTGGCTTGTAGGGCCATGGCCAGCGCCCTGGATATAGCCTCCAATAACTCCCACAGTCTAGCAAATGTTAGTTGACTTGATACCAACAACTCAAATGGTGAGACCTTACTTTGTCATCACCACCAACAGCAATAGAGCTGTGCTTGGCTGCAAGTGCATACACATCCTCCCAGATATATCCGCCACCAACTGTGATGGCGCTTCCAGTCCAGTTGGCTCGACAAGAAAAGTTTGATGGGACGTAGCGCTCTTGGAAATGAAGTCCAGTCTGGATATACTTGATCCAAATCATCAAGCTGCCGTATCCTTGCGATCTACCACCAAAATGTTAGCGCACAATAAGACTTGTACGAACGCGGGATTTAGGTTGTCCCACCTTTGCACGATATCGTGGCCAGTATTTTTTATCACAAGTCGCAGATTGTTCTCTTTAGCAAATCTGATACCAGCCGACACATCATTTGCTTTGGTCGCATTGATAGTGTATACTGGGACAGCACCCAGCTGGCACAAGGGGTAAACGGCCACGGAGGCGTTGATTGGTGGACAAGTGTCAGCAACTGGATAAGTGTACCCGATGGGGGAAGCTTCTTGAAATTTTGAGTTGGTCCATTCCTGGCTGATATCTTGACATAGCTGGGCATCATAGCCTATACCGGGGTAGCACGGTTTGGCAATAGGTTGGTTGGCGATGAGCTGCCCGTCAACGGATGCGTTAAGGGAGTTCCATTTGAAAGATGAAGGCCAGCAGCTGTCAGCGGGTGTCTATTGTCATCTTACAGGTTAGATGTCGAAGTTCAATAGTTCAAGTTGAGAGTTTACTTGCACATTTACAAGTACCAAACGCGGATTCTGCGCTAACAAGGAGCAAGAAGAGACTTTTGAAATGCATAGTTGATAAGTTTGTTAAGGCATCAATAACCGAGGCGAGGCTAGTTACTTTATATCCCATCTAAGTTCCGATGTCCGATGGTTTGGCTACTAGTTGAGCCTTAGTAGAACCACTCCATGAATTACAGCCCCGTTCTGGTGCACAGTTATCTTTCGTATTCCAGCCAAAGAATATAACCATGAAACCAGGTATATTAGTGGATCAGGTAAAAAAGACTAGCTCTGCCTCTAATTGGGCCGTAGGTTGGTTTAAAAGTTGATTTTCAAACATTTTGCGGTCACTTGAGCACCGCCGAGTAATGTCAAGGGCTATGGAAGTGCGCAACGAGCGCGCAATTTCCATCACTTGGTGGGGCCAAAACTTGTTCCCAAAATTGGTGATTTCTTGGCTTCAATTCTTACCTATATGGGTTAAACCGATATTTGAATTTCAACTTGTTGGTTTTCCAAATTTAGTAACATTCCAGTGTAAATTGTAGGCTGGTGCAGACTCATCTCAGGCCATTGATCACTGTTTGCCTTGGCTCAGTCAGACCTCTTTTGGAAGTTCTATAGATCTTTCGCTTTCTATTCTGTAGATAGTTTTATCAAGTTTGTAGATTGGCCTCTCCTAGTCAGCAAATAGATTATTCCCTTTTTCTTTTGTCTCCTGATCTATCAATAGAAAACGAAGAGTCACCGTTAAGTCCTCATATCACTCGGAAACTATTCATAGAGTAGAATCATTTGTTTAAAATGCTTTTGCTGACAAAAGGGCGGATTTTGTGCCATAATATTTATCTATCAATCTCTAGTAGCTATACAGTGCGTCTAAGTTAGGGTCCTGTCGGAGTTGAGTTCAGAGGCGGTCTCCGGTCGAGGAGCATGACTAGGTTCTCCATCCGAACGGTTGCTTTCGCTTTGCTCCATCATATTGTCAAATTGTGCCTTCAAATCTTCGGTCTCTTTTTCGGTGGGAAGGTTCACGACCGCAAGATATAACACGTTTTTTTGAAACACTTTCTTGATGTAGTATTTTCCTGTGCTGGGGATCACTCGCCCGTCTTCGGAATCTACTGGTTTGCCAAACAGCCGGTTGATCCCTAGCGCCTCGTTCCTCTTAGCGAGTAGTTTGCCCGGCCCTGGCAGAGGAACAAGACCGCCCGTGACAAGAGAGATAATCGATCCGCTGTTCGCTGGATGATCTGGATCATTGAAGCGTGACTTCATAGGCTTCCGCTGTTCAGAAGGTACAACCATTGGGGTCCCAGGGTGTTTTTTCTCCTGCTTCATAGTTAGTGGTATTATTGGAAGTAGCGGGGAAAGGGAAACAGACATAGAAAACCATCGCCCTTCTGTCCATATAGTCGGTGGCCCATTGCCCGGCATCCCTAATCTTTTCAATAATCCCCTGTGACTGCTCTTCCTTGTAAGTACCCGAGGCAATCTGATCTAATTGGGGGTAGATTAGGCTTGCACGCTCGGGTAACTCCAACTCAGACTTGGTTTCGCCGCTCTGCACCCGGATTTTGTCAAGTGCTTTTCCGAAGTTTGACCTCTTTGAATCAGTATCGCTCCATTTCATAGCTGCCTGATTGATGTCCACTTTCTCTTTCTTGAAGAGAGATTCCTTTAGTGAATTGGTAGCTTTTCCCAGTGGTCCTTGTTGCTCGCTATCATCTGGTTTGAACGCCATCACCATGACAAATAACCCGCGTGGCATGAAAATGTCACGATTGACCATCTCGAGAAAAGTGTTTGAACGAGTACGTTTCTGTAATTCACGAGCGGTGCCTGCGATTACCGATAGAACCGTACCTACAGCCATGGCCGCGGGGAATGGAAGCGATGATGTGATCTGAGCGGCGATGAAAACAACTTCAATCCAGGCAGATGCCTGCTTACATTGTCAGTGAATGGAAATTCAAAATAGTAATCATTTGAACATACGCGATTAACCGTGTCAAGGTACTGAAGGAATTGCAAAAAGAATTCTTGCTTGATACCGCATTTGTCGAGGTCGGGTGCATATGCGCGTACGAATCCACGGTCTTTGTTTCTCGGTCGACGTTGAGGAATTATGACGGGACAAGGAAGTCGCTGTAATTCTTCCGGAGCGGGCCCTGCAATGGCAAGCAGCTCACGGGCTAACGCTTCTCTCTGTTTGATTTTCTCTTCCTCATCTTGCTCTGGCCCGCCATGTAGCTCGGTCAAATTATCGCTATGGGGGAGCGAATCCGAGTTTTCACTGGAGTCTGGCTGTTCTAAACACTCAATCAAATCATCAAGTTGCCACGCGACCTCGTCCTGGTCGGCACTAGCCACTGACTCTAACGAGTGATCTCTTCCGACATGAGAAGTGTGTAATTCTCCCTCGATGATATTGCGATCGTGTGGCTGTTCCGATGGTGAAGACGAAAGAGAGCTGTCAGCACAAGCTTTCTGGTCAGAGGCCGGGGTTTCGAATTTGTCTGCCAAGCAGTCGTTGGGCAAATTATATAGGGCTTGATCGTTTGATGCGGAGCGATCCTTGGCAGTATGAATTGCTTCTGATACAAAGCCAAGGCCTGTTCTCAAGATTTTAACAACAAAAACCATATTAGAAGAGCTTGTAACTAATGGAGTAAGATGGAAAGGGGGCTGGCTTTGTTCATACGCTTGCCAGTTTATCCTCTTTTTACATGTCCACCTTGACCGGGGGTTTATCTGTTTCGGGATTTAAAATGGAAAAGAAAAGATAAAGTTTTACAATTCAAATTAAAACCCGAGCTTGTAAAAACCTCCGACATCAATTTTATCCATAGTGAGGTTGGGATGGATCGGCAAGTTCCACACAGCTCTAAAGGACTATGTACTATAGGGGCCAAAACACCTCTCACGCACTGAGACAACCACCAACCACGAATCATGAAGAGCAGTGATCATAAGCGGACCCCATTCTCATACGTTTGCATCATCACATGGACATCCACAGGAGCGGACTATCTGAGTTACGCTGTGGCATCATTGGTTTAAAATTTGCGCCCTCGTTGCGCTTTTTGTTGACGTGGGATCGACGGGCCTAGTGCTCGAAATTTATCAGTTGCGCATTTTTGGATATTCCTTCTGGGATTAGTAAAAAGTTATGGATCGCAAATTGCCACCGGATGATCACGTACTTATCTTCACTGTATACATACTCATTATTTTAATTAGGCATCGGTGTAATGTGTTTCACAATCTTTCCATTGTACTTCAAAGCAAACTGAATCCACACTATGCTTGGTGAAACTCAACAACAGACAACTATACACAGGCCCTCTTAGAAAAGATTAGACATCCCCAGGCTCAAGTTAGTCTCTGGAGCATCAATCCAGTCACACAGCTCCTGTGGGTTGGAAAGGGGGCCAAATCCTCCAACATACGGCCAGATGTTCCATGCTTCATTTGACGTATTCAAGTCAATGAAAAGTTCTTCGCTGAGATCTGTGAACATGTTGGACATGTCTAGCCCCTGCCGCTCCTCTCCGTCCTGGAATTTTTGTTTCTCACTTTCTTTCAAAATCCTGTCTTTCAAGTTTTTCATTAACTCACAAAAGCATCCTATCATTTTGCTACACGCAGAATAAACGCAGCCATTGGCATACGCCACTTCAGTTGAGATCCAAGGTACCGCAACAATGGAGTCAAACCGCTGTCTGCATGTTTCAAAGAGCTCGAGCTGATTCTCGAAATTGGGGTTCAGCCGTCCAAAACACTTCAAATGAACTATGTTGTTTTCAGTGAGATTTTTGCAATGTGTGAGAATTTCGAGAGCAACATGCTGAAGTGGGGGGCGCAATTTAACATCGCCAAGCTTCAAATTCGTACACTCAAGAAACATCTCGAGAAGACATCTCAGCTTTTCAGGGTACTTTACTCCAAGTTGACTCAAGACCATCGCAAATGGCTGAGCTGCACCGGCGAGCACGTCCTCCCTGCTGGCCCTGACTTGATCGCTAATTTGAATTGCTTCATGACTCTCAATTTCATCTTCCCATCTGATTCTGCCTTCCACCGACCTTGCTTTCAGAACCGCAGCATATAACAGCCCGAGACCCCATATTCTAGCAAGGACAGAATTGAACCTTAGCTCTAGTAGGAGGCGAACGGCCATTATTTCTCCTGAGCTGTTCTTCAATATGGCGTTGCTGGTTTTGATTTCTTCAACACACTTCGCCTCGGTTTGTTCAAGAATCACAAAAAGGGCCCCAGGGTCGTTCCATTGTTCTTTCAAGTTTGCCAAAGCATCCAGCAAGATGCAGACTGATATAGCCCAATATATATGGAAGATTGTTCTCGGTGAGCACTGACGATGTTCCAAAATAAGCTGGTAGCCATCAATCACAGGCATTATCTTCCCCAACGCTTGTCTTAGAGCTCCATGTGATTTTGCAATATACCCGTCCAAAAATGTATCATAAACCAGTATTTGTAAATGCTTTACAGTTTGATTGAAGCCTGCATCGAATTCGGTACCACCAACCATGTGTAATTGTCGGGGAGTTGTCTTTTCTTGTTCAAACTTTTCTCCCAGCCGATGTGCAATTCTGTGTGCCAGATGAATAAAAGTCTCAGATTTGACAGCGCGGTGCAGCACAGTTTTAGTTGTAGCCAAAACTGTTGGTTTATAATCGGCCAAAAGAAGGCAGACTGCAACTGAGTCGTGATGTGTAGGTGGTGAAAATATGAAATCTTGACCAAGATACCCCACAGCAGTACGTATACTCAGTCTCAATTGGGGATGTTGCTCGTTTAAAGCTTGATCAATGTCTAACGCAATCAAACAAAGCAGTGAAAAGAGCAGTTTCGTAGCGGAATTGATCGACATGAACTCATGTGATGTCAAACGGCCCCTGAGTTCTATCAAACTTGGCATTGACGGCAGGAAAAAGCGATGCCAATGCAAACTATTTTAGCGAGTTAGATAGGTTGACAAAAGGTCGAGTCATTAAGACTTACCTTCTTTCGAGAGATATTGCAGTGTTATCATCAACGAGATCAGGAAGAGGTACGCTCCAACACGGAGGCACCGGATCCAAGTGGGCCCCAAATGCTTCATCTCTAGCCAATATGGACGAGAGAAAGTAATGAGGCTCTATCATGGATTGGAAAAGAGCTTCTTTAGACGGCAACTCAATTGCATGCGACGTGGGACCAACCTCTCCTGTATCAGAAAATAGAAGGTCTTTGATGTGCATAGTGGAAGGAATAGTATCGGACCCACTCGCACGGGACTCCAAGCCACGAAAGCGCTTTATAGCGGGGCGTCCTAAGAACGTAGGCTCAAAAACACATTCCAGATTCATGTTCCGGCATCGTTCACAGGATTTTTCTGGGGGCTGCGGAATACCAAAGGGCTTGATTTCATTTCTATCCTGCATGATGCATTTAATCTTTCTTGATCGACAGCCGCGACAGATGATGCGGGCATATCTTCCCCTCGGAGTTCGCTTGGTTGCTTGGCTTTGCATGTTTGGGACCTTGGGTATTGTATGCGGCTGATTCATAAAGGATTATGAATTAACGGCAATATGTGTGGCAAGAAGTGGTGGGAGAATCATAATTTGGAGTCGGAGGTCGGAATGATACCCGTCTACGCTATGCCTTACTGGGTAAGCCACAGGCGTCTTAGCTGATTAGGCAAAAACCCATGCCAAGACTGCTCAAGTCAAGCCTTTGCATCGCCCCTTCGATTGCAGATCCCTGAAGCCCGACGTGGGTGGCATTGAGAACAAAATTTGCGCGCGATGATCCCTAAGTTGCGCGATGAACTCGGCGGTGATCGTCGCTGCCCTATGCTATCGTTAGACAAAGTGCTATCGCCCATACTACCTACGGTGATATGGTCGCCTGGGATGGCTTAGTGTAATTCTCATCCGATCAATTTGGATTATCTGTGTAATATTTTAAGTAATCTTGAAGGCATAAAAGGAGCACACGCTCCCTCAACATTGAAAATTATCATCCGCATTCATCAGTACATCTATTATCCCCCATATTTTGAAGACTTCAGACAAATTTCTCAATCTATACCGAGTAGACCCGACTTCCTTTCAAATGTCGTACGCCAACGGTGAAATTTACGGTAATTCCGCGGAGGCTGGCTATTTTGAACAAGCACACCAGCAGAGCTCTTGTCTTCAGGTCAGTTGGTATCTGCAAAATGATCCTAGGTTTAATGCAATCGAGCGAAATCGCCGGCAGCTTAGGTGCTCAAGTAACAAGCAATACTGAACATCACATTTTAAAGCAGCAGAATACCTATTCTGGACAGCAATCTAGTAATGTCCATGAAGCTCCCCCGCCCTACACTGGCACAAACTTGTGTCAATGCGGCTCTATACATCCACCGGCCGCACCCAGGGTAACTCAACCTCCTACCTCCGCCCCACCGTACGAACCACAACAGCAGCGTGGTGAGAACGCCTCCTATTATGATTATGATGGTCCATGCCAACAAGCAAAAGCGCCTCATGGTTTTGAGGGCTCAGATGGTGAAAAGGGCCTTGGGTCTACTGTCGTAGGTAGTGCCGCTGGAGGATATGCAGCCCATCATATGGGCGGCGGAAAGCTAGCCACTGCAGGAGGTGCCCTTCTGGGGGCTGTCGGCATGAATGTGGCAACCCACAAATTGTATGCTAAGCGTGGATTACCCTGGATTGATTCTTTCGAAAAGTTATAGCTAACTTTGAGAAGTAAACAACACCAATATCAACAACAGCAACCTGCACAGCAACCTGTACAGCAAACTGTGATTATCCCAGCTCAAACGAATGCATTGGGCAATGGTCTGGGCGGAGGCCTTGGTTTGGGTTCAGGCTTGGGTATGGGTGGTGGCCTTGGACTTGGTCGGGTACAGCGCAGGCTCGCCCGTCGCGGAATCGGCATGTATTAGTGTTTATTAGGATAAGATATTATCATTCCATTTTGTTAATGGGTTGGATCCTTCAAGCAAGCTGTTTCGTCTATTCGGAGACATTAAATCCCAAAATAGGTTCTTTGTATAGGAACGGTCCTGCCTCGCGGGGTAAAGGTGCTAAAGTATACCGCGCTAGATAGTAACTATCTAACACTAAGCTATTAATCTATCAAATATAAGGTTACACGGTTACATAACGTACTCGAGAATTGTTAAGAGAGTCTAGTTAGATAAGATATCATGTAGTGTAGAGATAGGATATCTCGTTAAGTATATTTCTATGTACCTATACAGAGTATAGTTCTATAAAGGACGTACTAGTACAATCTATCGACAGGGACTGTTTTAGTACAGGGGAGTCCACCCTTAGTGGGTGAATCCATGCCGGGAATTTGCCCTCAAGTATCAATACGCGCATATAATCTCATTCCTTTGGCTTAGAGGTCCCAGCTCTTTTGAGACCGCTCGTCTATTCGATAAAATGGTCTACAGATCTGTTACGTCACTGGTATCACGGTGCTGGATAAGTGTCCATTGGCGACTCTCCCCGCCTAGTTCCGTGGGTATCGTGCCGCGATGAAAGCCTTAAAGCCGACGTCCATTACTAGAATGCATACAATTAGTACATTCAATGTCGATTCTGCGACTAAGTTCATCGCCACACCATAGATTGGGAAGCAAGGGGTTAACATCTTTACATTGCGAAGATATGGAAACTTAACCTCGCTGCTTTCCCTTGAATGATCAACGCGAGGCTGCGTATGAAATCTATGAGAAAAGGCCGATATACGATGCGGCTCTATCACATCTGATGAATCAATTCTGAACGTGTGTTGTTTTTGTGAGCGCAGAAAGTGCACTCCAGGAGACGCACTGCGTTCATGGAGGTCAAACACATCTTCCAGTGAGCCTCGTAAGTAAACGAAAAAGGGACGAAGATGAAATTATTCTTCATTTAACATAACCCTTCTTTGTCTCTTATTTTCATGCAGCAGGTATAGCTCAGACTGGTATTGCTCAAGGGCCCGGTTGCCGCCAGACCGTCGGAGGTGCGAGAAATCCTCCATATCTACCTCACAGAGATCCCCGAGCTTTTGAATGTCGGTCTCACTCTGCCCCTTTATTCTCATTTCAGCCCGTATTTGTTCTTGCTTGTTCTCAAATTGGATCAGAAAGTTGAAAATGTCGGTATCGATCCAGCCCAAACCGTGGAGGCTATCGCATATCTTCTGCTGGAAAGGAGTCAAGTTAGAAAGATATGCGATTTCCTCGGGGGATGGTTCGCTAGTACCGGCCACATTCTCAGGAGGGTTTCCGCCTTCACGATCCAGTTGCTCTTGGGAGACAAATGTGAGTTTGAGGTGATCGCCTCTGAGATTGGGGGCTTTAATTCCTTCAACTGGCTCCTTTGGCTGAGTGTTGGGAGCATCCATGATGGAACCTTTGAATGCTAAACCGTTGAGTTGGGGGATCTGACTAGGGACTCCCCATGTCACTGCTTGCCTGAGAAACTGTTGAAAGAGCTGTAGGAGTTGCTCAGACACCTCAAAATCAACGACCAGTTGTCGTCCTCCGAGATCGGCAGCCGCATGATCGGAGAAATAAAAGTATCCTTTGGAACCCTGAAAGGAGACCTGCTCTAGCCCGCCATATATCGTCACTTCAGATCCAAGGGTGACACAATAACTGTTGTTGAAATAGTCATCTGTTAAAATATCACCATTCCAAGGCTCTTCCGCAGAGAGTTGTCGCTGGAATGTCATCACCAGGCCCGACCCGTCGGCACCTTCAGCAAAGAATGCCTCGAGAACATCATAATACTCGTCAACTTCGCCGCCAGCAACTTTTGCAAGTATATACATTGCGGTCAGGCTCCTGTATCCTGAAATTATGATTCTTGGCTTTCTTGCTACATGTGAAGAAACATAGACCAGTAATTCTCAAAAGCCAGGAGATTGGGAAAATCGGAGCATGAGTTTTGCTTCAAAGGGGTGAGCTTAGTTCAACCTTTTCCAAGACACGTGTTCATTCAGCTTTACTCGTAAATAAGCTTTCCTTGCATCCAGTTCTAACCAATGATTTAGAAGGGTCCCAAAAAAACCAACAGCTTCCAAGCAAGAGCAGATTCGGAGTGTCCAACTTCGTAGGAGTGGTGGAATGTTTTCGTCAGGAACGGGATGAGATTGCACCAAGAGATCATGCGCTTCACTTACACGCGCAGGACACAGTAGTTACCAGCTAAGGAACCCTAATGCCAAGTCGCACTAAACTTTATTAAGGAATGGAAATATTGTTCTTCTAGTTTCTTATAGATACAGGTACATACAGAGCTAAAGTTACGTCCTGCATGTTCATTTGTGTATAGAAATACGTGTATTGCGAGAAACTTCCGAAAACAATTCAAACAACAGTGGTGGATCGATCGGCTAGTCTTCCTTTACTGACTTCTGACTTTGGGGTCAAAGATATGGCGCAAACATTTGTTGAGACATATCACCCCAGTAATCCGGCATAAACCCTAGGGGTGTTACACCGTGATTATTATGGACATGAGGGGAGGCTCCCCGTTTCAACAACGCCGTCACCAGAAATGGCTGCTGGCTATCGAAGGCCAAGTGAAGCGGTGTGTTTCCGTCCCTACCAGCCTCTGAGAGTGCTTCCGGACGGACATCAATTACAAACTCTGCAGCATCGATATTATGTTGTACTTGATCGTCGTCAAACGGATCAAATGTATTACCAACAATGCAGTGCAGGACATTGTTGTCTTCACGCCTGGCCGCGAAGGAAATTCCTCTGGCCAACAGTTCCTTGAGTAATAGTCTGTTCCCCCGCCAGAATGAAGCGCGGAACAGAATCTCCTCGCCTATTTGGGCCATATCGAGTTGATCTAATAGCAGTGATATCATCTCGGGAGATGTCGGGAATGCCAGAGACATAATATAGCGGTCAAATTGCCTTGCTTCCACCCCGAAGGCCGGCGAACCCGGTTGCAGCCCCTGTGATGGTACACGAAATCGCCACAATGTCTGCTACAGGATTCTCGCACTAAGCGTGGCGACCTGCAACAGTTTCGTTGACAGATATCCGGTCCATGGCTAGGGGACAAATGCAGGGTCCGCAATTTGTCAATAGCTGCTGTAACCACCATCTGCTCCTTGGAGCCCCGGGTATTGATATCGGCCCCGTGGTTAATCATCCAAGCGACAGCATTTAGATTATTTCCCCGAGCAGCGGTATGAAGGGGGGTATCGCGCGGATGCTCGATATCAAGCCCCGGCATATTGACATCCGCTCCTCGTTCTGACAGTAGCGCCACGGACGAAACATGGCCAAACATGGCCCCATAATGAAGAATATGGTTAAGATCAGCCTGTCCCGGAGCTGGATCGATCTGATTGCAATCGAGAATAATCCGCAAAAGTTGCTCATTGTGGAGCTTCAAGGCATGTTTCCCGAGATTGATCCAGCTTTTCTTTGAGATCTTGCTATGCTGTAATAGTCGCTCGGTTAAGGCCAGGTCATTCCGATCCATCATGCTCTGTACCATGGCAAGCACAGTGGAAGTGTCAAATGTCTCATGCTGCTCTTCCATTGCGGTCAGTAGCATCTGCACCCACTCATATCGCCCTGCGTCTACCGCACTTTGAAGCATATAGTTCATTGTGTCGGGATAGCTCTGATAATCGAGACGGCTGCGCTGAAGAACTTTCTTTATTATCAACGTGTTGTTGGTCGAAATAGCATAAGGGAGTAATTCCACGGCACTATTTATGCTGGGTTGGAATTCCATTGACAGGTCTGTCAGATCGAGGCTTATATCCGCATTCTCTTCAAATCGCCATAGTATTGGGTGAAGTAGCTCTGTTAAGCGACGGTTTGTAAGGATTAAACTGTTCAGCACACTAAGGGGGGATACTTCTCCTAGAAGTAGGAGAAGCTCGTTGGGTAGATATAGAAGACTGATCGCCATGGTGTGTGGGAACTCAGAATTTTGTCTTATGTGCGGTTTGTAGATGTGGTTGTTACAGCCGTAGGGGGACACAGTATATAAACTCAATATCATGAATCATCCGATTGTGCTCGCTCCTCAATACGAGGTGAAATAACGATGATCTCCGTTCACACGCCATTCATGTGAATCATGTCTATTTTCGGATAGACTGTCTTCTGCCGAGACCACAATACCTTAGTAGGAAGTGATCGTCATTAGTACTTTGTCAAGAGGATTCTGATTGGTTCTTCAACCTTGGCTTTCTTTAGCGGAGCGAGCTGTCAGTTGAGAGACTCTACAACATAGTTAGGGCTCGTAAAATGGCTTACATAATTTATTACTTTCGAGTCTCCCTCAGGTCCCAGAGCTGAGGGAGACTCGCGGGTTTTAGTTTCTTCCTCTCCTAACGCAATACAGAGAGTTTCCAGTGTACTCAGTACTTCTACATTGTACAGTACTTCTACATTGTAGTCCATAAGTCTCCTCTCTAACAATAGTCTTTCACTCTAATTTATAGCTCCAAAGTCTACTTAGTAGCTTCTCTGGTACAGAAAAAAATGAAGACAACCCTCCAGAGCTGTCCAAGCGCCCGCGCGAGGCCATGTGCTTACGTCATAAGGCAACCGGTGCCCACAGGGGGCAATTTGTGTATTAAATTGCTGCCCTACGGCATAATGTATGAATATATGAACATCACACGACCAACAATTGTGGGGTAAAATATAGATCGAAGCTGTAATCTGCTTGTCGTTGAATGAACAGAGCTGTCTCTGCAGAACTTCCCTTTCCAGCACACTCAATGAACATCATCAAAACACACAAAAGTGGCGGAAAACGAATAACGATGGCGATAGTCTGAAAGCACAAAAGCTTTGTTCCTTTCACATCCCTGTCGATCAGGCTTACACTTTCAAGATGCTCTCCGAGCTCCCATCGGAGATCATATATCAAATCGCGACACATCTCCCAACTGCCAATGCATTAGCCCATTTGTCCCAGACATGTCACCGACTACATGATATTGTTACAGCTGAAAATTCTCGGATCTTCCGAGCATTTGTGCGAAGCAAATTCCCATCTATCGAAACACCGCCGTTCTGGAAAGATGCAGCGCAAGCTTTGACCTCCAGGTCCCGGGCATTGGACAGGAAATCCATCATCGGACGATTTGTTGTGCCACCTGAAACTGCGACTCGAATCGGTTCTCACGAGGTAATTCGCCAGGACAATCCGACTCTTGGGTATAGACCTGCAATTGATTCTTACGAGATCTGGAATGGCCAACGTTGGGCTGATAGGAAAGAGGTTCTTGCCTGGGGTGCTGCCAACCAGCTTGTGATGAGGATCAAGCAAACTGGTGCTCGCTCGCAAGAAGACTGGCTTGTGTTCAATGATATTGATCATATTAGCACATATGATGACATTTGTTCTCTGCATCTTTTGTCCTCGGGGAATCAATACAGCAATGATACCAGCGTGGAGCATCTGATCTTTGGTCGGGTTCGAGGTGATATTGCTCATCTTGTCATCTCTCCCAATGAAGCAACATTTGAGTACAAGCAGAAGTTCATTGCACATGGACTAAGACTCGATAAAACTGATCTGAGCAGCGATACCGAATCTACTTTGGCTGCTCATTTTGAAAATGGATCCATCGCTTTCTACCATACCGAGACCGACAAAGAAGAAATAGAGCCATTCACATGGCTTATCCCGGAAGGCTCCTCGCGAAACAACTACTCGAAGCTGCTATCCTCGTCGCTGGTAGCAGTCGGAACCGGAAATGTAGAAAACTCCTTGTCCATCTCGAAAATCACCCCAGACGGCGTTTCTGCATATCGACAAATCGGAATCGGCTCTTTAGACACCAACTCCACAAACCTCAATTCCAATGTCAATATCGGTGCCATTGAATCCCTCAATAAGCATAACTTCGCAGGCTCCCCGGGCGAAGTCTTCCTAACCGCCTGGGACGACCACACCGTCCGACTCCACGATCTGCGCTCTCCAAGTCCCTTCGAAGTCTCCTACAAAGATGCCACAGACTTCAACCCAATCTACAGCCTCCACGGATTCGGCCACGACCACTTCCTAGCCGGAGCCGGCGGCGAAGCCGTAGTAAAAATCTTCGATCTGCGCATGTGCAACACCTACAGTTACCTCGACGCCCAAGTACCCGCCTCGCAATCACAGAGCACGCAAACGACAAGGAATACCAAAGCCAACACCAACCTCAGAACAAACGCAAAACCCCGTCCTAAAAGGGGCTTTTCCATGTTCCTTTCCTACCCACCACCCAAAATATTCCCCCAACAAACCCCACCCCCAACCCGCACCCGCCAAAGAGGTCCCTACCGAGGCCCCATCTACACAATGTCCTCGCCCTCGCCTTCCTCACCAACCGTCTACACAGGTATCGTGGATGGGGTCGTCCGGCTTGATTTTGCGTCTACGGATGACCTAACCGGTCCGCAAAAAGAGTGGTACGAATATAATCTGGACCTAGGCGTGAATACGGGTTCCGGGGATTTACCACGCTGGAACGCCGAGGCGTTCAATCTGGCTGGGTATGAGCGTCCGGATGAGGATGACTTCGCTACTATTTCTAAGCTGAGGAGTCAGCGCACGTTTGCGGATCTTGGGCCTGGGGATGTGGAAGAGACACATACGGGTTGGGATTATAGGTGGGAGAGCTTGGAGGAGCCTGGGGCTTGGAGGAGAAGGGATGGGTAGGTTGTACATTTTGAGTTTTTTGTTTTTGTAGATTGCACTGTTTTTCGTAGATTGTCAGACTAGAAGGTGTGGTAGGTTACGTCTTTGGCTTCTTTCATACTTCAAAGGGGGTTGCAAATACTGCGAAAGTTCGTCGAGAACGGATCCCAAACTTTTGATTGATGTAAGCTAATGAGCAAAAAAAAAAAATTTCTATGGCAAATGTTGAGTCCAACGATCTAGTCCATAGCTCCGTGTACGCCGTGCTGAGTGAAATTGGTAAAGTATGATGTGAGATATGAGAGCCTTATCTCTCCATATTCATCCATTGCAACAAACCTGAGTTGCACTGCAAAGTCTGCAGCGACAAAAACATAGCGATTCTTCCCTTCGGCAAAGCGACATCCAAGACAAAAAGCCCAGTTTCGGGGGTCCTTGTGGGTTTGGTGGCAAATGTTTTGATTAGATGCTGACGATAGCCTGATATTATGGACTAGCGAATATGGTTGTGTCGCAAAAGCAAGAGTCGTCGTTTAGTCCTCGAACTTGAAAGAGGTGGTGCCGGGGGCGATGTCGATGGGACCGCCGCGGTAAGAGCCACGCTTCTTCTTGTTCTTTTCCTTGGTGAATCCCTTGCCGCGAGTCACGGACAGGTCCTTCCAGGCGCGGTCTGCGTAGGCGTACGACATATAGTCGTTAGAGGGGTGGTTGTGGGGCAATTCACTTAGGAGAGCCAGAGGGGTGGGGCGAGCTCCGGTGTGCTTCTTCTTAACAGGTCCGTTTCCAGGAGCGGGGCTGGCGCTCGAGGAGGTGGACTGCACAGCCTCCTCAGCCTTCTTGACGGGCTTAATCTCGGTCTCCGAGGAAGGGGCGACGGTGTTGCTGCCGGATGAGGAAGATTCGGAGTCGGAAGAGGAGTCGGACTCGGGGAGAGGAGTCTTCTTTGCCTTCTTCAGGGCCTTCTTGGATTCCTTCTCGGACTCGGACTCGGACTCAGAAGAAGAGTCGGACGAAGAGGAAGAATCAGAAGAGGAGTCGGAAGAAGATTCAGACGAGGAATCGGAGGAATCAGATGAAGAAGAGTCGGAGGAGGAAGAAGAAGAAGAGGAGCCCGACGAGGAATCGGAGTCAGAGCTGGAAGAATCCGAAGAAGACGAAGAGTCGGATGAGGACGAAGAAGAAGAAGAAGAAGAAGCCTCCTTAGGGGTGGGAGAGGTCTTGGCCTTCTTAGCCTTGGGGCTATCATCTTCGGACGAAGAGGACGAGTCAGAGTCCGAAGAGCTGCTGGACTCGCTGCTGGACTCGGCCTTGCGCTTCACACCGGCAGACTTCTGAGCGGGGGCGGGGGCAGGGGCGGGAGCCGCAGGAGACTCATCATCATCCTCGTCGTCCGCATCACTGTCGGAGCTGGAAGAGGAAGAGGACGAGCGAGTGGCGTCGCCCATCTCAACATCCGAGTCGCTATCAGAGCTGCTGCTTGAGCTAGAAGAAGAACTGGGGCTAGCAGACTTCTTAACGCTGGATCCCTGCTCGGAGGCTTGGAAGAGTTCCAAGAGAGAGGGTGCATTTTTCGCATCGCTCTTCTTGCTCGACTTTGCCGCTTCCTTGGTGAATGCGGTGCTGGTCTCGGGGAAATTGTCCGACAAGAAAGCCGCAACTGAGGCGATCAGCTGAGGGGGAATGGACTTGGTAGTCTTGGAAGACTCGGTCTAATTAGGACATTGTCAGTCTGATCCTCTGGTCTGTTTGTAGATCATGCCAATCGACATGTCAGTCGAAAGTCAAGCATACCTTCTTGACCGAAGTCTTCTTGCTTGAAACCTTGGCCATAGTGACTGAACGGTTCGTTTCGAGGATAGCGAAAAGAAGAGAACCTTTGGGGTAAAGAGAGGCTATTTAGAAATAATCTGCCAGGAACCAAAAAAGAAAGGGAGAAAAAAAAAAGTATATAAAAGGCGGTAAGGCATAAGCTTTACGGTGATTGGCGAAGGTTGGTGAGCGTTGATTAGTGGAGAGAGGCGGTGGTTAGCACGCGGCTATTCCGACAAATGTGTTTCGGTTCGCTGATTGGTCCTTTCACCGCCCTCATCCTGCGATCCTCACCTCACCTTTTTCATTTTCCAAGATTTGTTATTCCACCGCACGTGTATCTTATCGTTCGATTAGGGTCTACATGGTGCTTCAGCTCTTAATCAAAAGCAAATCAAGGCAAGGCAAAGTAAAGCAAAATGGCAACCTATTATTCAGACAATAGTGGCTCTTCAGGATCAAAGCTAGGCAATGTACCTAGGGCTTCTCTATTCAAATGCAGATCACATGCATCCATAGATGTTCCGATATAGACTATCCATTCATATAGCTTATTGCGGAGCTAAATAACTCTGACGCTTTCAACGCTCATACGACAATGTTTAGGTCTGATGACAGTCCAGTCATGCTGTATTCCTCAGCCAGTCCTGCAATTTCTCCAGGGCTTTGAACCTCTCAGAAACCGTATTCTGTTTGCTTAAATTAGTGACTAGTGAATTCACAAGATGCTTCCCCGAATCAACGCACCTTGTATGCAAAACTCATTTCTGCATAGGTTTGGCCTTCGACTTCAAAGATGGGATCAAAACCTGAAGAAAGATTAGGCTTGGTCTCTCGTGAAACATGCAATAGACGATTAGAAAACATACCAAACCCACTTTCTCCCCTTTTATCGACGATTTTGCCTTCCGTATGTCCCTGAAAAAGGAGCGGCTCAGATCCTGGGCCGGCAGAGAAGGCAACTGTACATACGGCCGTGGCTGCTTTGTCGTCATAGCCGGCGAGTAGTTTGCATAGGCCATCATCACCTAGAGCAGAGTAGAACGACTTTCTGGGAGGTATTAGAGAAGACCATGACAGCAATTGATATCGGACATGCATATATGGCCCAGGTAAACCTTTGAGTGCCCTGAATTCAAGGGCACTATCCTCTGTCAAGACAGGGCCATTGACCTATGGAAAGAAACATTCACATTTAACCTGAATGTGCTCTGCTAGCAGAAAATGTTTCATAATGGCACACTGCTATAGCTGCTTTTTGACACTTGTCTCGCGCAATTTCTGAAAGAGGACCCTAGATTTCAGGGATCTCTATATTTCGATTTGAAAGCTGCACCGTATCACCCAGGATTGTTCTAGCTTCAACAAGCTTGTTCTTGTTCCCAATGATGAAATTGATCTTGCTGGAGGACATTATGACTATAAAAAGCTAACGCGATGTATATGATGTATGTATTAACTTGAAGATATAGTACAATACGCAGTTTCTACCCTCCAGGCACCAGGGCTGGAGCCTGGATCTGGCGCCCAACAGCCGGGCATGGGGATGGATGACTAATTTTAGGCTGGCAATTAAAGGTCAATAGGATCAAAGTCAAGCGATAACACCTCTGTTTGTCAATACACCAAAAAGCAGGTCGTATAGTGAGACTCTAGTGGACAATGTCATTTAAAAAAAGCCTGCGCTCATTTCAATGTTAATCTCTAACATTCCGCACGTTTGTTTACAGCTCAGCAACCCCGGATCAATTCGATACTCCGCTCCAAGCTCTCCGCCTTCCAAGGTTCCGCCGAGACACGTTGATGAGCTAATTCGAAGTTCAGCGCTGGCCACTTGCAGTACTCTGGCCTACAACGTCTATTGCTTTACACCTCGTCATATTCCGCCGTGTCACAAACGCCTTGTCACTTAACGGATTCCAATTCCTTCCGCGCGTGGTGCGTAGTGGCGTCGCCCGTTTCCGACCCTCCCGACCATGTCCCCTTGATCTCGCGGCTACCCACACGTGAGCTTTGTGTCCCTCGATATCATAATGAATGGCCGAGACCGTCCCCGCGGGCCTCCGCCAGGCCCGCTACCACCTCGTGGAAATCTGCAATCTGATTCGGGCTCTAGCCCGAGTACCATGACAAGAGGGGCCGCCTTCGAGGATGAGAAGAAGCGCATCATTCATAGTTGTTTCGCAAAAAAGGATGAAGATGGTCTCTGTACGTACACTATCAACGTACTTCCTCGATTTTGCCCACCCACCCAAGTTCAGTCAATAGTGGTGTGTTTTGCAACACATTGCGAAAGTGACGTACAGAGCCTAGACGGGATCGCAACGCGTTTGCTTCGTTGAAATATCATTTTTCCCGCGCTCTCTGCTAACCCACTTTTTCGCTTCTAGTGCTCGAATCCTATATAACGCACGTCCGCATCACCGAGGATTCAGCGCATCCCTCCAGCCCTTCCCCGCCAAACGGGCCACCGGAGAACAAAAAACCTCGTATCATTATTATATCGGTTCGAAAGTCAGGTAGAGTCCGCATACACAAAGCTCGAGAGAACAATGAGGGGACTTTCTCTATCGGCAAAACTTGGATGCTCGACGATTTAAGCGCAATTCAATCATTTGCGTCTCTGGTGCCGAGAACACCAGGGGAGCAGCAACAAAAAGAATGGGCGGGCAATGTAGGATTCACAGTAACAATTGGAAAACCATATTACTGGCATGCCAGGACTTCTAAGGAAAAGGAGTTCTTCATCGGGAGCCTGGTCAAGATCTACAGGAAATACACCAATGGAAAATTCCCCAACCTCATTGGATTTGATGACAAGGAGCGACAAATGCTGGCAAGGCATGGACAATCGGCACAGCCAGGACAGCCAGCGCAACCAGCGCAACCAGGTGGGCCTTCAAACGGTCCACCGTCAAGGGGACCACCAGCACCACCGACACAACCAGGCGCTCCTTCAAATGCTCCGCCGCCAAGGGGACCAGGTCCAATTCCTTCAGCCTCGGACAGCCCGATGCCTCCTTCGCTACAACCATCATACAGAGGTCGTGATGCCAGTCGCGATGCGCCTCGGGATGTCAAACGGAAGCCTTCCGAAGACCCCACACTTCGCACCCAAAAGAGCCATGAGCAGATATCTCGGCCGTCGACCGGTTCTCGGCCATCTACAGGACAAGGCAGATCGGCGCCATCCCCCTTTGATCTACACAAATCTCCTCCTCCGTCTCTCCTTTCTGGGCCACCTCTGGACCAGCAACCGCCGCTACGCACAGCCGAGCGTAGCGCACCAAACGCAAAACCCCCGGGTTCGCAATCGGAGCCCAGGGGAACAGATAATCTGACTGTTGCAGCGCAAGCCAGCAACTATGCCGGTATTCCAGAGTCACTCCGCCCTTCTTCTGCTCCCAAACCCCCACCTCTTGCTACTCAGCCAGTTCAGAATAAGGCACCAGAATTCATGCGCAGCAATGATGCACTTCGTCCTACCACTTCTGGTTCTTCCAATAATGAGAATAGGGACACAGCCCCACGTCCCACGCCCAGCTTTGGGCCAAAGTCGCCCCAACGTGGTGGCGGGGAGAAGGCATTCACGTTTAATCAGCCCTCTTTGCCTCAAGAGAAAAGTGCATCGGATACCTTGTTAGCTGGACCTTCCGGACAGCCGCGGGAACCATCTTCATCACCAGCAATCGAGGGACTGGTTTCAGAGCCTGCTGCTATTATGGCGGCGAATCTGCCCTTGCCAGAGCCTATTCAGCCTTCCTATCAAAATCCCAAGACCCCTATCGAAACCGTTCCTGCCGCGGACTCGCCATCTCAACCTTCCCCGGAGGAGGTTGAAGAAACTGGCGAATTCGAGCCGCATCGCCCGGGGCTCGGTCCTATGGTCAAGAAAAAAGAAGGAAAAGACATTGCAGGCGCCTGGAAAAAGGCTGCAAATGCTTATGCTGGTTTCAAGCCCAGGGTTGGTGGGGCTGGTGAGCGACTGCTGGCAGCCGCGAAGAAGTCACAGGCCGATGCCGAGGGCCCTGATGGTATCACCAGCGTTGTTCCAGCGCCGTCCCTCTCCCGGTCGGCAACTGATCCCCCGCAGAGTCCAGTGGTAACAAAGTCGGAACAAGATCTACAACTCCCCGCGCCTGCTGCAGAGCCGGAGACACCAACGGTCGAGATTACAGAGCCAGCACCCGAGGAGGTCGCAGTTGCCCCTGTTCAAACTCCTGAGATATCACGGGAGAACCTCTCCGATGTTGTTGTAAAGGTTGAAGATCGTTCAAGATCGCCATCCCCGGCAACTCAGGGACGTCGTCGCAGACGCCATGAAGACCACACTATGAAATATTGCCAGGCCCTTGGAATCGACCCCACCGTTCTCGACGGACGTGGTATTGATTTTGATGACATCCTCACTGATTTGGGCTGGAACGGACGGTTGGCAGATGAACAGAAGATTGAGGATTTGGAAGCAGATGTTCGCCGTGAGATTGGCCGTGTCGAGGCCACCAGCTGGCTTGGCAACCTTGAACAGCAGGAAGGAAAGGTGGAACAACTTGCGAGCTTGATCGATAGGACGATTGAGGAGTGTGATGAGCTGGATGGTCTTTTAACCCTTTACTCTCATGAACTGAACGTAAGTTTTGGCATTACGAAATCGGGATTGATCTTTAGTCGGCTAATGAGACTACATTACAGACTCTTCATGAGGATGTCGCCTACATTGAAGCTCAAGGTCAAGGTCTGCAGGTTCAAACAGCAAATCAGAAGCTCCTGCAAAACGAACTCCAAACACTATTGAAGACACTTTCAATATCTTCATCCGAGCTGGGACCCCTCAAGGAAGCCTCTTTGAGCAACCCCGATGGGTTGAAGGATACTGAAAACGCTCTGGCGACGTTGTACAAGGCCATGCTCACGATCGATTCTGACATTGGACAAAACAAGAAGCGTCAAGTCGATGCAAGTGTCGGTGTCTATGCTGATACAGAAATCGGCCAGATGCGTGCGATCAAACAAAAGAAGGAAGAGTATCGCTCTACTGCAACCATGTTCCTCAACCGACTGCAACAGTTCATGGCCCTTGCCTTCAAAATGGCAGAGCAAAAACGCGTTGATTGGACCAACGGCGGTGCCAAGGATGCGATGAAATTGGACAGTGCCGCACGAGGACACTTCCGTCAAGAGGTCTGGCGATACAATGCCCTAATGCTGTTTTCTAAGGAGGTTAGCATGGCAGAGTGGCGTAGCCTTGTCGGCCTCTATGAGCAGCAGTCCAAGCCTTCGTACCAGGGCGACTTCCGCGATAATAATACGGCTTGGAAGACGACCGCGCGCAAACCAACGGGAGATGAGCAGGAACTCCTCTTCACACACCAAGAGAAAGAGAAAGAAGCCGAGGGTCTCACCATGGCTGCACGGAAACTGACCGTGCGACGAGGCAAGACGGTGCGAGCTGCCGCTGGGCTTCGACTGGCTTCGGGCGGCGCGAAGAAGCAAGGAAAGGCTGAGCCATCTGAGGCATTTGCTGGGACTCTGCGGGAGACATTGAATATGATGGCTCAGGAGCAGAACTTCGTCGTCCAATTCTTCCATCTCAATTCTCTTGCCAGCGCCGATTTCCCCGACCTGGTGTCTGCGGCCATCCCCGAAAACCGCACTTGTCCTGATTTCTCTGCCAACCAGCCGCATGATCCTGATCGGGGAATGGCAAAGAGAGTCGAGCAGATTATGGGTGAGATTTACTCATTCTGGCCGAACGATATGCAGAGCATGGTGGACTGGGCGATGCAAGCTGATCCTCTCCAAGGAATCGGTATTCTCCATGCCTTGGAGACTGCCATGAATGACTTTGATGACACGAACCAAGAGTTCATTCTTCATGCACTGCAGAAAATCCATTCTCGCTTAATGGGATTGTTCAACCGATTTGTAGACGAGCAAATCCGAGGGATTGAGGATACCAAGGTCAAGGTGAACAAGCGGAAGGGAGTAATTTCCTTCATGCGGGTGTTCCCCAACTTCTCCAATGCGGTAGAAACCATGCTATCATCCCCGTCCGGCGCCTTCTGCGACATTCGCGTTAGCGTTAATGACGCATACGACCGCATCAACCGTGCGATGTGGGAGTCACTCAAGTTCATTGCTAAGGAAGCACCCGGCCAACCTCCGGGTGTCACTGCGGGCGCGGGTGATCCGGAAGACAAGGAGATCCTGAACTACCACATCCTCCTCATCGAGAACATGAACCACTACATCGAGGAAGTAGATGTACACAACATCCCCGCACTTGAACGCTGGGCCGGTCGGGCCCGCCAAGACTTCCAGGAGCACATGAACCTCTACCTCAACGCCGTCATTCACCGCCCACTAGGTAAACTGATTGATTTCGTGCAGTCGATTGACAACCTCCTCGCTGCG